GGCCGTTTGCCATGGCGTGGCAGTACCGGCCCGCTTCCCCGCTCCATGGCGTCAGGCAGGCCAGCGCTTGGCAACAGCGAGGTACTAGCTCTACCAAGGACAATAAGTTCCTATGTGAACGGTCGGTGGATTGCCACGTAGGTATGGCCCGTGGTCGTCGTCTGGCGAGCTCGATACCTTGGAGTCGCGCAGCAATGGCTCAACTCCACCGACGATACTTGGGTTTCGAAAGCCAAAGTGCAAGTGGCAGTATCCGGATAGTACGGATACCCTCCGAGATCCACGCCGCAGAACCCAACAACGGACAAGAGCAGCAGCATGACGTTCGAGTGGCATGCGACGCAAGATGCGATCGACGAGGAAGAAGACTGGGAAGCCGCCCAGAGCGGCAAGGAAGCGCTCCTCGTCCTCATCGACGTGCGCAAGTCCATGTTCCAGCGCGTCGATGGCGAGCCCATGAGCTGGTTCCAGACCTGCGGCGAGATGCTCGTGAAGCTGCTTAAGAGCAAGATCATTGCGAACGACGGGTCGCTCATGGGCGTCGCCTTCTTTGGCACGGTACGAAGCATGCAGGATGATGACGATGGGTGAATGACGCCATGCGGACGATAGACGACGACGAAGAACGTGAATGGGCTCGACCATGTGTACGAGCTGCAGGAACTCGGGTTTCCATCGGCCCGCCGCATTAAGCAGCTTCGCGATATCGTCGACGATGCGTTCGACTTTCAGGCTGCGTTTGGCTCCATGGGCGAGAACGACCCCGTGTCGCTGAGCAACGCGCTGTGGCACGCCGGCATTGCCTTCTCCAACGCCAAGTACATCCCTCTTCATCTTCTTCTGCAGAGTATGAACCCACGCGCATGATAGCCTCCAGAAGAAGGACTCGCAGACGATCTGGATCCTCACGAACCAAGAAGACCCGACGATGGGCGGCGCCGACGAGGCCGACCGCGTCCTCAAGCAGTACGCCAACCACGTCGAGCTCAAGCGCGCGATCCACCTCTTCCACATGCCGCCACCGGCAAAGTCGACGTTTGATCTCTCGCGCTTTTACGGGCGCATGTTCCAAGATGCGTCGGCGTTCGCACTCACGGAAGACAGCAGCCTCCAGCCGGCGTATGCGATCCATACATACCAAGCCATGATGGAGGAGAGTCTGCGCAAGCGGTTTCGGAAGCGCCGGCTCACGACGCTCAGCTGGACGATCGGGCCTGGCATTGCGCTCGGCGTCGAGCTCTACGCGCTTCGTATCAAGCAGACGAAGCCGTCGCCGTTGCACTTGGACGCAGAGACCAACACGCCGCTTAAGTCGGAGACCAAGTGGCTCTGCGACTCGACGGGCATGTACCTCGCGCCCGACCAGATGCGCAAGTACATTGAGTACGGCAAGAGCCGCGTCTACTTTACAGCCGACGACGTGGTCGAGCTCAAGTACTTTGCCGCCGCCGGTGCACTTGGTTGCGTGTTTTACGTCGTCTCAGATTCGTGACAGGACTCCAACTGCTCGGTTTCGAGCCCGCAGACCACTTGAAGGACCACGAGAACGTCCGTGCGCCGTACTTTATCTACCCCGCCGAGGTACACCCGAGAATGGGCTCAAGAGCATGGAGGAAGAGACATGTAGGGCTACATTGAAGGCAGCACGGTGGCCTTCACCGCCCTGCACACATCGATGCTCACAAAGAACGTCATGGCGATCGCGCGGCTCATCGCACGCAAGAATACCCCGCCCCGCCTCGTCGCCCTCGTGCCCCAAGTAGATATTGGTATGCTGTGGCAAAAGCTCATGGGTCGTCGTAGCTCGAGGCGTACGACGACCAAGGCCAAGTGCAACCGTCGGGCTTTCACGTCATATTTCTCCCGTACGTCGACGACGTGCGCCAGCTTCGTGTGGACGCCGACGGCCAGCGCGACCGTACGCATCACCTTTGTCGCGGCTACGTACTTATAGCCCCTGGTGTAGCCGACGCCGACCAAATCGAGGCGGCCAAGAAGGTGATCCAGACGCTCACGATCTCCGAATTGCCGTCCTTCCAGAACCCAGGTCGATCGACTTTGTTTTGGAATGGGTGAGATTCACGACGACATGTAGAGCTCCAGAAGCACTATGCGAGCATCCAAGCGTTGGCACTCGACGAAGACACGCTTGCGTTTGACGACAAGGACGACACGACGCTGCCGGACGCTGCCGGGTTTCAGCGTCCCAAAGTCGTGGTAAGCAGGAACATACACTGGTCGACTCGAGCTCAACAATCCCTAGGCGGCGCTGACGGCCTTCCGCGACACGCTCGGTGGCGATGAGCTCAATAAAGACAACACCAAGCGCAAGGCGCCGGCAAGTACGAGCCGAGGCGGCGCTAAGGCGGTCAAGACGGAAACCGACCCGAGTGACGTGGCAGCGTGGAAGCAGCTCGCAGCGTCCGGTCTCGTGGCCAAGAAGACCGTCGCGGACCTCAAGGTCTTCTTGGATGCGCAAGGGCTGAGTACAACGGGCAAGAAGGCCGACCTCGTCGAGCGTACGCTGACGTTCCTCGGCTAAGTCATTGCATGCGTGCACACTACTACTAGGCAAGTGTCTCTATTCCAATGGATGGTGGTGTCTAGCGAAGGGTAAACTGGGCCATGATGGGCACGTGGTCGCTGCCATGCTTGGAGTTGGGGATCCCGTTGTAGTTGCGCAGCGTCGGGTCGACCTGTGCAATCGCATGCCAGCCGTCAGGCCCGTCTTCTTCGCGCAGTTCGGCTTCGGTCGGGATCGGCAAAATGGCCTGCGCCTTGATCGTCTCTTCCGAGTACCTACATCCAATGCACGAGTCCTACCGTAAAGCAAGATGGAAGAAGACGGACCAGATGTAGTCGATGGCCCAGCAGCGTCGGTAGTTGACTGTTGTGTGCGGCGGCTCGTTGCAGTCGTCGTCGGGCGCGTCCGGCGTCTCGGGCAGAGTGCGGTAGCTTGCGTACGCGCTGCGCATCTTGGCGAGCGGCTGGAGGAAGACGTCACGCATGTACGCATACAGCGGCGACGACGGTGAGTTGTTGAAGTCGCCGCAGAGCACAACCTAGTAACCCAGCCATGTCAGACATGCATGGCGGTCAAAGCGGACATCGTACCGGCAGCGGCGCGTGTAGCAGATGCTGGTACTTGAGCTCGAGCGACGTCTTGAGCGCCCGGACCTCGTTGTCGAGCTCGCGGAGCTGCTTCATCTGATGGTCGACCTTGCGGCTGTTCCACCAGAGGTGTGTGCAGCCGACGAGGAGCATGTCGCCCTTGTTGTCGTCCGACCGCTCTTGTAGCAGCACGAGCAGCGCGACGCGGTCGTGTTCGTCGTGGAAGTTGAAGCTCTCGCACTCGCGCAGCTCGTAGCGATCGTTCCGGAAGAAGATGCCGCAGCCGTCCATCTTCTTCTCGCCGCTCCACGTCGATCGATGGGTCGATGGGCGCTTGACCCACGCGCTCTCGTAGCCGAGGCGCGCCATGGCCGGCCGGAAGAAGGTCCAGTAGTCGCTGCACTCTTCCAAGCACACGACGTCGGCGTCGAGGCCATGCAGCTGGTCGAGGAGGATGTTCTTGCGCGTCTCCCAGGCGAGCACCGCGGGCTGCACGTACGGGAAGTGGCTGGGCGACGCGAGGTTGCTCGCGAGGATGTTGAGCTGGACGACTGAGAAGGCCGGCTTGGTGGCGCCGCCGGCGAACGGCAGCGGGACGAGCTTCGTTGTCATGGCGCGGGTACCGGCGAGGACGTGGCGCAGACTTCGTCGCTGGAGCATCCAGCCTGAAACTGGCGTCAACGCAAATATATTTTAATGTTGGCACACGAAAAAGAATGCTTCAGGACTAGCCTTGTGTATGCATTTTTATGTGAATCTTTTTTCCTCAGTGCGAGCGTTGTACTAGACCACGGAGGCGACGAGAGGCTTCGCTGGTCTTGGCCGAGGCAGATAGATCAACACCCAGCGCGCTACCTTTATATTCCTAGCTGTGAGCTGATCATCGGCTTTGATATAGGAGCATAGAGAGAGCTATTGCTGTGGGGCCGCCTGGGAAGCGTTGTAAATAGTGTGTGCCAGCGTTTACATTCTGTATGGTTTGAAACAGAAGCTTAAAACAGTGGATATGTGTGCTTCGACTTGAAAGGCTCGCAGGCAATGAAGATATCCGAGGAGATCGTTTGGACCAGGTGTGCAGGCAGGACGCGACGCCGCCGTGCTAAGCGCGTCATGGTACTATCAAAGTCAATTCTGCATTATGTAGATGTGCTGCTTGTTCCATCGCTGCAACTACTGCCATGCAAGGCTAACACAAGAAAACAATCGAGAATTGGCGCAAAGCCACATGCATGAAAGAGATCAATGCTGGAGCTTGAGCGTGTACTAGGCGACGATACAGCCACTAACAAGGACACCTGTGGACACGGTGCGACGACCGGATCGTCGTTGGGCTTGGCGACCGCCTTGACCAGGAATCGAGCCGCAATAGCCAGCTCGTGTTTCTCCTTGTGTTGACCAAGGTGCTGGCAACCGATCCAGTCACCGCCAACCTCGCCTCCGTGTCCATTTACCAACACCGTAACAGGTCCCGTGCGGAGTGAGCAGGCACGGTGTCGTATTGGACGTAAATGCGAAGCCTTGGTATCTGTGACGGTGGTCACTCGCTGCACTTTATCAATCAAAATACCGCCGCAGTGCGATTCGTTTCGGAAGTGCTTGGAGATACCTCGTCCGAGAAGCACCTCGGCGCCAGACGAGGGCCCGATCTTACAGGCCCGTGTCGAGCCCGCCCGTCGTCGAGTCTCTTTGGTTGGAGTCGATGCAGATTGTGTGCAAGTTTTGTATCGACGTGCATTGCTTTGCGTTGCCGGCAACATTGCGAAGCTGTCACGTGCGGTTACCACGACGTTGCAGGATTCAACCACTGGGATTCAACATACTCTTGCTACAACCTTCCGCGCCAAGGGGAGCAATGTCGTGCTCGTCGCCTCTCACCGCAAGGAACCGTTGCTGGCAGCACCAGTCGAGAGCCAGCTTTTGGCGCCAAACCAACTCCAAGGAGAAAGAAGCAAAAGTCAGGTCATCATCGCCAAGTCTACCAATGGAATCCATTGGCAGACTTGCCGAACGGTTATACCATTCGATGGATTCCAGGTATAACCGTACGGCATCCGGATAATCCCAATGGCACGCTGCACGCAGAGACTGCCACGCAATCGGGACAGGACAACGGCGACAATGGACACGGTGGTTGACGAAGCGAGCCCTTCTCAGCGCTTCCTCCCAGTTCAATGGCGCGGCGGTCAGACAGGCCTGCTCATGTCAACAACGCGTTATACCCAAGGCGCGAGTAACGCCGCTGGCTCAAACGTGCTGCTATCGCGCCGCCGTGCCGTGTGCCGGCCATGCTTCGACCCGCTGCATCCATGCTGCTGCATAGGCGTGTCATCTTTTTCAAATGGCGTCATCTACGTCGCAAGACGAGGAGGCGACATGGGTGGTTGCGCCGAGGTCCGCGAGCGTAGCACGCGCGATCCCACTGTACCGCGCACGAATGCACCCAGTCTCCATCGCCGAGTAACATGGCTGCCCCGCGGTCGTTGACTGCTTGTCGCGCTTCTTTATCACAATCACGCGATGACGCTATTCTTGTCGCAGGTCTATAAACGACGACGCAGAAAAAGATTTCCCAAGTCAGCATGTCGTCTTGTCCGCGTGCGATGGCGCTGCAGCGGCGCGCGCTGCAGCGACAGGCGGCGACCACGTCGTCGTCGTGTCTCTTCTCGTTCGCGCCGCACATCGCCGCCTCGGTGCCAAGGCAGCTCGTCGCGTACTTTGCCAATGGCGGGCCGCTCCCGAGCGTCAGCGCGCCAATCGTGACGACGCACGTGTCGGCAGGCGCGCTCGTCCTCGCCGACATCTCACACTGTAAGCATCTACCAAGACCGTATCTCGTTGGGCTCATGTAGGATCGTTTGTCTAGACTCGCAGCTCGTTGCGTCGCTCGCCGACGATGGCGACGTGGGCATGCAGACGCTGTGCAGAGTCATGGAGACGTGCTTCACCAAGATGATCGACACGATCGACATGCATGGCGGCGACTGCATCAAGTTTGCCGGCGACGCGCTCCTTGTGTCGTTCCCAACGATCGAGGCGAGCGCTGCGTGCGCCCTCGCACTGCTCGCCGCCACGTCGGCCTCCTGCGGCGTCGAGATTCACATTGCGATTGCGTTTGGCGACCTTCTCGGCCTGCACCTCGGCGGCGTCCACCACGCGTTCGAGTACGTGGTTGGCGGCGCGCCGTTCCAGCAGCTCCAAGACATTGTCGACTGCAGCGGGCCCAACTCGATCACGCTGTCACAGGTGGCGTGGGACGCACTCGGTCCGTCCGCCATCGGGCACGCGCTGGTCGACGGCCGGGCGTACGCGCTCACGGGCCTTGCATCATCATCATCATCGTCATCATCATCGGCATGCGAGTCCCACGGTCGAATGACGCCGCCAGAGCTCTGTCCGTCGACGCTGGATGCGATCCGCAAGTATGCACCGGCGCCGCTCATGGCCACGATCGACGTCCAGCAGTTTGACCTTGTCGCCGAGTACCGGCAGTGCTCGATCCTCTTTGTGACGCTGCAAGATCTCTCACTAGCGTCACCAGACATTGATGTGCACCGGCTCCAGACCGTGTTCGTGCGCCTCCAGCACATCCTGCACTGCCACGGCGGGTTCTGCCGCCAGTTTCTCGCCGACGACAAGGGCACCGTGCTCATCGCGGCCTTTGGCGTCCACGGCTTCTCGCACTTTGACAATGCGCTGCGTGCGCTCAAGACCGCGCTCGAGATGGCCGACGCGCTCGCCGACCTCGCCGTTGCCGTACGCTTCGGGATATGTTTTTTCAAGAGGCTCACTTTGCACTTTCTATGCTAGGCGACGCTTGGTGTGGCGACGGGGAAAGTCTACGCCGGGCTGCTCGGCTGCGCCCGCCGGCACGAGTACGCAGTCGTCGGTAGCGCAGTCGTGACCGCCGCGCGCCTCGCGGGCCTGCCGACAACGGGAGAGGCCAACGCGACGTGCCGCGTTCTCTGCGATGCACCGACGCGCGATATCGTCCAGCACGAGCGTGACGTCGCCCTCACTCGGTACGGCGACGTGTACCTCAAGGGCCAGCGCGGCCCCGCTGTTATCTACAGCGTGGCACCCGCGTCTGCGCACCGGGCGTCGGGACGTAGCCCCATGCTTGGCCGCGAAGCGCTTGTCGCGTCGGTCCTGCGGCACCTGGTGCACCACGACCGCGCGCTCGTCGTTCTCGAAGGCTCGATCGGCAGCGGTCGGTCGTGCTTTCTCAACCACATCGAGTCGCTCGTGCTCAAGACGACGTCTGTGCTGCGGTACCGCGCGAGCTGGCACGACGCGCCGCTGGCGCTCTGGCGACGCGTGGCGCAGTCGCTTCTCACTCCTCTCGAGGATCTCGACGAGCTGCGTCGCGTGCTGCACCGAAATCGCCCCGTGCTCATCATCGACGACTTTGAAGCGATCGACGAAGCGTCGCTCGAGCGCCTCGGCGAGCTCCTTGCTGACGCGCCTCTGCGCGTGCTGGTGTCGGTCCCGACCACGACGACGTGCCAAACGCTTCGCTTCCGGCTGCGCCACCACTTTAAGCGCGTGTACCAATGGAGCTTTGTGCGCAAGGTCACGGTGCGGCTTCCGCCGTTGGCGCCCGAGCACATTGCCGCGTTGAGCTGCCAGCTCTTGCACGCGTCGAGCCTCGCGCCCGACGTCCACAAGTTTATCTCGGCCACGTCGCTCGGGAGTCCGCTCTGGGTGCAGCAAATCGTGCACTGCTTGCACACGAAAGGCTTTGTGACGCTCTCCAAGAACCACCGGAGAGTGACGTTTACGCCTGCGTTTGTTTCGGCAAAGCGAAGCCAGCTCAGTAGCATCCACGACATCGTCCTCGCTCAAGTCGAAGAGCTCTCGGAGACCCAGCGCTGGCTCCTCAAGCTCGGTGCGATCATCGGGTCGTCGTTCCAGATCAACGAGCTTCTCTGGCTCTGCCACGGCTTCTCGCACCTCCAGGCATGGGTCGATGGCGATACGCTGCAGTGGCAGCTCGGCCTTCTCTGCAAAGCGGGCTACCTCGAGGTGCGTTGAAATGGCTTGTTTATGGTTGTAACTTAGCGACGGGCTAGGTCGTCGACGGTGGCAGCGCCGCGATGGTCGAGACGCGACGCCGGTCGCACTCGGAGACGCAGCACCCGAAGCTGCAGCGCGTGCGCCGAGGTCACAGCCACCACGACTTGGCCTCGGCGCTCAAGCGAGCACGGCTACGCGTCCGCTACCGCTTCTGCGTACGTTCACCTTTCGAATGGTGTTGCGGATGCTCATGCACCGACGATGTCTAGCATGCCAACGTGCGGGATGCGCTCCTCGACGTCTTCCTGCCCGCCCAGCGCCGCATGGCCCATTCACTCATGATCGACCTGCTCGACGACCTCTCCGTCTTGCACGAGCCGTCGCATCTCGTCCGTCTCGCCCACCACTGCGTCGAAGCGGGCATGCGCACCAAGGCGCTAACGTACCTCGGGCGCGCCAGCTTGCTCGCGGCCGCCACCGACGTCGCCTTGTTTGACCGTCTCGTCGAGATGCGCTTTGCGCCGCCGGCGTCTCGCGTCTCTTGGCTGCTGGCGTCCGTGCGGGCGCGTCGGCTGGCACGACCAAGCGATAACGACGGTATCATGGCGCTGCTGGCCGAAGCCGTCGCCTTGGTGCACGTTTCGTCGCCCGAGAAGGAGCGGTCGGTGCCGATCCCCGTCATCGGCGCCTGTCTTGCGATGGCTACTTGCATCAGCTTGGAATATCAGCTTGCATCGTCGTCCTGGGAGAGCCAGCGCGTTGAAGGTACCACGTGGGTCCAGCAGCTAGCTCAGCTGCCCGACCACGAGTCCAGCCGTCATCTTCTCGACGTGGACGTCCTCGCAGGCTACTGCATCGCACAGCACATGGCCAAGCGTCCGCTCTTTCGCCGCGCGATTGCCTCGGCGCCTCCTGTGCTCTACGCTCTCGCAGCTCGCCGCATTGGCAGTCTGTGCACCGAGGCTGTCCCCGTCGTCTCGGCAACGGCCACGGATGCTCGCTGCGTCATGGACGCTGTGCACACGCATCTGGCCTTTGGCGCCAGCGACGATGCGCACTCGCTCGAGCTCATGAACGTCCTTATGGCGTCCGAGGACCCGCGTCTCGCCCAGTGCCTCCGGCTCGTACGTGGCGACACGCGACAGCTCGCGACCTGCATCGCGCTCAGCGACGACGACATTCTTCTTCTTGGCGGCCTGCCCGCGCGACTCGTGAGCAAGACAGCGCTCGCCAAGTACTATGACCGCTACGCCAACAGCACGTCACTGGCTCTGCACCACATGCGCGGCGCGATTGAAGCGCTACGAGGGATTGCGACCCGCGCGACGACTCTCATGTGGGCGCCGCAAGCGCATCTCTTGGTGTACGCGCAGTGGCTGGCGCTGCTGGCCTACGACATGACGAGGCACGTCGGCGAGACGCGTCGACTGAGCGATCACGTCACCGCACTGGCGCGTGTCTGCGACGAGCTCTTTCCGCCGACAACGCACGGCCTCGGCAGCCTCGCGAGCGCCTTCTTCCGCAGCTTGACGAGCCTCGTGCTTCAGAAACTCGAGCCGACTCGCGCCAGCAGCGATAGCCTCGAGGCACTCTCGTCCGTGGCGAGCCGCGCGTGCAAGGTCGGCTGGCTCAGCTTGCGCCGCCATGCTATGTACGTTGTCGCGATGGAAGACGACGCGGACAGCAAGGTCTCGTGGGTCCTGGACGTTGAAGTTCCAGACATGGCGCCGAGCTCCTTCAAGAACCAGCAAGCGAGCGCTACCAATTACAACAACAACAACAACTATAGCGATGCGTCGGCGGACTGCATTCTCGGTGCGACTGCCACCCTTTCCCTTGTACTCTAGACTACATTTCTAATTTATACCTCGTATTGGAGACCATCAACATCTTCGTTCTCGATTCATTCGGTCTCGTCGACGTCGCCCGCGTCATCGCAAATGCGACGCTGACAAAGCTCAACGTCGTGCTTGCTGGCTGGACGATCTTTGTCGAGTGTACTAGTACGTTTTTCGGCGCCTCCACCACAATGTGGAACCGCGAACCTTGGAGGTCGCCGCCGCCAACGAGCATCATCTTCATGGCGGGCTGCAGATTACTCAGGGCGTCCACGTCTTGCGCCAGCCGCGTTGACTCAGCACGAGGACTCTCAAGATCAACTCCCAGGCGAAAGGGATCTGCAACATCAACGAGGTCCGAGCCAGCGTCCAGATCTTGGAAAGCATGCGCTTTTGAGCCCGACTGCACCTGAATTGGCCCACGAAGTTTTGACGAAGCGTAGATTCAAACACGCTAATCCTGCGCCCACGATCCATTTTACTACTTTGATAATTTCGTGGCACGACGCTGTCGAAGTAACCCGCGTCGTCACCAACATGTTGTGCCTTGCCACGTCGACGCTGCTACTCGATTCCCACGAGTGTCTGCACGGTCGGTCGGTTGGACCTCAAGGGCTTTGGTCAGAGCCGTTGTCCGTACCTCATGCCATTGTTTCTCGACCCCTCGATCCATGTTTTGTCGGAAGAAATACTTTCATTGACGAATCCAAGTCTCGCCCACATATTGGATTTATGTACTCTTGGCTGGGATACACCGCGTCCCTGCGCTGTTTCTATCTCGTAGCATCAAGAAGGCGGCACCGCCGGGAAGCCGTTCGTAATGCAGCACTGGACAACTGCCAGCTTCACAGGTTACATAGTCGTTCTATGCGTTGCAGTCGGTCGACGAGATGCATGTAGCGGGGCGACGTCAGAGCCCTCGGCGGGCGCGGGCGGTTTGCGCGGGAATGCGATGCGGATGTGGATGTATCTCGCTCCTTGCATGTACGTTCACACATATTTGCATACAAATAGCAAGCTCAAACGTACCATGTACAATGTCATACCGTACATCGTACAACCAAAAGATACCGCTCACTTTAGCTCACTTCGGTCATCGCCCACTTCGGTCATTCCGCGATTTGCCACCATGCGCCTGTACGACATCTTCGTCCGGCAGCCCGCAGCGCCGCCCATTATCCATCCGGACGCGCTTCTTGAAGCCCTCGTCGAGATCGAGACCGGTCTCGCGGGCGCTAGCCCGACGCATGGTCTGCTCGTGCTCGGGACGTCGCTCCTGCAGTTCACGGCGCTCGTCACGGCCCTCCGCGACGACCCGCTCTTCCCCGCCGAGCAGCACGTGCAATAGGTCCGAGTTACATCGGCCGCGTGGCTCGTCGGGCGCAACGCAAGAAGAGCACCCGACGCTGGCGAACGCCCTCGTGCTCTCAGATCGCAAGGTCTCGGTGGACGGGCCCGTGCCATCGCATTGCTTCTGGCTCGACGCCGAGGTGATCTACCACGCGATCACGTTTGGCATGCTGGCCCACAAACTCAACTTTACGGACATCATTCATGCGACCGCACGGGCGTTGGGCGCATTCAAGCTCACGACAGGAACGATCGGGAGCTCACAAGGCGGTGCTGCTGCCATGCGCCTCTTTTCCGGCTGCTCGCCCTTTTTCAAGGTGGCCAGCTCTGAGAACAGCAGCAACGACAAGATCAAGCGTCAGAAGGTCCAAAACGACGAAGCGCCGACAGAAGAGGAAGAAGCGGTGCTGCCCGCGGTCGACGATGGCGAACATGGCAATCGTATTCGCTACCTCGAGGCGCGCCTGGCCGCCACCGAGGCCGAGATCGAGACGGTTCGGAGCTCTTTGCAACACATCGAGCAGCGGAACCGACGGCGCGCCGACGACGCATTGCTTGTCGAAGCCCTCATGGCCAAGATCACATGCCTCAAGGAGAAGATTCGCAAGGAGCGCTTGGGGCGCGAGCAGGACCACCACGAGTACGAGCGCAAGCTGGAACAAAAGATCCGGGCGCTTCTCGAAAAGGCGAACAAGAAGGCCATGGGCGGGGGTAGCAAGCACAAGCTTCCGCTCTCGCGACGCCTGTGACGACGCCACTTGGCTACGCGCCCCACGGTTTCCAAGAAGCTTCCATGCCCAACGCAGCTCATGACATCGAGATGCAATCGCCGCCGGGCACGATGCCGTCCGGTCACGTCCAGATGCCTGCACCGACGCCAGCACCAGCTCGCGCCAAGACGCCCACGAAGGGCGAGATTCTGTCTGGTCGCAAGTAGCACGGCAGCCTGCGCGTGCTAGCAACAACGGCAATGCATATCTAACTTCATAATCTAGTCAATTCATTCCTTCAGGTATCCTCGCGGGTGACACTTGGTGGCGGGAGCGTTCATGGTCCCTGCAATGTGTGCTTCAACCACGATGCAAATATGCATTTTCACAGGAAACGACCTCCGATTGGCTCAACGTGACACGCAGTGTGGCCAGTGGCCATCTCTATTTTAATGAACGATATTCAAATCCACATACATTGATCTAGGTTACGTGAATTAAAATGCTCCATCGCGCCACCAGAATATTAAATGCTAGAGGTTTTCATCGCAGACTTTGTTTGGTGGACGCTCGACCGCCAATACAACTTCCAGCACAGACAAGATGAGCAACTTCGCCAGCTTTGGGGCCACCTCGTGGGCCGACGACGAGGCCGAGGACCACTCGGCCTTCCAGGCTGCGTACGACGCTGCTGCCTATGGCCGCGTCCACTGAGCGCTGCGTAGGCCTGCCCGCCGCACGGAGCACGTCATCGAAGAAGAGGAACGCCACCACGCCGAGCCCGAGCCCCGCGGTGGCCGCTACCAGGAAGAAGAGCGCCGCCCGCGCCGCGACAGCGGCGAGTACCAGAAGCGCGAGCCGCAGCCCATTCCGGAGTACGGCCCGTTCAAGGTACGCACTTCATACCCACTTGAAGCCGTGCTCATGACAGCTCGTAGTGCTACGTGGGCAACTTGCCGTACCAGATGAACGCCGATGACATCGCCGAGTTCTTCCAAGGCCTTGCCGTGACCGACGTGCACGTGGTCTCGGACCGCGAGACGGGCCGCCCCAAGGGCTTTGCCTACGTCACGTTTGATGACCGCAAGTCGCTCGAGGACGCGCTCTCGGCCAACGGCGAGGTACGCACCTTCATCTCGATGACATGGATGCTCATGATCAGGATCGTGCGAGATAGATGATTGACAACCGCCCGATCCGCATCGACGTCGCCAGCGAGAAGAAGGGCCGCGATACCTCGTTTGGCAACCGTGGTGGCGACCGCGGCTTTGACCGCCCGACCCGCGACGATCGCTTCGGCGGGGATCGCTACGGTGGCCGTGATGGTGGCCGCGACGGTGGCGACCGCTACGGCCAGCGCGACGGCGGCGACCGCTACGGCCAGCGCGACGGCGGTGACCGCCATGGTGGTCGTGGTGGCGACCGCTACGCCCGCAACGACGACCGTCGCGAGGAGCCCAAGGAGCGCCCGAAGCTCTCGCTCCTCCCGCGCACGCAGTCGAACGAGGCCAAGGAGGCGTCGCAGCGCGCCAACATCTTTGGCGACGCCAAGCCCCGTGACGAGTCCAAGTACCTCGAGCGCAAGAAGGCCGAGGCCGACAAGCCCAAGGTCCACGACGACCGCGACAGCGCCCGTGGTGGTCGTGGCGGCCGCGGTGAGCCGCGCGCGGGTGGTCGCGGCGACAAGCCGGCCGGTCGTGGCGACAACAAGCCGGCGGCCCCGACGCGTTCGGATGGCGACTGGGTCCGCGGTGGCGCCGCCGCCGCTGTCGAGGCCAAGGCCAAGCCGGCCAAGAAGACGGAAGCCAAGAAGCAGCCTGCCAAGGTCTCGTGCCCTTGCCCCATGTATGTATGTGCTCATTATTATACCTTTTGTAGGCGGCCGTGTTCAAGCCGACGGCGGCGTCGACCAAGGTCGTGAACAACTTCAACGTCTTGGGCGACGACTCGGACTCGGATTAGACGCCGTGAGTAGTGTAGTATGTATCGAGGAGCAGCCTCCGTAGATAATATATGATGATTTTGGGTTATATGCTCCTCATGGCTGCTCGAAGTGGAGCGTGAGCTCGCTGCTTCCGATCGAGAGGTGCGTCGGCGCCGTCAAGAGCAGCGACATGGGCTTGTGCGGCTTGATCGGGTTGTCGTTGACGCTTGTGCCGTTCGTGCTGTTGACGTCGGTGATGTAGACCTTGCCGTCGTCTCCGAGCCGCAGCTATCCAAGGAGGACCATGAGCGGCCCTCGTCGTGCAATAATCTACCTCGGCGTGGGTCGTCGAGACTTCGGGATCTTTCGGCAAGCTGAGCCCGTGGGGCAGCTTGTACTTTTTCCCAGACGATCGACCAATGTGGATGACAGGGTTCGTGTCCTATGGTAATACATTTGGAGGATGAGTTTGAGCTTGGGACGAGCGAAGAGAAGATGAAGACCAGGGCCAGGAGCAGCTTGAACTGCTGGTTCTTGTAAAACCCGTCCGTGCATTGCACCGTCACGTTGTAGCGCCGCGGTGGTGCCTTCTTGGCCTCGTCGTCGACGACTAGCGCCATGGCGTGAGCGATATGGCGTGTCGAGCTGCGAGCTCGCACCTGCGTCGTCGTCGGGCACGGTCAGGTCGACGGCCGCTTCCAGGTTCTCGCGGGCCTTCTTGGCCTCCTTGCGGAACTTGGCGATCGTCTTCTTCCCATGCGCCTCGACTTTCTACGATCCATTCGAGGTGTACACGTCCATTGCGGCGCGTCGTCGATCGAGGCGTACTGCAATCGCTTCGTCGAGGTTCGTCGTCAAGAACTCGGAGACGGTCTGGTTGCCGTGGTCGCTGCTCGCCGCCGACGAGATGGACGCGCTTCCTAGGCAGCGACCATGAGCCATCGAGATGCAAGGAGCATGGCGCGTACGACTACGTCGCTTGGACACGGACTCGCGGCTCGACGCCGAGCTCGACCGGGCGCTGGCCTTCCGCTTCCGTGGTGGCATGGTGGACTTTGAAAATAGAGCCTTGTGATTGGCCAAAATGAGCGTTTAATAGCGGACGGGGTCATTCGAGATTTGCACCATGTCCCACGAGCGGCAGAAGGGCGTCGTCGTGAGCAAGGCCATCGCGTACGGCTCCGTGGCCATGTACCTCGGGCGCAAGTCGGAGGAGACCAAGACGCACCGCTGGCACATCTACGTACGCGGCCTCGCCGGCGAAGACCTCTCGTACATGATCAGCAAGGTCGTCATTAGCCTCCACAACAGCTTCGCCAACCCCGTGCGCGGTACACACGACGCGATTCGCCGGCCATGGCCTCATAACGCGACTGCATAGTGCTCACGGAACCGCCGTACGAGGTCTCCGAGTATGGCTGGGGCGAGTTTGAGACTAAAATCCAAATCCACTTTCAAGACCCAGACGAGAAGCCCGTCGACATCATCCACATGCTCATTCTGTACCCGCCGGGCAACCAAATCGCATCGACAAAGAAGGTAGGCTGCCACATTTGTTCTTGCAATGAACATGCGTCGTAGCCGGTCGTCTCGGAGTTTTACGACGAACTCGTCTTCAACGAGCCGAGCGAGCTCATGTACAAGAAGCTCATGGCGGGTACACGCGTCGTGATGCATGCCATGCCTCTCAAACCAACGCACGTGTAGGCCCCGAGAAGCAAGCGCCGCCGAACGCGCTTCAAGAGCACTGGCCCGTCTACAACGAGATCCACGACCTGCAGATGCTCACGGACGCGCAGTCGACGCTCGCGCAGGAGCTCGCGCTGACCAAGAAGCTGCTCATGGAGGCCGACATTGAAGCCAAGGAGATCAAAGAGAAGATCGCGGCCTTTGAAGCGCAAAAGAAACTCGAAGCCAAGGCCAAAGCGGCGGCGACGTCTTGAATTGGTTCGCCTTATATATATACTGTCGTCGGTAGTTGAAGCCGCCGGATCTTATGCAACGGTGAGGACGCTCGAGGTCTTGTCCCACTCGACGACCGCGTCGAGCTGTTTGCTTTGCGTGGCCGAGCAGGAGTCGTCGAGACCCTCGTCGCCCGAGCTGCTGCTCTCGGTCTCTCGGTCGTCGTCGCATGTTGTTTCCTTGAGCAAAAGGGTCACCTCGGCTTCGTCCTCGGTCGGCGCTGGCGATGACGCGCGCTGCGTCGGCAGCCAGTTGAGGCCAATCGCACCAAACGCGACGACAAGCCCGAGGAGCTGCTGCGTCTCGAGCGCGTGGCGGAAGAGGATCACGGATAGGACGATGCTGACGACCTTGCGCAGCGTGCCAATGATGGACGTTGTGAGCGCGCCAAAGTTGCGCAGCGTCACAAAGAGCACCGCTTGGCCCGACGCGCCCGTGAGGCTCAAGAGCGTGAGCCCGCCGAGGTGCGGCCAGGCCGTCACCATGACCGTCTGCATCTCGCCCGTCACGAGCATACCAAGGAGCGCCATGCCCGCTTGAAGAGGCTGAGGTAGAACATGAGCTCAAACGCGTGAATGTCATGCGCCGCAATGAGCTTGTCCTCGATCGCACCCGTGGCGCCGTCGCAGAGGAGCGAGACCAAGAGGAGGACGCAGCCAATGCTCATGTCCGTGGCCGTCTTCTCATCGTGCTCGTGGCTGGCAATCTTTTGGGCATAGGTGCCGAGGAGGAAGATGGCGACGCCGACCGAGAGCAAGAGCACCGAGAGGACCTTCTTCAGGTCGTAGCGCTTCCCGAGGATCGCGCCGAGGAGCATGACCGGAATCGACTTGCACGACTTGCCGAGGATGCGCGTGATGAACGAGACATACCGCAGCGCGTAGATGGACGCGATCGTCGAGACGAACGTCAGGAGCGAGAGGCCCACGTACTGCTTCATGGGCAATGACGACGTCGGCTCGCGCATGAGGACGCGAAGGAGGTACGCGACGACGGCGTACCACGCGCAGCTCACAAACGTGAGCGTCATTTCGCCCACGTCGTGCGCCTTGGTGAGCTTCTCGAGGAGAAAGCCGTTGAGCGTAAAGGTGGCCATGACGCCGAGGAAGCAGTAGAGCAAGAGGAGCGACCGCCGCCTGGGCACCTCGTCGCTGCTGGCGGTAGGCGGCGTCTGACACGACACCATGGAGCGAGAGAGATATTACAAGTGGGCTCACGACGTCGCTGGCGCTGGCGTTGGCGGCCATTTTGGACACAGCCAATCCCAACAAGAGTTGCGGCAGCGTCATGAGCAGCGTGTTCGAATTCTTGGTGTTCGAAGATATGAAGCGTCGCTTGGCGCGATCGTTTTTCCAGTGCTGTGATGGACTACGTGGTGACTGGCCTTTCTACGCAAGCACCCGGACTGCGTGGTGACTGGCCTTTCTACGCAAGCACCCGGACGATGACCTCTGGTGGCAACGTTGGTCGCATCCGCCAAGCCGACGCGCTCCTGCGATGACCCGCTGCATGGAGGTCCATGGCACCCGCTTGCATCGTCTGCATACATGAACGATGCTGCGTGGCGAAGGCGAGTGACCTGTGTGCGTGTGAGGCTGCCTAGCGAGTGCGAGTCCCGGCCGCGCTGCACCGCCCATCCGAGATGATGTGTTGACGAAACAAAGGTCGGCGCCGAGGCCGGCGGGCGTACGAACAAGAGCATGTCTTCGCGTTAAGCTAAACCGACGGAAATAGAGCCGATAGCACCGGTGTAGTGTGTGCTCGTCCACGTGCTACCTCATACACTCGCAGTACACTGACAGACGCCGCTTGGCACCTTAGTTGTCGCTCTTCTTGGCCTCTTCTTCAAACGCCAAGCTGCACGTCGTCCAGGTCGCGCCAGCGCCAGCACCCGCGCCAAAGCCCGTCAAGGCCGAGCGGCCCGCGCCCGTACCTACGCATCGCATGTCAATCATCCCTGACGTCGAGCAAGAAGCGTACGCGCAAGCACAAGCGACGTCAAGCCACCCGCGACGAGGCCGGCCGAGAAGTTGACCATGAAGCTCTCGATGCACTTGTCCCACTTCTCGGAGATGCGGTACTCGGACGGGATCTCAGTCTTCGGGGCGGAGGCGGGCATGGCGACGATCGTTGTTTGTTGCGGAATGTCTATGTCAAGATGGCGGTCGTCGAAATTCGTGGCATACGACGCGCTCATTGGTCGAAATCCCTGCGCCACGACATTGGACTTTTAACCAATGGCCTTGCAGTACTGAAAGCACTGGCCCTTCTTTCGCCGAGCGGTCCAGTGCTCAAAACCTCGCAAGCGACTATCAACAGCATGTTGGCACGCCAAGTCGCGCTCCGCGTTCCTCGCGTCCTCGGCGTCCGCGCCTTTGCGTAGGCTCAAGGCAGCCATGGCAGCGATGGCTCATCCTGCATGCACGTAGGAACCGCGTCGACATGGTCTTGAAGGAAGACGTCGCGCAGCTCGGCTTCTCGGGCGACGTCGTCAACGTCAAGGCCGGCTACGCGCGCAACTTTTTGTACCCGCAAAAGAAAGCCGTGTACGCGACCAAGCTCAACGTGGCCAAGTTTGCGCAGGCCAAGGAGGTCGACGCGTCGATCGATACCGAGCGCGAGCACGCGCGCGAGAAGATCATCAAGCGCCTCTCGACGATCGAGCTCACGTTCAAGCGCCACTGCCCGACGCCCAAGCCGATGACCAAGTCGTCGGTCACGGCGCAGAACATCGTCGACATGCTCGAGAAGCAGCACGGCATCGTTGTCGGTATTGCGCGCGTCGTGCTGCCGCAGGAGCTCAAGAGCACGGGCAACCACAACGTCAAGATCCGTGTCGACGACGGCATCGACGAAGAGGTCGCGGCCGCCAAGGATGCCGAGGCCAAGGTCGAGGCGCCGGTGAACCCGGACGCGCCGGCGTCCAACACGACGCAGACGATCCTGACGCAGTTCGAGTCGGAGCGCTTCGACACGAAGGCCAAGAAGGACAACAGCACAGAAGCCGCCGTCGCCGACGAGTTTGTCTCGTCGACGCCCAAGCGCACCGTGAACCTCAAGGTCGTGATCAATAGACGTTAAAATAGCAAATAGTTGCACCCACTTGATACGGCAACACACTTATCAGGAGTCGCATTGCAGCGTGGGGTCATGACATCCTCGAAGCTACCGATGCTAGGACGCGTGCTGCATGGATCCCTGAGTTGGGGTGCACGATGGCAGTACCGGTACCGGTAGACTCGCGTGAACAGAGCCTGCTGTCTACTCGTAGGACTGGGGTTCTTCTCGCTCGCTTGACAGCCGACCGACGGCGCTGCCAATCCAAACTGCAGCCACCCTGATGCACCTCGAGAATCCAGAGTGACAAAGTCTTGCAGTATCCGTGGCAGTGGCAGCTGCTATCGTTATACGTATAGCACTTTCCGCCGCATCGATGCACGACAGGCTTCAAGCGCAACCTCAAACTTGAACTATCGCATGGGTGGATGGGTGTTTGGTTGCGAGAGCGGTCGGCTTTGAGACCGTCGAGTACATTTTCTCTCAGCCCGCGCTCGGTGGCTTGTTAAACACAAGATCGTCCGTAGCACTTGCCAGCAATCCCGTGTGGAACGTCAACCTGAAACCTCTAGGATTGTATATTCAAATTGCCCTTTCCCTAGAAAACCTCTTCCAATGTAGATGCGACAACCGATTTTAGAGCGTCGGGAGGCCGTAGACGATCGGATTGTAGAGGACACGGCCTTTCAATGGCACGCTCTTGACGGTGCTGCGGGCCTGCGACTTGGGCGCGTGGGCCAGGTACCACGTGTCACCGACGCGGCGAATCGCTTTCGCGAGCGGAACGTTCTTGGCCATGAGCCCCAACGTCGTCGTGACGCTCCGGTGGTTGGCCAGAAACGACGACGCCCACTGGTTGCTGACAATGGAGTTGACGCCAGCGAGCGAGAAGAGCACGGTGCTGTTGAAGCTGTCTTCGAGGCTGAGCATCTCCTTCGACTTGTGCGTGTCGCTCTTGCTCTGCCGGCGGTAGCTCGCGTAGTTCTCCATGCGGCTTGCACCCCACACGAGATTGCACTTGGTCGCGTTCAGGCCCGCGAGGTGCGATGGGCTAAAGTGCGCGAGCGTCCGGTTCGGGCCGTAGTAGAGGAGGCCGCCGCCGTGGCGCCCCGTGAGCGCCACCTGCCACTCACCGACGCTTGGCACGCATTTTTGACCCGTGAGCCCGCGCCACTGGAAGCTCGGGATCGTCTTGATCGCATGCAAGGTTGCTACGAAAATAGAAGCCGTGTTCGAAATTTTGGGTTCGATTTTTTGGAACGTACGTGCAATCGACGTCGGTGGCACCTCGGTGGGGTCGTCGTGGCGAGGGTCGGCGATGAAGAAGAGGTCGTCCCGCTTGAAGGGCGACACCTTCAGGCTTGCGTAGCGCTGCGCGAGGAGGTGCACGGAGAGGTCGCGCGCGTCGCCGCCTTCCAGCAACGCCTCGAACGGGATGGGCTCGAGCGACGGGTCCACGAGGAGCAGCGTCAGCATGTCGTCCTTGGTCTTTAGTGGAAAGCTCTCGGTGAAGCAGTGCAAGAACGAACCAAAGAGCGTCCGGGCTTCCTCCACCAGCGATTGGAACATCGCTTCGAGCGGGTCGTCGTGGCCATCGTTGGTCGCATACTCAAACTCGTCCGACTCACCGTACGGCAAGTCGCTGTACTGCAAAAGCTGCTTGACGCTGCCCACGCGCATGGCTCGGAGCTTGGCCAGTAGCTCGCGCAAGGCGAGACGCCGCGGCCGGTGGAGCTCCATGCGCGCGACGACCGGCGTCGCCGACCCGCCCGTGAGGCTGCCAAAGAGGTACTTGCCGTCGAGCGAGAGTTGTAGACTCAGTAACATGTAGTTGGGCGGCAGACTCGCGAGAACCTAGTCGGTCGAAGTCAGTCGATTGACTAACTAGAATGATGCTGGACACACAGTATCAATGTCGGCAGTGACTTGAAGGCGGCGCCACGTCTCCGACTGCGACTCGAGGAAGAGCTTGGCGAGCTGCCCAGGAATGCTCGTCGCTGGTAGCTGCTGCGCTCGCTGCATGAAGAGCGACGGGCGGTTCGTGGGCTCGGCGGCTTGGTAAAACACCGACTCGGCATACGCACTCGCGACGCAGCTTTGAAACCTACGCGCCAATGGGATGTCTTTTACATCGAAAAGAGTGGATACCAGAGCAAGTACTTGGCCGCCAAGAGCGGCTGCTGGCAGCCATAGACCTGTAGAAGCTCGTAGCAAACGTGCTGGATGACGCGGCGGTGCTGTGCTTTCACGGCTGTCGCCAGCAGCTGCGTGAGGTACCGCGCAACGTCGTCGACCTTGGCCTCTGTCGCCAGCGCTGGCGTGCCCGTGCTGCACGCAATCCCTTGCTTTCGCAGCGTGTCCTGGCCATAGACCCATGCTTCGTATGTGGGTGGGAGGTGCAGACGAAGGCACTGGCCGACGCCGGCCGCCGACAAGCAATGCGCCGGATCGAGCTGGAGACTCGTGGAAAAGTATAGGAGTGCTTTCTGCGCCGGTGGCACACACATTTCTTCTGCTGTCTTTGGAGTCTTGGGCGCCGTGTGCGCGAGCCATAGCTCTACGAGGTTCTTCTTGGCGTCGCTCTCGACCTGGTAGACGACCATGTGCGTCTCGTCGTGGACCATACTCGCCACCACGTCGACACAGCCGAGCTCGTACTTGATCTGCGCCAAGCGCGTTTGCAGCACGGGCTCGTGGGACGCCAGCGCCCAAAGCGACTCGATGTACGCGTGCGCACTAAGCAGCTGCGACCGGGCTGCGTCGAGCAGACTCACGTCGGTATCGATCAGGTTCCAGCTCCCACTGCGCTCGCGCAATAGGACTCCGTACGCCGAGAGGGTGTCGGCCATGACGAGGTTGCCGCCAAGGGGCAAGAGGCGGCTGCTGCTCTCACTGAAAAGCCGCGTCGCTTCGGCCCAGATCGGCTGCCACTCGCCGCCGGTCGCGAATAAGCTCTGGCTTTCCTGGACGAGCACGGTCGCGTACATGGCCTCCAGCTGAGAAAGGCACGTGATCGAGTCGAGGTCCATCAGATGCGTCTTGTCGTCGCCCACGACCGCGCGCGCGACGGGCGAGAGCGGGATCAACTGCAGCTGGGCCACGGCGTGGCGACCGGCCGCGACAAGGTCCTTGGCGTCTTTGATGCGCTTCATTTTGGCGTAGAGAGACGCGAGGGCGAGCACGTACTTGGTATACGCTTGCACGTCGAGGTGTGGCGTCCCGACGGCGCTCGTGAAATGCCGCAGGGCCATCGCGTGGTCGCCTTCCCGGGCGTGGAGCTGGCCCGCGCAATAGTCGGCCCATGCTGCGCCGCTTGGCTCGTCGTTGGTCGGCAACGCCGCCAAGAGTTGCTTGACTTGCAAATGAAAGCCGCTCTGGAGCAAAAGCTCGACCATCTCGAGGCCCAGATCCACGACACTGTACTTTGAAAAGAGTAGTTTGCGTCGCCGGAGGAGGTCGGACGTCGCGCTGTGGGCGAGCGCCTTCTCTGATGTCGGAGCACCTGGCTGCCCCCGAAGCGCCTCGATCGCGCGCTTGAGATAGACTTGGCTCGGCTCGATGTAGGCCATGGCTTCGAGCAACGAAGCGAGCCGCAGATCCAGTAAAATCGGAAGCAGCGCGACGTCCCCGAGGCTCGACGACGCCGACGCCCGCGTGCCATATGCGATCGCATGCGCCAAGTGCAGACACGGCAGCGCGTGGCTGTGGAGGCAATGACCGACTGCCATTTCAATGAGCTGGAGGAGGTAGTGCAGTGTTAGCGTCGGGTGCGTCACGTTCTCGGGATGCAGCGTCAGCGGCGAGTGCTTCGCCGCCGGGGTCTCACCGCAGAGCCTCGGTAAATGCGGTGTTGTGTCGAGCTTGACCCACTCGGTCGTGGAAATGGGCAGTGCCAACGACGGCGCCAAGCTTGACTGGCCTCTCCAGACTTCAAAGTCCGTCTCGAGTTTGTCGCCGGTTTGCTGCTGCGAGTAGCTCTCAAAGGCCGCTTGGAGTTCGAGCAAATGGAGCTCGTCGCACAGCACGTGCCACATCTTGAGCACGTGGCCAAGCCCGGCAAGGACGTACTCGAGACGCTCGGCGAACGAGTGCGCGGCGGTCGCGAGCATCACGTAGCCGCGCAGTGCAACGTCAAGGTGCCACCACTGCAGGACCACCGATTCGTCCTTCTTCTTCTTGGCTTTAACGCGCTTGGTCGCACCCTTTTCGTTGGTCGGGAGCGCGTCCTTCCAAATGAGCGGCAAGACAAGGCTAAGCGCTGTGTGGATCTGGTCGTGGACGTCGTCGAGTGGAAACTGGTTGGTGTACAGCCACTCGGCAATCTCCAGCTGGAACTGCGCTTGCTCCGGCATGCCCGCGAGATCCTTCACCGTGCGGAAGAGCGCCTTGTACTGCGCGGCCGCATCCGTCGACGACGCAGCGACGCGCTTGGCGACGCGCGCCTGCAGTAAGACGTCATTGTCTTTCATTTTGGCAAAGCCGTCTTGCACCGACTTGCCGAGTTTGCTCATAAAGATGACGCGGTACTGCCACAGTGGCCGCTGGTAGTACGCGGGAATCGATGCGAACGCGGCTTCGACAGCGTCGAGACCGGGCTCCCAGAGATGCAGCTCTTCATAGACATCGAGGAGCGCGCAGATGAACTCGAGGCGGAAGCCCAGTCGGACGCCGCGCCGGCCGCCTCCAAGTGCGAGAGCATGCGCTGCAAGTCGGGCAACAGCTTGCGCCGAAACGTCACGTTCGGAGACGCGTTCGCATCCAGAATATCCAGCACACCGTTCCACATGACCATGGCCGCGCGCTCGACGAGCCGGGGATTCCCCGCGCGCACTCCAAACTCGGCGGCGAGAAGCAAATGCTGCACCGCAAAGAGTGCTACACGACAGACATCATGCATTCACACATTCCAGGTGCGCGCGTACCGAGTTCATGCTTGATGTCGCGCTCTTGCGTCTCGGTGCCGCTGGCGAGATCCAGGATCGCTTGCGCCCACACGGTCTGCGCCAAGGCGTACCAGCGCCAGATCGCGGGAATGAGCAATCCGGATGGGATGTCACTGGCCGCTAACGGTGCCAACGCGAGCTCACAGAACTTTTGCGCTTCGTGGGATCGCTCGAGAAAGACCGCGGTCTTGGCGAGGCGCACCCACACTTCCGCGTGGAACTCGCGCTTCTGCTGGTCGAGCTCGAGGCAGGACTCCTTTGCGGCCAAGTGGTCGGCGGCGAACGGCGTCCAGAGACCCGTCGCTTTCTGGAAGAGCCCGAGGGTCTTGTCCATTTGCCCTTTGACGTCGACATCGTCACCGCGCCTCTCGTTCTGGAGCGCGTCGAGGAGCGTGAGGCAGCTCACGACCTTCATGGGCACATTGTCCCCCACGATCGGCTCCTTTCCACCCCGGTCGAGCTGAACGCGGGTCTTGATCTCAATGAGCGCCTTGCGCTGCAGAATCGCGAGCCCGGAAATCTTGAGGACGGCGTCAACGACCGCCTCGATATCGTTCAACTTGCCGGCGTAAAGTCGCGTGAGCCCTTGCGCGACGCTCGCCAAGAGCGGCAAATGGTACGCGATGCCTTCGAGACCCAAAAGCGCGTGGAACGCCTTCTCCATTGCCGTGATAAGTTCGGGGAGCACAAGGTCGAGGTCGAGTTCCGAATGGCCAAAGAGTCCGTAGTGGTAATTCCAGAGGTACGCGGCCGCGTTGTGGATCACATGCGTCGCCTTCGTGTCGAGCCCGCGCTGCAAGCCTTTGAGGATCTCCTCGATGACGTGGCCCTTGCACTCGTTCCACGCACTCAAAATGTCGTCGGGGGCGTCCCCCGCTTTCACCAGCAGCCCGAGCCGTCCGTCCAAACTCGGGTGCTCCTGCTTGAGCTTTTGCATCTCGAGCGTATACGTCTCGGCCAGCACGAAATGAAGTCGCGCTTGCTGGACCGCTTCGAGGTCGACGAGCGCAAACACATACTTGTGGGCCCGGCCCGCGCCGCGTCGCGTGGTCTCGATCGCCTTGACGTCCCAGGCGAGGGTCGCAATGTCATACCAGAGCGCGAATCGCTTCTTGAAAATGTCCTTCTCGAGGGTGCTGGGCGACTCGGGCGCGGAGGCATCGAGGAGCGTCACGGCTTTGTTGAGCCACGTGAGCTTGAGGTGCTTGTCGTGCGACTCCTTGGACTGCTCGACGTAAATGAGCGCTTGGTCTTCGATCGCGTCCGGCTCGCCGTATAGATTTGACTTGAGGTCGAGGACGCGCTTCATCGGGAGCAGATATTTATCAAACGCTCGGACCACCTCGACACTCGCGCTCGGCGCCTTGGCCTTGGCGCTCGGGTGGGCGCTCTCGTCACTCGAAGCAACCTCGCCGTAGTCGAGGACGAGCGCCTTGTTGACGTGCACGGACGCCTTGGCGAGGTAATCGCACTGCATTTCGCACTTGGCCGTCTCCAAGTGCATTTGAGCGCGGAGCGTCACAAGCGGCGAGTCGAGTTCTTCGAGGAGTGCCGTGGCCGCCGTGAAGAGCCGGTGCACGTGCTTGCGTAAATGCGGCTCGAGCAGCGGCAGCGCCACGTTCCACGCGTAGATGCAAATGTCCTGCATGAGGTGCGCGTCGCCGACGCGCTTGGCGGCCGTGAGCGACCGCTCGAGGAGCTTGACGCCTTCGACGTGGTGACTCAACCGCGCGGCCTCGCGCTGCCGGGCGTCCAAGGTGGCCGCATCCGCCTTCTCCAGCAAGTGCACAAAACAACGCAGAACGTCGACGACGATGCGTGCGCGCGCCGAGACGCGCTTGTTCTCGTGCACGAGATGCTCGACGATGCGGGCGACCTCGAGCTGGTGCTGAAAGACGCCGAGGAGCCCGACTTCAACGAGGTTGTCCCAGTCGACGCTGCCGTCTTGAAGCGCAGGAAAGGCGTCTATTGGCTTGTGCAAATAGGCCTCGAGCTTGGTTTTGGTCACGAGCTCAAAGAGCTCGGCAAATGCAGCGGGCAGCGCTTCGGGCAATACGATCTTGCTCTTGATCGCTTGGATCGCGTATAGGATTTGTCCGCGGCGCGTCGTCATGGCTTTCTTGGCGGCCGCGAGGCCTTTCGCGCACTCGGGGTCTTTGTATCGCCCGAGGTGAATTTGCAGAAAGCACGCCTCTTCGAATAAAAGGACGTTCGCCGGCGCGTTCTTGGAGAGCTGCATGAGCGCCAAGGCGTGTTCGGAGGCTTCGAGGGCGACCGCACCGGCCTTGGCGAGCTGCTTGTCGTCGTCGTACGCGGCCGCGAGCGTGAGTTCAAACCGAATGAGCCACGCTTTATTGGCGTCGTTGATGCTTTTGAGGCCGTCGAGGAGCGCGACGAGCGACTCGATGAGGTACTTGCTCGTGCGTGGCCGCAACAGCGGGCGGGCCACGTGCCAGTACGCGACGCTGGCGTTATAGACCAAAAAATCGTAGTGCGGCCGGCTACTCGGCTCGAGCGCGAGCTTGAGCGCGACGAGGATCCAGTGGATGGCGTACTGGACTTGTCCGACGCAGCTCTGTCCGGTGAGTGCGCGCGCCTTGGCGCCAAGATACGCCGCGCGGACCAAGAGCGCCCGGCAGTAGAACTAGTAGGTAGATTCGACATGAGACGATATAGCGTGCGAGGAAAATAATGACCTGGTCCTTGGGATACGCGAGCGTCAGGTACCACTCGACACAGGCCTCGGACGTGCCCACGTCGCTTTGCTTGAGCGCGACCTCGGCGATGCACGGCAAGAGCTCCGTGAGGCGCAGCTGGTCCTCGGCCACGTTGCCGAGCGACGTCCATTGCTGCAGCTTTGCGAGCAGCGTCGAGGCCTGCACGATGGTGCGTGGCGCAGCTGTCGGTGGCGGCGGCGGGCCGTCGAGCTCCTTGTTGATCTCGGCGAGCGCCCGACGCAGCTCGAGGTCCAGCGCCATTTCGTCGAAACTGACCTTTCAAGATTCGAACGTGCCCAATGGGATCGTCCGAAACCTTTCGACGGAATTGAGCGCCAGGAAACAAATTGAAAGGGCACAAAAAGTCGTATATATTGGAGTTTTGGAGTTGGCAAATTGGTAAAAAGCAGAGAATTGGATTTAGAGATCGTCGACGTTGAGGCCGTGCGACGCGTTCGCTTCCGTGACCGAGAGGATCGCAACCTCGTTCTCTTCGATCTTCATGTCGTCGAGGAGTTCTTCGACGGGAATGACACCCGTCGTGCCCTCGTCGTCGTCGTCTTCCATGTCCTGGTCGTCGCCATTCTTGGTTTCGTCGACCTTGTAAATGTTGATCTTGGAGCGCATCTCCTTGTCGTCCTCGAGCTCGTCCAAAAAGTGCTGGTAGTCCATCTCGGTCTTGGTCTGCTCGGCCTTCTTGACCGGGACCGCCGACTCGATGCCTTCGATGTTCTTGAGCTTCCAGTTGCGGCTGCGCTTCTGGACGCGGCGGAGGAACTGCTTGCGGACAAGGATGACGTCCGGGAGCGTAATCCCGGCTTCGTCGAGCGGCTTGGTGTCCGAGTCGTTGAAGACCGAGGTCGAGAGGTCGTAGCCCATGGCCGTGTCGCCGACGTTCAAGAGCATGCCGAGGTGCGTCGTGGTCTGGAAGCGCGTGTCGTTGACGCCAAAGTCCGAGTTGCGGACAATCTCCATCTCGGCGAGGCGCGTCTTGCGGTTCGTGCGCACCGGGACACCGCCGAGCGTCGGGATCTGGAGCGGGTTCGAGTCCAGCACCGTGTACTCGACGAGCTGCTTGGACGACCGGAGCGCCTTGAACGGGTACCGCCAGTACTTGTCGTTGTCGATCTCGGCGCGCTGCATCGTGAACGGGTCAATCACGTGGATCGACGACGCGACCTGCGTCACAATACAGAGCGACGAGATGTTGCCGAGCTGGCGCGCGAGCTTGAGCGGGAGCGCGACAAGGTCGTCCTTGCAGACGGTCGCGAGGTCCACGGCGTACGTAAACTTGTAGTTGGCCGTGTTGCTGTGGTTGTCGGCCGAAATGAGCTTCTTGGCCGTCTTGAGCCTAGTTCATGTCTCGATAAGTTGTCGAAACGATAGCAGAAAACAAGCGTACTTGATCGGGACGGTCTCGGACAAGAAATCGACGAAGCGGAGCGCGTGGTTGCGCTCGACGAAGAAGAAGTCGACGCCGTCCGGGTGCGACTCGATCGACGACGTCTTCTCGTGCACGCGGTGCTTCAAAATGAGCTGCTCGAGGTAGAAGAACGTGCGCTTGTGGTCGACCTTTTGGCGGACCTGCACGACAGCCTTCCACGAGTTGTTGGTGAACGAGGCTTGGCACTCGTCGCACTGCTGGTTGCGCACGATAAAGGTCACGACAAACGACTGCTGCAGAATCGCGCCGTTCATGACCTCTTTCTGCACCGTGAGCTTGAGCTTGAGGCGCTTCGAGTGCGGCTCGGTCCAGACCCAGCCGGCGTCCACGAGCTTGACCTTGTTGAGGCCCGAGATCTTCTTGAGGCAGATGGCAAGGAGCTCACGCGACTCGAGCTCCGCCGCGACCCACGGCGGGCGCGACCACCTAGAACGATGCGTCAGATACTGGAAGCATCAAGGGCGGGCATGCATACTTGAGGCAGCCACGGCACTGGTGCATGATGATTTCCTTGGGGATGCCCTCGGTCACGTCCACCTGGCCCTTGAGGCAGCTCACGCACATGTTGGCGGCGTTGGCCTTGATAGGCACCGCGCACATGCAACATAGGCTAGAGATACATTAGTATCTTCGTTGTCCTCATGAGGCGGTAGCGTACATGTTGGGCAGCGACTGCTCGGGCACGTGCAACATGGTCAGCGTCGAAGAATCGTTGATTGGCACTCTAAATTCCCAGAGCCAATCCTTTCCCGTTTTCAGCTGGAAATGGCTGGTGGCCTATGCGGCGCACCGATTGGCCAAAAAGGAGCTCGATGGACCAATCGGGGACCGGCGTTGTGCGTGAAATAGTGTATGAATGGAGTCTTGACACAGGTACGGCCTCTCGGGCCTCACACGAGGTCTCTGCGCTTGTGTATCTAGCATACTAATGCTCTTGCTGCACTACTTGTCGAAGTCCAGCATACGCTGTGCGAGGGACACACTGGTTCTGACCGTTGTCAAGCGATCACATACTATTTAAATAGTGTCATTTTTTGGAACGACAGTTGGATGGATGGCCACTCTGTCGACACCAGTCCATAGATACTCCTCTGTATCGTTGCGCTATCGCCCACGCTGATTCGACATGTCGTCTGCGCGAGGGTGCTTGCCTTCTTCTTGGTTGCGTGGTCTCGGCCTCCTCGACAAAAGGCTTGCCATCTCCATGATACACTATTTTCGTTTTGGCGCCACACCTCCACGGCTTTGTTCGGTGGTCGCGGTTTCATTGGCCAAAAAGAAAAGAATTCGGACAAATCACGTGTGGCAAAGGATCGAGCATGCTCATTGGAGCAGTGTCGAAAAACCCCGAAGCAGAAGGATGGATGGCATGACCCCAGCTCCGACGCCCGGCCTTGGCGGCGGCCAGGACATCTCTGGCGCGCAGGTCAAGGACCCCGAGATCAAGTACATCTGCGGCGACTGCGGCATCGTCAACTACCTCGCGGCCCGCGACCCGATCCGCTGCCGCGCCTGCGGCTACCGCATCATGTACAAGGCCCGCACCAAGCGCCTGATCCAGTTCGAGGCCCGGTAAACACGCCTCCTGTTACATATAAGAAAAAGACTAAGATGGCCCACGACGAATTCATATCCTCATATACAAGCGTTGTCTTATCGTGTTTTATATGCAGCAGTGCCCTTCTTCATCCTCTGTGGTCGTCTCGCCTAGCCGAGCGTTCGCAGCGTCGCGAGCATGAGCGAGTCGGGGAACGCACGCGTCGACCGCCAATGGACGTCATGGGCCTCCTTTTGCAGGCCGCGCTCGCGGTAGTATGTGATGTACGCGACCCACACGTCTAGCCAGCAGCAGGATGAGCAACCTCCTCATCACGCCAAACGCACCTTCGTCGGTCTGGCCGAACAAGTCGAGGAGCTTCTCAAAGAGCGCCTTCACCGCGACGCGCTGCGCCGGCGAGTCGGGCTGCGCGACCTCGAGCGCCACGCACGCTTCGAGCCACGCGTGCGTGTCGGCGTTCGGGAGAAGCTGGCCGTGGAAGAAGCTGCGGTACACCGCGCGCACGGCCTCCATGCCCTTGGCACGGAAGAGCCACGTCACGTACTGCTGGCGCAGCACGGTCCAGTTGTTTGTCGCAACCAGTGCTTTCTACACAGCATATCGTGTTGGCGCATTTCGTAGGAAAGAATTGAGATGCCGGTACCTTGAAGGTGGCGTCGATCGTCGACGTCGACGCCTTGGTCGCCACCTGCAGCTGAAGATAGCGCTCCCAGAGCAGCGTCGCACCGGGGACGTGGCGCAAGCCGTCTTCAATGACGCTCACGGTGGCCTGGAACTTGGACGGCGCGGTCGCGTTCGACTTCTTGGCGCGCTTGGTCGCTGGCGCCGCCTCGAGCACGCACGCCGCACGCATGACGAGCTGGGCGCGAAGGAGCCAAAGGTGCGCGTCCTTGGGAAAGGCCGTCGTCGCCGCCGTCGCGATCGCGATCGCCGACGTCAAGTCGGTCGTGCGCAGCGTAAAGTCCACCAGCGCGGCGTAGAGGGCCGGCGATGACGGGCCCACGGACGTGAAGAGCGCGCGCGTCCGCTCCAAGAACCACGCCGACTACGCACAGATTGCATGAGCCGACGGGACTCGAGGCGTTCGTACCGCAGGGAGGCGCGAGAGCTCCTTGGCGCACCAGAGGAGCAGTTCATGGCGCATCGCGTCGGTCGGGAGCGTCTCCAGCGCGGTCGCGTAGCGCTACAGACACTCTGTGACGCACTGGATGGACATGGTGACGCACCTCGAGGGCTTCGCTACGCACAGCGTCCACGTCACGCTCCAAATCGAACGCAGGCTGCTGGCAGTAGGCACTCCAGACGGTCGCGTCAGTCTGAAAGTCTTCGAGGGCCGACGTGAGCACGATATCCGCAACGGCCTTCGAGTAGCTCGTGGGGAAGAGGTGGCAGATCTCGACAAACTGGAGGCGGAACGAGGCGTCCGACGGGATCGCTGCGCGTTGCCATGAGCTGTGCGCGCCAAAAATCAAGAAAAAGTACCTTGGATCGCGTTTTGGTAGACGATCTTGGGAATCGCGGCGTTGAGAATCGCTTGGCGCGACTCCTCCATGGCGCTCAGCGCCGGCGCCTCGTCCGTCGCAAGGTTGGCCTCTTCGTCGAGCGTCTCAATGTCGAGCGAAAGCTCCTTGGGCTTCTCGACCGGCGCGTCGAGGCCGAGGAGCTCGCGGCGCGCGCGGAGCTTTTGGACGTAGAGGAATTCGAGGCGAAAGTACTCGGCCCAAAGGCGCTGCGAGTGCGGGTTGATACGGATCGAGCGCTGCATGAGCACTAGACAAGACGGCGTGTGAGCAAGCAGAATCCAGGAAGAGCGAGGGTCGCACCGCGGGCCGAGTCCATGTTGAGGTTGGTGTTGAACTCCCACGACGCGGCTTCGATCCAAATGGCTTCGTTGCGCGGGTGCAGCTGCAGCGCGCTACGATACAAGATGGCTCGGCGATCGCAGCGGACCGAGCCTCGTCGTACCTCGTAAAGAGCTTGGACATCATCTTGCGGCTCGCATTGTTCTTGCAGTACGCAATGTGCTGCAGCCAGAGGTCGATGTCGCCCTTGTGCTTGTTGACCGCGCGCTCAAAGATATTGTGGACGCGCGCGACGGGCGCGTGGTCGCTGATCGTCGTCTTCTTGAGGCCTAGGCATACCGACGTTAGCGAAAGATCCGAGTGGCGTGGTCGCTCGTACCCATGCGCTTCTTGCGCTGACGGCGGAGCGCATCGAGGTTGAGCTCGTACTCGATGTAGCGGAGGCAGTCGACCTTGCGCAGCGGCTGGCGCTTCATCGTGTACTCAAAGTCCCGGCGCTTCTGCACGATCTGCCGGATCTCGTCCTACGCGGTGGATGAGGCGCGATGCGATGCGATGGCATTGTACCTTGGAGAAGATCTGGAGCTGCTGGAGATCCTCCAGCTCCGGGATCATCTTCTCCATGTTGTAGTTCACTTGGTCGGCCATCTTGCTTCGAGGGGTCTACGGCGGTCGCGGCGATACGGGGCTCTGGCACCAAAGATGTTAGCGCTTCAATTTCAAGCTTTATGACTGGTTTGGAGCCGGACTGATGCCATTGGCTATAATACATCACGTTTTCAGCCAATCGAACCAATTAAAACGTTTGGCCAATCAGCAGGCCTTTGCTTCCACCAGCCCATTCACGCCAGCGCTCGCTCAGCCATGATGACCCAGTGGCCATGACCATCCCATGGTCAATGCTTGGCTGCTCGAGACTGGCAGCATGGATAGCACCGCTACAATTCTACTGGCGGGAGTAGCTAGAGATGTATACACCCCACCGGCAAAACAGAAGTGTCGACAACGCCTGAGCGTACGGGATCATCTACACTTAAATTTCTTCTTATGGCTGCATGACGATGCTGTGCTGCTATTCGTACTTGCATGCATTTACGTCGCCTTGGGCGTCGTCCAGCTCGCGTTGATCGGGCCAAAATCGTTGATGATTTCGCGGTGGCACGACCAGACCAACTTGATGGCCTCGGGCGTACCAATGGCACCGGCACGCGGGTCGCCGGCAGGGCCGAACCAGTGGTTCTGGGGCGCACCCGTCGTGCGCGCGCGGATACCGTTGTACGTCGTGCCGTTGACCGAGTTGGCGAGGATGTGCTGCTGGAAACCAATGTCGTTCGAGACGACCGACGCCGTCAGGTGGGCCTCCATGCGCTCGAGCATGTTGAGGACCGTGTCGACCTCACCGTCCTTGTACTCGGTGAGGATCTGGAACGGGCCAAAGATCTCGGTCGTGACGAGCTCGAAGTTCTCGGGCTTGGCGGCCTCCGCAAGGGGCACGTACACGGCCGTGGGCTCGATCGCGCCGTAGCACGACGGGATCGTGTGGTTCTTGAGCTCCTTGCCACCAAAGACAACGCGGGCACCAGGGATCTTGAGCAAGTTGTCGACGTGGTCGAGCATGCGCTTGGTCGTGACCGTAAGGACAGGGCCGATCGTCAATTCGTCCAAGTTGCGGCGGGCGGCGAGCGCCTTGAGCTTCGCTTCAATACCCGCCTTGGTCCAGTTCTCGTGCATGAAGAGGATCGACTGCGCCGAGCACTTCTGACCCGAGCACGCATACGCATCCTACAAGACAGCATGAGTCCCGTGTATTCCAGCGAAGAGGGTATGTACCTGATCGCACACAAAGGCAACGTAGTCTTCGTCCGAGACATCGGGGCCGAGGATCTTCCAGTCAAAGCCGGCATCTTCGAGCTTGATGCGGCCCTTGAGGTCGCTGGCCAACTTCTCGGCGACCACCGACGAGCCCGTGAAGAGCGTGTTCTTGGGCTTGCCCTTGAGAAGAAGCTCGTTCATGACGGGGCCATCCGAGTTGATGAAGTCCACGTCCGTCGTGGGCATACCACAGGCGTGGAGCATGCGAAGCGCCTCGTACATGACGACGGCGACCTTCGAGTCGAGCTTCATCGTGACGCGGTTACCCATGTAGAGGGCACCCATGAGCTGGAGCATCGGGATCTCAAAGGGAAAGTTGAACGGCGTAATGAGCGCGACGGGGCCATACGGCCAACGGTGGCCCGTGCTCATCTGGCCCAAGTGGTCGCCCGGCACGCCGAACGAGCGCGCGAGGAAGCGGACCTGGTCACCCGAGAAGTTTTCAAGAAACTTGCGCGTGACGACGACTTCGGCTTTGGCCTGCTCGTACGACTTGGGCGCGACGCGCTGGATGAGGCGCGTAAAGTAGTGCAAGACGTGCGGCTTGCGGAGCTCGGCGGCGGCCTTGTGCGAAACGTCGCCGTAGAGCAAGTAGCGCTCGACGTTCTTGAACGGGTTGTGGAGACCGTGCTTGGGCGTCGCGAGCATGTTGTCGATGAACGGCTTGAGCTCGTCCTTCTGCGTGAGCGGGACGTTCATAAACACCTCGCCCGTGAGCGGGTCCTTGATGCCCTCAGCCTTGCTCGCGCTGACCCACTCGCCGTTGACTAATACACATGCATGAGCCTTCATCGTCTTCATGCAGCAGCAAGATGTTCGTACGCAAGTTGTGGATCTCGGCGGGCGCAGCGCCCGAGACGTTCTCGGCGTCGACCTTGGCCCACGACGGCATGGCATGGGCCGAGCTGGCGGCGCGGGCAGCGCCGGCCACATGGAGCGAGCGGTTCAGGAAACGGCGGGCCAGCATCTTGCGACTTGGGTCCTTCGGGTCGTTTGCAAAGTGATGCAGAGCTTGAGGCCGCAGATACTTAAATTTGGCTCCACGGACAGCTCATTCTCAAAACGGTCATCTTTTTATAGATTTTGAGCAGCCTTTTTATTGTGTTTTAATACAAATATCAAGTTCGATTTGAATCCACGATTTTTAAAGGTATAAAAAGGACCCCCGATTTAATGGCCGGGAGATTCGCTGCGGCTTCAGCCAATCAGCGACGAGGCACGGAGCACCACGATGTAACTTCAACTTGGTCCACCCGCGGTGTCCCATGGGCATGAGGCAGCACAGGATGGGCAGGGACGCATGGAAGGAGCATGCCGATGTTGCTAGTGGCATGTAGCATGTAGGTGGCGCAAGGGCGGAAAGCGCCGACAAGCTATGGAAAGTGGTCGTTGTCAGGCTGTGGGGATTGTCCCACGACAGTCCGTAGCTGTAGACCCACCACGCATGCGGTATCTACTTGAGGCGTCTGTCGACCGCGCCTCGAATCTTCATGCGCCAACACGCACTTGTGCAGTCGACCATGGTGGCGCGGAGGGCGTCGCTCCATGCGCAGTACGAGTGCCATGGAGAGGGGCGAGCATCCTGTAGTACGTATTCGTGTTACATTAATCGCTGAAAGCAATCGTGCAGACGACGTGGACTCTGCCTACGGTGGTCCACGCCGTGGCACGCCACGCAGCCCGCCATCACGCGACGACATCATGGCGGCCGTTGTTTTCTTGGGCAAGCGGGGACAGATAAATAGTTGGACGTCGCAGATCGGGCACGGGTTGGCTACTTGTACGTGTTGTCGTGCTGAGGTGCGGGCGATAAACAGGCACAAAGGCGATCGCATTGGACGCGGCGCTAATTGCCAGCGTTGTTGCTCACTTCTTCGGGCAGCTTGATGCCCGAGACGCCGTTCCTTCGCCCGACGGCGCCGCGCCGGGCCCGCTCCTCGGGACTCAAGTTCTCGTCGTCGTCGTCGTCAGCGCCCATCTCTTCGTCAGCGTGGGCCTTCTCTTCCGGCGTCATCTTGCGCTCTTTGTCCATTGCGCTCGAGGCGGCGGAATCCAAACTTGCTCTTGGCTTGCGCCGACCGCCGATAACTGTCGGACGCAAATGGTACTCGTTGGGCCTTGCTATATTTCAGTCCATAGACATGGCTTGTCCGCGAGTATGCATTTATACAGGTTTGAGGAATAATCTCAATATAGCGTGCCATATGGAACCGTATCGTATCACGGAGTATATCGAATGTCAAAGGTCATTGAACCCCATCGGCGTCACCCCGACGCCGGATAGAGCATTAGTCACTCATACAAACACCAAGGTATTGCTTGGACGGCAAAAAATCGAAGGCAGTTTATCCGGATGACCAGGGGCACGTGCGATCTTCTTGCACCGAGGCGCGGATGCGACGGCTCCAAATATGGGGCGAGGTCGCGTCGGGAAGCGACGCAAGATACGTTTAGAGACTCGTCGACGCTGCCACCAGTTGCGTTCGAAGCGGCTGCTCTGGAAAAGAAAAGATCGCAGTAGCCGAGCCACCACTTTGTTACCAGTTGTGGCCATAGCAGAACAAGCTTCGATCCAGCATCAAGCACTCAGTCACAAGCATGTACTAGCGACTAGCTCATTATCTCGTCGACGACGACTTCGTCCGGGTGGTACTTGGACGGATCGATGCGATACCTACAGGCAGCGTGGTCAGGTGCTGGAGCGAGACGCAAGCACGTACATGTTGCCATATTGAATAGTGGGCGCGTGGTCGCTGTCAACATCCACGATGCACACGGCCATGGCTACCATGAGCATGAGCCAGTCGTCCATGCCATCGGATATGTGCGTACTGTTGGCATCCAGCACACGATACGTGATGGTCACCATGGACTCTTGGAGGCAAAAGTTGAAGATCGCGACGCTCGACTCGGGCTTGAAGAGGCCGTGGCATGTCACGCCTTCGAAGCTCCACTCCATGAACGTGCCTTGCTCGTCCGGGATGAACTAGGCGGCGTCAGGAGCGATGACCATTGCTTTCGCCTGTACCTGGATCGTGTACGCATTCGTGAGCTCGCTCTTGCGGATGCCACGCCCAAACGACCATTTGAGAAAGCTACACATCGCATTCAGCCTCGCCATGGCGCGCCGACGGGGCTACCGCGTGTTGGGTTGCTTGGCCGCGAGCGTGTCTTCCTCGATGAGCACGACGTTGTTGGTCGTGCGGAGGTGCTTGAAGGTCGAGCCAAAGTTGCGCCACTCGAGCGTCCGCTTCCACGTCCCAAGCAAGTAGCTGCAAAAGTCGGCGTCCGGCACGTCGAACCGCGTCGCGCTGTTCATCTCGGCCCCTCCTTGCCTCCTTGTCAAGTGGCAGCGTATCCGGACGACCGCCGGTCGACGCAGGAAATAGTGTGTGCTCGGCGGCAAGCGAGCGCCCAAGCCACCAAGCCAATCCTGCTGCGCAGCCTCTTTGTGGCCAGCCGCCACGAACGATGTGGACGCGCCCAGAAGCACTGCGAAGCGGCTATGTCCCGATGTCCCTTCTACGGGAGAAAAGATACGAAATCATCGGCCAAATTATGTCCATTGACCGTAGTTGAAGTGGTCTCGCAGCGCTGTCGATGACGCAGGGGCGCGCCAAAGAAGCCTGCGAAGGCTGGCGTCGTACTACCGCGACATGCCATGACGTCATGCGTGGTAGTACGCATTCGCACGCGCCAGGATCGCAACTTGAAGCTGCCACGTCGAGATGCTCCTGGCGCCGCCACGCCACAAAGACGCCTGCTGTCGACGACTCGGGTTCTTATAGTCGATCCGTAGCCTACAAGTGTATGGCTAGCAGCTATTGGCGATGCGAGGTACGGATCTGGCGTGCTTGGAGGTGCCCCAGCTGGGCCAACGCCACGCAGAGGATGTAAAAACGATCACACTATTATCTGTTGCTGCAGTTTATCCGAACATTCTGGGTAGTTGCGAAATTGGTTTGCATGAAAGGGTTGATCCTCATCGGCGGCTTCGGCACGCGCCTGCGCCCGCTCACGCTCTCGACGCCGACGCCGCTCGTGGACTTTTGCAACAAGTCGCTCGTGCGCCACCAGATTGAGGCGCTCGCGGCCGTCGGCGTCGACGAGGTCATCCTCGCCATCAACTACCAGCCCGCGACGATGCTGCCGGCGCTCGCTGTCATCTCACGGGACCTCGGCATCAAGATCACGTGCTCGCACGAGACCGAGCCGTTGGGCACGGCGGGGCCACTCGCGCTGGCCCGCGCGCACCTCGAGGTCGACGAGCCCTTCTTCGTCATCAACAGTGACATCATGGCCGACTTTACCGCCTTGGCACATGCGCTCGCGTTCCACCGCGCGCATGGCGCCGAGGGCACGATCTTGCTCACGCAGGTCGACGAGCCGAGCAACTATGGCGTCGTTCTCACCGACTTGGACGGCTCGGGGCGCGTCGACCGCTTCATCGAGAAGCCGCGCGAGTTTGTCGGCAACATCATCAACGCGGGCATTTACATTTTCGAGCGCGAGATCCTCGACCGAATCCAGGTAGCTGCGTCCTGCGATCGTCATAGTGGATGTGACTCCATTGTCTGCTAGCTACGACCGACGTCCATGGAGACCGAGATCTTTCCCCAAATGGCCGCCGAAGGCAACCTCTTCTCGATGCATCTGCCGGGCTACTGGACCGACGTGGGCCAGCCCAAGGTATGTAGGCATCCGATACAAATTGCTGCTATTCTCATCGTATTACTGTATGTGAAAGGACTTTTTGACGGGCATGTGCAAACACCTCGAGCACTTGCGAGCGACGAGCCCCCACCTGCTGACAACCGGCGCCAACTTTGTCGGCCACGTCCTCGTGGTGCGTCGACGGCGTCGCGTCATTCGCTAACTTGAACTAGGACCCGAGCGCGAGCATCGGCGACGGCTGCTTGATTGGGCCTGACGTGGTCATTGGCGCGGGCTGTGTCGTCGAAGAGGGTGCGGTGTCGACCTTATGCCGATGAAGCTCACAGAACTGATAGGCGTCCGACTGAGCCAAACAACGCTGCTGCGGGACGTGACGGTGCGCTCCAATTCGTGGATCCACAACAGCATCATTGGCTGGGGCTCGACGATCGGGCGCTGGTGTCGCCTCGAGGGCACGACGGTCCTCGGCGAAGACGTCCAGGTCAAGGACGAGCGCTTCATCAACGGAGGCATGGTGCTACCCCACCGCGCCATCTCGACCAACATCCCAGAACCCGGCACGATCGTCATGTAATAGCTTTTATAGGTCGTGTGTCTTCATTCTTGTTGTTGATTGTATCTGAGAGAGGACTACCGAATGCGCTTGATGGCGATTTGGATGAGTGCTTTGAGACCCTTGAGCCAGTCTTTTTGCTTGGCCCAGTGGTCCTTCGTCAAGAGCACATGCACTTGCTGCGCATGCTTGATGTCCCGCGCTGCGAGGCCGCCCGCGAGGTCGTGGATGAGGTCGAGGACCGCGTCGCCCAAGTCGGCAGCGTGGCCGAGCTTGGTAAAGAGCACGTCGGCCGCCTTCTTGATCTCGCCCAATTGCCGCGCTTCCATCTATCATCTCGAGAGCATGAGCACCAAGCGATGCGCTGTCTTATGATGGGAATTTTCTACCGGCGGCAGCTTTTGCATCTCGAGAGCACCAATGAGGCCGCTCACGGCCGTCACGACAACCATGTCGTCTTCGTGCACGCCACTCAAGTCGACCGACGAAACGTACGGCGGCGTGTTGGCAGCGACTATTGGCGTTGCGGGTTTGGGCGCCGCTGGCGACTTGGTGCGTGCGGCGTTGAGTAGCAACGGCTTGGGCGCCGTGTCGACGTGCAGCGCGTCTTCGATCGGCGCGTCATGCAGGTGCGTCGGCGGCGCAGAGTGCGCTTGCACCGGCGCGTCTTCGGTCGGCTGGCCGATTGGCTCCGAGTGCGGCGGCTCCAAATAATGCGCCTCCTGCTGCAACGCCGGGACTCCTTCGTAGGCGACAGGCTCCGTCCCGTGCTGCTCGTACGTATTGACCACCGGCACGTCGTCGTCGTGCGAAGCAAACTCGGAAGAGTACGCCGCTGGCGCCTCCGAGGCGTGCGACTACATGAAACGTGTCAGCGAGTGCTGGGCATTCTCGGCGCGTACCTCGTGCGGCTGGTCTTGGTGCGCCGGCTCCAGGTTCATGCCTTCGTGCGCACGGAAGGTGTCGGGGGCAGGTGGCGTCAAACCATATTCGTGCGTCGGCTGCGGCGCAACGTCGTGCTGTGCTGCGTACGCCTGCTGTGCTGTGTATTCCTGCGGCGCCGGGTACTCATGGTGGCCTGGCTGCGCCTCGTACTCGTGGTGGCCTTGCTGCGGTTGGTACATCTCGGGAGATGGCGCATAGTCCTGCGGCGGCTGGGGCGGGGACTGGTGCGTCGGCTCTGGGACGTACGGCTGTTGGTAGGACGGCTGCTGGTAGGACGGCGCGTACGTCGGTTGGGCACCTTGTTGCAGGCGTTCCATGATGGCTGCGTCGTGCTTGCCGTACTTGGCCGCAATGTCGAGCTGCCCAATCGAGAGCATCTGCAAACGTTGCATGAGATCCAAATCTTTCACAAACATGTCGCTGTACCATGGACGCATACTCGCTGTAGAGCGGCAACGCCGCCGACGACGCGTGGCCCGTCGCCTGCTTGAAGACGCTGATCTTCTCGACAGCGTGCAAGATGGCGAGCGGCTTGGATGCGTCGTCCGTTGCGTGCACCCGGTCTGCCCAAATGGCGATCGCGCGGTCCATGTTCATGGCACAGATAAAGCAGAGCGTCGCGGATGCCACGTCGCCCGCGTCATAGAGCCGCAGCGCGAGCTGGTCGCAGAGGTTCGGGAACTCTTCGCTCTTCGAGTACGTACTCAAAATGGCCAGTGTCTCCTTCCACTTGGCCACGTCCGACTAGCGATAGCATACCATGTGAGCAATCCACAGAACATTGCTCGGCACAACCTCTTGGACGAGCGTCGCGAGCTCATTCTTGATGATGGCGGCCACAATCTTCATGAAGGGCCGCTGCTGCTGCTGGAAGAACGCTTCTTGGGTTCGGTGCCAGAGCTCGGGGCCGCCGCAGGTCGCAAGTAAAAGTGCGTTTGCGAGCTGGTTGTGTCGGAGGCAGCACTCGACGGCGGCTTCAAAGTTGCCAACCAGCAGCGCGCGCTTGACCATCTCCTCCGACTCGCGCGTAAAGATGGGCAGCGGGTCGGACGGCAGCGACGGGTCGCCACCGGGTGTTGTCTTGGCATCCATGAACCGCGTCGCCTCGGCTTCGATCTCGTCTTCGTCGAAACCGAGGTGCAACAGCAGCTGCTTGCGCGCGTCGTCGGCAAAGAGGATTTTGAGAAAGCCCCACTCGACACTGCTCTCGTCCATGGCGCCGATCTTGTAGTCGCAGAACGCCTTGCCGTCGACGCCACGGATCTCGAGCGCGTCCGCCGCGTCTACCAGCGCGAGCGGGTTGGCCACGCTGGCGCTGACGTCGGGGGTCGCGGCTTGCGTCGTCCACTCGGGCGCATACAACGCCTGTGCACCGAGACCTATCGCAATCCGAATCGAATCGAACGGTCGCGGTTAGAATGGACGACGTACTGTGCACACCAAGCACTTGGGTGCTCGCCGGCGTCGCGGCCGAGAAGAGGCCAGGCGAGAGCGGCGACCACTGCACATGACTGCGCTCGTACCCGCCGCTGTAGTAGCTGCCGTCTGCTTGCTGATCGTAGACTTCGAGTGCCAACTGATTCGAGTGCAAATCCCACACCAACGTCCGGTTGTCCCGGGCGCTTGTCAGTACGAATCCTATCACAGGAATCATAGATCTTGGGATATGGAGGAGGATGACGCACCGGCGTCATGGGGGTTCCACGCGGCCGAGAGGATGCCAGCACGGTGCTCGTAAAACTCGGCGAGCGGCGTCGTCTTGGACCCGCGGAGATCCCAGAGCCGCACGACGGGGTGCGCGTCATCGTTGGACGCCGTGATGAGCTGGAGGCCTTCGTGCGGGCTCCACGCAATGACCGACGCCGGCGCACCGTACGGGTCATGAAGCTGGCACCACGGCTGCTTCTGCTTCAAGTCCCAGATGGTCGTCGTCCCCGACTGCGAGCCGGACGCGACAATGAACGCGGCCTGCGTGTTCCACGCCACCCTATACCATGATGCTTCGTGTAGGAACACGCACAAATGGGTTGGCGTACGTCGTGATCTCCTGGCCTGCCTGCGCGATGGACGGGCCAGGCGCAAAGATCATGGGCTTCTCGAGCTTGGCAAGCGACGTAATGTACATCTCGCCGTCCCTACATGACGTGAGAGATCGATGCAGTCGTGGAAGGAAGCGACGTACGCGCCGCCCGAGGCAATCAAGTGGGAGCTATCGGGCCGCGGGTTGAATTGCACCGCGTTGACCGCGCCCTTGTGCTTCGTGACCGACCCGAGCAGCGTAGGGTCGCTGTGCAAGACCTTGTTGGCGCTCCAGAGACACACGGTACCGTCTTCCATGCCGCCGGCAATGACACCAAGAGAGCAGGACGCGCGGTGCTTGAGCACGTCGGCCCACGAGACGGAGAGGAACCGCGACGACGTGGCGACGCTGCCGAGGCGCTCCATGGCCCGGCTAGGTACCGCCATGTTCATCGAGTAGAGCGCAAGCTCATGCTTGCCTTCGCGCAGCGAGCCCATCGCGAGGACAGCATCGCGCGGGCGCTTGATGGGGCACCACGCCGTCGTGGCGGGGCCGTTGACTTCCTTTAGGACCGACATCTTCCTGTCTTTGCCGAGGATTATGCAGGCAATTTTGTCGTGATTTTGGCCAATCGACGCGGCCGCACCGTAGCTTCGTCCACTTGTTGTGATGCCATTGGTCGAAATGTTTCTTGTCAACACGGCTCGCTCATGAGGAGACGCCGCCATGACAGAGCGCTACTACCCGGTAGTAGACATGCGGGTCGAGCGCAAGCCGCGTAGTGCAGACGCATGCGATGGAGGGGCTGCAGTGACCTCGTGGCCACTGCGGCAGCTTCCGTCTATGCTACCGCACCATGGACCCGCGACATGTCGTGGCGCGCGTCCGGCAGGCGCCTGTACGACGGCCCTTCAAGGCGTTACGCGTGGCTTTCCGTTGCATGACACGACAGGCCGAGTACGTCGAGTGGCGCTCGCCGAGGGATGCCCTTGCGATGGACTTGCTCCTACTCGGCTCGGTCTTTGCACGGCTTCGCCGGAAGCGCGCAGCCGACCAGGTTGACCTGACCGCTTTCTCCAAGCAACAAGTCCTCGACGAGCTCGTGGCGCATGAAGACGGTAAGCTCTTGCGCATGCGACCGAACCTGCGCGCCTTCCATACGCGCCTCGCGAGCTTGAGCAACATCCACGAGAGCGCGTCGCTCAACATGTTTCGCATCACGCGCGTCCGGGATCTGACCATCTCGCAGACAATGGCGTGCGAGCTGCTCACAAAGCTCATCACGCCGTCAATCCTATCGGCCGACGCCGCCGACGCACGGCGCCGGCACCCGTATAAGTCGCAGTGGTGTGTGTTTGACGCCAAGCTGCGGAGCAAAAGCCCCGCGACCGACTACAAAGTACTACTAGTATACGATTAGTCGATCCCTTCGGTGTGCAGTGCCACAGTGAGCTGTAGGTCTGTGAGCCGCGGGTGCGGGCGCTCACGCCAGCCGAGAAGCAGCGTCAAGAGCAAGTGACCCTCGAGGCGGCGCGTGTCCTCGCCAGCGACGTTGTCGCAGCCGTAATCAAAACGTCGATACGCGCCCTTTTGCCCGTCAACCGTAAACGCAGCACACCGGCGAGCCGCAAGAGCAACCAAACCGAGCCCGACCTTCCAAGGGCAGGACTCGTAGCCGCGACCAAGGAGGACGCGGATTCTATCAAGCTAACGCGGCGCCTCCACCCGCGTCACAAGCCATCAACGAGCTCTCTCGTGGCCGAAAAAGCGGTGCAGCGTCTCTCGGACCTGCGATTGCAAGTGCTCTGTCCAGGCTTTGCGCCCGACACGAGCGTGCTTCCTGGGGTGCCCCCGATCGAAGCGTTCATCGCGCTTGTCGAGAGCGCAGGGCGCCACGAGGCCGCGTCGCGCCTTCTCGGTCATCCCAAGTTTGAGACGGCCGTGCACGTCATTGCACATGCATTTGAGGTCGCCCATCCGTCGGCGTCCGCGCTCGACGGGTATTTGCCAAGCTACTTTTCCTGGGCCGCCGAGGCTCGCAGCCGCACGCTCAAGCAGCTGCGCTAGAGCCTTCGGATGAGGACAATAATGATACATGACGACTCGTATAAATATAGTTTCGGATGGCGCGGTCGGCGCAGTTCCGAGGGCGCTTCGAGTGCTACTCGGTCGCTTGCCTGGGTGCGACGCGCCCGATCCGCGGTGTTCTGACGCTGGTAGTAGACATGCCGGACCTCGAGTTTGGCGACAAGGTCATTCTACCCCCTGTACGGAGCTCGCTACGGAAATTATGCACGTGATGCAAGCGACAAAGTAGGCCGTCCTGCGCGACCTGCAGGTCCTCAAGATCCCGCTTCCGCTCGTGTTTCGAGTCACGTCAACGAACGCGCCAGACGTCCGTCAATTCTGCAGTGTCCTCGAGTTTAGTGCGCCCGACGGCCAAGTACGCTTGGCGATCTGCCTTTTTCTTTGACGCGATTGTTAGATGTTTGCACCGTACTGGATGATGCAGAATCTCTTGGTCGATGAAGGCGGCCGACTCCAACTCGAGAGCGCGACCAATGTACACGCCTCGCCTTCTCGACGCCGTAAGGGACGCCTTCTTGTATAGATTCCACGGGGTGTCTACTGCCGCTTTCAGCCGCACGTCGGCGCCTTCTTGGATTTAGCTGCGACGCTCGGTCCCAAGGTGCGAGTTTCGCATCATCTTGGAGCAGAAGAGAGAACGCGGATAGATTTTACTCGAGTCGGCGATGCGCAAGTACTCGGTGTTGAGCGTTGGTGAGACGATCGTGATTGAATATGGCGCCGACAAGTACGACCCCCTTGTGCATGCGTATATTGATGCACTTGAGACGTACTAGGTACTTCGTCGACGTTGTCCACGTCAAACCTGGCGACGTCATCCACCTCTTTGGGGACGTGGATCTCGAAGTCGACTTCAAGGCTCCCGAGGTACAAACTGACGTTGCTTTTCGTGCGTATGGTAAAGCCATTGGGTAGAACATGGACCCGCGACGGCCCAAGTCGGCAGCACCACCAGCGGACACGAGCCCATGCAGCCAACCAAAAGATAATGTCACGCCGCGACGAGAGACTGTGGACGCGTACATGCCATGTACGACACCCCGCTGTAGTCACACACGAGCACTAGGACGCTGGGCCCGAGCTCGACGCTGGGACGTCGCCTCGGTGACGGCGGCTACGTGCAGGTGCCCGATACGCCGCCTGTCGTTGCCGCGACGCCGGCCAAAAAGGCGCTGTCACTCCAAGCTGCGCAGCTGAAAACGAAATCGGGGGCGGGACCCAACCCGCTCACGACCAAGTCGGTCAAGGCCTTTGAAACCACAGGCTATCGGCTCGAGGCGACGCTGGTCGAGCCCCGGCCAGAGCTACCGGATGCTGTGATCCCGACAGAGAGTGCGACAGCGCCGTACGTCTGCGGCTTTTGCCTCGGCGAGATGCCCCGCGCCAACGCCGAGCTCCACGAACTTCGCTGCAAACAGCACGTGGCGTACCATCGGGTACGTAGTATATCTCTAGTTGTATGCATTGCTATCTGCGCACAGATTGTCTGCGCTATCTGCCACGAAAAAGTGCTCCAAGCCAAGCTCGAAGAGCACGTGCACTGCCCGCAGGTAGGTTGCAACAAAGGTTCTATTCTGACACGACTTGTTCAGTGTTCGTTTTGCGGGTCCTCGTCGAGCCTCGCAGAGCACCACAAGGCGCTGCACGCTGTGGTTCGAATCTATCCAGCGACTCGCCGAGCTCAGAGGCACTAGGTGCGCTGTCCATGCGGGGCCGACGTCCCCGTCGACGCGATGCCGCAACACAAAGAGACGATATGTCCACACACACTCACTATGGTACGCTCTCGACAGTTGAGAAAGGATGCATACCACTATGCGCCCCTAGTGCCATCTTTGCGCCTTGTCGTTCTCACGCCACAAGTACGCGCAGCACTACGCATCTTGTTCGAGTCGCACCGAGCAGTGCGAGGTCTTCTACCCTCTTCTATCGATCGTTGTATGACGCAACAATATTGTGGTAGCGCTGTAAAAAGTACATCAATGTGCTCGCGTTCAACCAGCACGAAGCCACGTGCGGTGACGAGCCCCGCGAAGAGAAGGATCTTACTGCTGCGCGTCCGTCGATCCCGACGGCGACGTTGTTTTCGTGTCCGTACTGCGGCCGCGCTGCGTTTGATTCGATTGTCGCGCTGGACAAGCACACGGAGCATGCGTGCACCATCGCTCGGTATGCTGTCTGTGTTGTGTACGAGCACGTGGAGACGAGTGGCGCGTAGAAGCTTCCTCGGCAATGGTCTCCCGACAAAAGGGTCGCAAGCGCCGCCGATCCTTCGCGGCAAATTGCGCCGCAAAACCGACCTCGTCAAGCCCAAGAGTACACTGCAACAGGCCGGCGAACGCGCCGTGAAGCGTGAGACAGCCGTCATAACAACCCTCGGCGACCTCGAGCCCGTCAAAGGGGCGACCATCGGTGGCAGCGCCTCCAAGAGCTCACGACAGCAGCAGGTCCACGCCATCTTGACAGCGTCGCAACGAGCGACGCGCAAACTCGCGGCGCGCCAAACATCGACGACCAAGACGACGAAGAAACATCTCTTGTAGCGTGCCTGTTCCACGTCATAGGCTTACTCTAAATATGGAAATTTTGGTTGCGAACTTCGAAGTCTGAGCCTGCCCATTCGATCTTCGCCGCGATCTTCTTTCGACATGGCCACGTACGCTGCACCGTACGACGAGGGCGTGGACGTCTGCGAGCGCGTCGAGGACTTTGGCCTCAAGGTCGAGCGCGTGTACGACGGCTAGAGACTGCTACAGACGACGCCTGAGGCCCTACGATAGGCGAGCGCTGCTGCGCGACCTCGATGTGAATGGCTGCCTCTTGAGCCTTTCGCACAACTTTGCGTGGCTCAGTGGCGGCGGGCGCAACCATATCCTCCTTGCAAGCGAAGGTATCCATCGTCGTCATAGCATGAAAGTGCGCTCTGGCCCATGCATGCAGGCGGCGTCGGCAGTCTCTTCGTCAATGCTACCCGCGTGCTCTTGATCACCAACAACATTGAGGGCCAGCGCTTGCTGCACGAAGAGCTCGCAGGACTGCCCATCGAGGTACGACACGGCTGCGGCACGTTGGTACTAGTATCACCTCGCATACATAGCTGCTTGAAGAGCCGTGGTACGAGTCGCGAGAGACCGAGGCGGTGCTGGCTGCGATCGTCGGTCCCGGAGCTACTTTTCTTCGGGACACCAACACGGCCGTCGAGAAGCGGCTGGCGCAGCTTCGCCAATCGCTAACGCCACTCGATATCAAGCGCTACCGCGCACTCGGGCGACACTGCAGCCATGTCGTCACCAGCGTCGCCGACTCGGTTCGCCGCGGCGACGCTGAGTGGTCTCTTGCCGGACAGCTCCACCAGCGCGCACTTGAACACGGCATCGACGCCGTGGTGGTCTTGGTCGCTGCCGACGAGCGCTTGGATAGCATTCGACACCCGCTTCCAACCACGAAGCTCGTGCGGGAGAAGGTCATGCTCGTGCTCTGCGGACGTCGCGGTGGGCTCATCTGCTCCCTCACGCGCATTGTGTGTGTGGCGCCAAAGGTGCCGGAGGACCTGCGCGCGCGGCACCACGCCGTCACGTTTGTGGACGCGACGGCCTTGGCAGCAACGCGCCCGGGCGCGATCGCCAGCGACATCTTTCGCGCCATCCAAAACGCCTATGCGATAAGCGGCTACCCCAACGAATGGAAGCGCCATCACCAGGGCGGCGGCACGGGCTACAAGAGCCGCGAGTGGAAGGCCGACGCGTCCAACCACGTAGAGCACCTGCCCTTTCTATGGCAGGTATTCACGACAGCGTGTAGGAGATCGTTGCGCCACTTGGCGCGTTCGCGTGGAACCCGTCCATTGCCGGCACCAAGTCGGAAGACACTGTGCTATTGCTTGCGGAGGGACAGCTCGAGGTGCTCACGCAAGCCCCAATGTCGTGGCCAATGCTGCGCCATGTCGTCGATGGCATCGAGATTGCCCGACCCGACATCCTCCACCGCCCTTCGTAGCACCATTCGCCATGAATGCGTCCACGTCTCGCGCCGACGCCAGCCTGCATACTTGTATAATGCGTCGCCTCAAAACTGCACGCCAAGGCGATGTCGTTGTCCTATGGAAGCCTCTGCCCATGCCATCATCAGCCGTTCGGAGCCATCGCGCCATGCAATGGTGTGCTCGCCGCTCGTCGCTAGCACTACGAGGTCGTACAAGTGGCCGCTTCTTCCACGCAGCGCTAAAGCGAGGCTCGTGGCTGTAGCATCGCAGGCTCTATCTTCTCGGCGGCTCGTCCTCGCCCTCGGCCAGAGCAATCGCATTGTCGGCTGGGCTTATTGCGGCGCTCGGATTGGTCAAAAAGGCGTCGTAAAATCGCGTACCTCCAAACCAGTCATTAAACAAAGGAGTAGGGGAAGTGGACCAACGAGCCAATCACCGGCCGTGTATAAAAATATAGTGAAAGCACTTGCTATGTATATGGAACATAAATCCTTTAAAAAAGTGTATGGGCCTCCGCGCTTGGCGGCCGATGACTGGTTGGTGGTGAGGTCCAAGTCGGGCCGATTCAATAGAACCTCCAGTTTTAGTTTTCGGGAACCTAATCAGCACCAATGGTACGTCGCAGGCCGATTCCTAGGAAGACGACCTTGGCGATGATGAGGATGATGCTCATGGCCGCTTCCTCCATGTAGCCGCCTAAGACGCAGCAAAAGACCAAGGAACAGAAGATGGCCGCCGCCTTGGCTGGCTCGCGCGGCAAGGGCAAGAAGAAGTGGTCCAAGGGCAAGGCCCGCGAAAAGACGCAGAACAAGGTCCTTTACGACCAGGAGGCCTACGAGCGCATGTGCAAGGAAGTCCCTAAGATGAAGTTGATCACGGCGTCGGCCATTGTCGAACGCCTCAAGGTCAACGCCGCCCTCGCCCGCGCCACGATCCGTGAGCTCGAGCTCAAGGGTGACATCAAGGTCGTCTCCAAGCACAGCGCCCAGTTGATCTACACCCGCGCCATCAGCGCTGAATAAATGTAGTTGCTGACTTTGCCCGAACTTATCCGAGGTCCCTCTCTCTTTCAACGACGACCTACTGCGCCGGGTCGCGGTAGCCGTCTTGCAAAAGAGTGGTAATTGAATGCATTAGGAGCCTTCTTCCCTTATCTTGTCCTTTGTCTTGCGTCACTCCCATCGTTTCTTGCCAATTAGCCTGTCCTCGATCTGAGCCCGAATCCGCCTCCGCTACCCCCATATTCGCGACTACAGCGCAGTGCAATCATGTGCATGAGGAGCTTGGTCACGAGTCATGCATATACCCGCTCGATTGGGTGCGCACGACAGAGCGCACGTCATCGACGACGCACCACGTGACGAAATCTGGTCAACAAGTTGCGTCGACCTGCGAGCGTACGCGATTACTAGTGACACGAGGAGGTGAAAGCCCAGTGCTTCTCCGACCCCATGGCATAGCCACGTGATGACCTTCCAAGCCATGCACATGTACACAGACCTCTCCGTCCTCTCCAATGCCCTTTGTCATGAGTCGCTCGCTACATGTCCTTCTGCCCACATACGTCGTGCATCGGTCTACAGTTGTTTGCATAGACTTGCGCCGCCCGTCGGGCCGGCGTCCTTTATGCACCACCAGTTACGGCCGTGTAACCACCGTGGCCAGACTGACGAGTAGCTAGCCGTTTGGTGCGAATCTAAAGGCCGCCACGGAGGTCCATGGAGCTTGGGGCATATCTCGCGGATGGCTGGACTCACCAGCCTCCGCGACGTCACCACGGGCGCGCTATGTCGTGTGCCAATCCTCGTTCGAAAGTTGCTCTTGCGCAACTGCAAACACGTTGGTCGCAGCTACTCGACCACGCGCTCGCCCAGCGTCGGGTCGGTGCCGTTGCCGCGTGCATGGGCTATCGGTAGCAGACGATCGCGCGCATGCAATGGTGCCCTACATGCTCATGCCCGCTTCGGCCAAAGCTGTGATCGGCGGGTCCGTCGGCGGCCGCGCGGGGTGTCGCACCAGCGTTACCGAGTGGCGTACTTGGCGCTTGCGCCAATCCCGATCCTCACCCGAATTTTATTTTATTGAATGTGTGTGCACGCTCTGTCGTATTTGGCGCGTCGCAAAAGTGTCGTTTTCTCGCGGCTTCTCGACTCGAAAGAACTCGAATGGGCTGAAAAAGCGTCGAGAGTCAGTTCGCACAGCTGCGTTGACGCTTTTTGGCAAGATGCCAAAAAAATACGCCACGGGCCACAAGTTCAACTGAAGCAACCAGTTTGCTTTTTGCCAAGTCGCTGTCAAGTGCCATGGCAACCTCGTCGCCCACGTCCGAGCTCGTCGCGCCGCCAGAGGGCTCGCTCGAGCTCCTCAAGCGCACCAACTCGGTACGTCGACCGCGTGGTATCACGTACTAGATCTCATTCGCCTCGTCGTGTAGGAGCCCAGTGTCATCTTGGCGTCGGCCGAAGAGAACAAGGTCATTGACATCTCTGAGCCGCTGGCGTTCCGCCGGGCACACCTGCGCTTGAGCCAACACACACACCAAGTGTCGCCCGAGGTGCGCGCCAGCATTCTGCACGCGGTCGACAATGTGTACAACCCGTTCATTTCGTCCATGATGTCCCAAGACAACGACAAATACGACAGTCTTGACGCGTCCCAGCGCATTCGCAACCTCCTCAACACGCCGGCGTCCGCGCTCGGGTGGCGCAGCTCGCAGTCGCTCGGGTACACGGAGCTCACGCCGCTCGCGCGCCCGCCGTCGAGCAAGTCGTTTGTGCCAGCAAAGGAGACGACGCTCGGCCAAGCCTTCCTCGCGCTCCTCAAGGCCTTTGTCGGCACGGGCGTGCTCTTCTTGCCGCAGGGCTTCAAGGCCGGCGGCATCTTGTTTGCGCCGGCGCTGCTCTTCTTTGTGGCCGCGCTCACAGTCTTTGCGATCTACCGCCTCCTCCAGTGCCGCGCGGCGTACGGCGGCACGTACGGTCACATTGGCGAGATCGCGTACGGCATCTGGGGCCACCGCTTTGTGCAGATCTCGATCATCCTCATGCAAGCCGGCTTTTGCTGCTCGTACATCATCTTTGTCGCCCAAAACATGACCGAAGTGCTCGCGTACTTTGGCGCCAACATCTCGGTCGGCGCGCTCATCATGCTCCAGACCGTCATTTACATTCCGCTGTCGTGGATCCGCTACATCAGGTACCTCGTCCTCTGTCGTGTTTTCTCTGAGATCTTAGATTTTTGGTTGTGTAGCTACTTTTCCGTCTCCAACTTGGTGGCCGATGCGTTCATCCTCTATGGCGTCGCGTATATTCTTGGCTGCAGCTTTTCGTCGCTCGCCGAGGTCGGGCCGCAGCGCGTCGAGTACTTCAACCCGCAGGATTACTCTGTCTTTGTCGGCACGGCGGTCTTCACGTTCGAGGGCATTGGTCTCATCATCCCGACCCAAGCGTCGCTCGCGAAGGAGCACCAAAAGCACTTTTTACCGCTCATCTTGGCGACCGTGCTGGGCCTCTTTGTGTTTTACTCGTTCTTTGCGAGTGTCAACTACATTGCGATCGGCGACTCGATCGAGCCATTGGTCATGTCGAGCCTGCCCCGCAACGGCTGGACGATCTCGGTCCAGGCCGGGTACTCGGTCGCGCAGCTGCTGTCGTACCCGCTCTTCCTCTTCCCCGCCGTCAAGATCATTGAGGACATGCTCCTCTTGCCGCGCCGCGACTCGGGGCTCAAGGCGCAGAAAAACTTGATCCGCGCGCTCATTGTGACCATGACGGTCATGGTCGCGTACTTTGGCCAGGATCGCCTCGACCTCTTTGTGTCGATCGTCGGCGCCTTCTGCTGCGGTACGCAGATGAATGATACTTTAGCATATTGGACTCATCTCTATGGATCGTAGTGCCGCTGAGCTTTATCTACCCGCCGCTCTTCTACCTCAAGCTCTTCCCGGACGTGTCCATCTTCTCCAAGATGCTCGATGTGAGCGTCGTCATCATCGGCTTCCTCACCTTCTTCTACGTCACGTGGTCCAACATTCAAAAATGGGAGTCGGGCGCACTCTAATACGCTCAGATAATCTTATGCACGTCTTGTCGCGAGTCTTACTTTGACAGACTGTTGCCACAAGGTCTGGTTGCCACACCCTCGTCAAGCGACTAGGAATTCGGCAGTAGCGAACGGCGAAGGACATGCTCGCTGAAATCCAAACTTCAAGAATGCTCCAAATCACAAGCGATGTGCTTGGAGATACCGGTATCATTATGCCCAAGCTGCTGGCAGTGTACTTGTCCTACCAAAGTCTCTCTTGTCGTCTGCTGATGCCAGCAAGGATTGCTTGCAACACCGCTCGCTGGCTTCTTGCACTTGAGTTTGCCTTTCTAAAACCTCTCAAACTCGATGTGCCAGCGTCGGTCCATTGCCGACGGGTTTTCGCCCCGATGCTCTTCCAGAACAAGAGGTACAGGCCCCGAGCGGGCGTCGCTTGACGAAGCGTGTAGCCGCCTCATCCGCGCCGTGAGCTGGATCCCGGTGTTCCTCGTGACGCTCCTCATCTCGCTCGAGTACTATGTCTTTGTCGAGTACCACATCCGCGCCAAGCTCTCGGCCGGCACGGACGAGCCGCTGGGCCTCGCGCTCCAGTTCATCGTCTTCAACGTGCTCGTGGGCCTCACCGTCATCTCGTACTACCGCGTCGTCACGACAGGTCGGCCATCGCTCCTCGCTCGACCGCGCCTTGATGGCCCGTATAGATCCGGGCTTTGTCAACGAGATCATGGCCGAGAAGCTCCGCCAGGAGGCAAGCGAGTGCGGCCTCGTGATGCCTGTGTGCCGCGCCTGCAATAAGCCCAAGCCCGTGCGCGCGCACCACTGCAGCGTCTGCCGCATGTGCGTCATGAAGATGGGTACCTCCTTGTCCATGCTAGCAAAGCGCGTATCCTCCTGTCGTCCGGACTAGACCACCATTGTCCGTGGGTCGGCAACTGCGTCGGGCTCGCCAACTACAAGTACTTTTACCTCTTTGTCATCTACGGCGCGCTCGGCTGCGGCATGATCCTCATCACCATGTTCCCGGTACGCGTGCGATGGTGCGAACGAGATGACGATGCTTGCTAGGCCTTTGAGCGCGCCATCAACCATACGACGGTGGAGATGCCCATGACGGCGCTCCTCGGGTTCGTCATGGCCGGCAGCGTGACGCTGTCGCTGCTCATCTTTACGGGCTTCCACACCTTCCTCATCCTGCGCGGCCTCACAACGCTCGAGATGAACGTCTACGGTATGCGCAGCCCGTACCGACTCCCCGTATGTCCCTCGTTCGCTTTCTACAATACAAGTCGACTCATGCGGCTTTATAGACGGTCGTTGAAAACTGGTGGTCGGTCTTTGGGACGCACCGAGCGACGTGGTTCTTGCCCGTGCCCGCCGTCGACGCCGACGATGGGCTCACGTGGATGCAGCCGACGCGCATGCCATCGCGCATCATGATGTCACATGCGATCGACGACTCGGACGACCACGAGGGCTCGATGCTCATGCATCTCTAAGCACAATGCATCCAATTCTCTACTGCAGCTGTTGACTCATGACGGAGTGAGTGATGATGACGTGGCAGTACCAGTGCATCAGGATCAATATGGCTCCTTTCTGCAGCAGATGAATGCTAGACGACGACAGAAGACGCAATGGACGAAGGAGGATCATCATCATCATCTATCGAGACTAAATATAGGAAGAGCTTGCTACGATACGCGGCTATACAAACGCACAACGTCGTCGGGTCGTTTGCGTCGTCGCTTAGTTGGCATCTTCCTCCACCTTGGGCGCCAAATAGTAGCGGATGTAGCCCATTTCACCAATCGCATACTCGATGACGACGGGGACACCGGGCGACATGGAGAGCGTCACGGTGGCCGAGAGCGGCGTGGCCTTGGTAAACATGTTGAGGTACCGGAGCGCAAACGTGAGCTCGACGGGCTCTTCCATCTGGATGATGACGCGGTCTTCTTCCTTCTCGGACGCCGTGTTGTTCTTGAGCGTAATGTTGCCCGCACCGAGGTCGCCCGTGACGCTAAACTTGACGCCGTCCTTGCTCACGCTGATTGTGCACGTGTCGCCCATCGTGTGCAAGTCGCGGCAAATGCGCTGGAACTCGCTCGACGGCATGCGCACAGTGGCCACATATTCGGTGCTCGGGATACCAAGGTGCTCGCTGTCAATGTCCATGAGCTTGAGGCCAAAGTCCGAGATGCGGTCGCCGGACGCGGCTTCAAAGATGATGTTGAGCACGTCGCCTTCGTCTTCGGCCGAGAGCGAGAGCGCGTCGTCGTTGCCCGAGCACTTGAGAATCTTGGAGAGCGACGCAGTCTGGATACCGAGCGAGATGTTGCGGTCGCAGCGGTAGTGCTCAAAGCCCTCGGCGCGGAGCAGGAGCGAGACGAGCGAGACGTGCGAGCCGTCCATGCTCTGGAGCGCGAGGCCCGACTTGGTGCAGTCGATGTTGCCCTCCGAGATGAGCTCCTTCATGGCCTCGATGATCAACTTGACGATCTTCCCTTGGCTCAAGCGGGCTTCAAACATGATGGTTCTTGTCGGTGGTCTCTGTGGCAAATTGGCAAGTGGGCTCGGCCGGCGGCTCCAAATACCTTGCTCTTTGTATACATCCATTTTAGCCAATCACATGCGTCCCCTCCAAATTCGTAGCGCGGCAATGCCATATACAAACGCCAAGTGCGACCGCCGTATCCGGACGTTCCATAAAGAACAACGCGCGAACCGAGCGGCGGGTCCGGATAAAGGACCCTTCCCCTCCAAAACCCCGCGACCACAGAATCAAAGATCGGCCGTTTCGCCAATAATCGAACCACAGTCGAAGCGAGGACGAAGATGAGGAGCATCGAGCCATGGGCAAGGTAGACATGCTGCGAGAGGCGAGGTAGACTCGGTCATGCTGCGTCATGACCTGGCAGGTGGCGTGGGCGTGTACAGAGGACGCATGTGATGGAGGAAGGCCTGGACGAGCTGCACTAGGACGTGTGTCCGTGCATAGCCTTGTACTGCTCGTCGCAATCAGAAAAACGATCGACTCGTCAAGATGGTGGTTCCATAAGGAGTGATTACATGGGCGCGCGACAGAGAGGACATGTAGACTGGCGCACGAGCCACTCGGCGACGCAGGTCTGGTGGAAGGCGTGGGCACAGGCGAGCTGGACGCTTGAGACGCACGCATCTTCGCCGTGCAGGTCTTCCAGACAGATAGAGCAGCTGTCGTCGCGCGCGCCGTCGTCCATGCCATCGATCTCATTGCCTACTTCTTGGGGCAGCATGGACAAGATGCGCTGGCGCCATTTCCAGTCTTGGTCCTTTTGCAGCCGTGGGATCTGCAGCGTCTCTTCGATCGTGTCAAATACGCGGTGGGCGATTCGCGCGAGAAGCGTCGGCGTGCTGTTGGCAAGCGTCAGCAGAAGGCAGAGCTCGCGCACGCGGAACATGGCGCGAACAAAGTCGGCGAGGCCGCGCTTGCGCTCGTCGACAACGTTGGGTATGTCCATAAAGATGTGCTTCTTCGGGAAGGGCTGGAGCGGCGCGAGAAGCGCTGCTATCGTCGCGCGGTCTCGAATCTGCTTGCGACTGATGAGGTTGACGACCTTGAGGAGTCGCTGGCGGACCTTTGCAAGCGTCGAGTAGCGGTGACGTACAACCCAGAGCACGTTGGACGCTGGCGACCAAATCTGCATCATGTACACGGTGTAGTAGAACGCTGGTGCGTCCACGTAATGGATCGCCGTGTGGTTGATGGACACTTGGATGGCGGCGGCGGCGCTGGCGGCGTCGAGCCGCTCGATCTCGGCGTTCGTGTACCGAGCGTCAGCGCGCGCGGTCGGCTCCGACGAGGACCATGGACGGCGAGGTGGCATACGCATCGGACTCCTCAGATTCGAGCAAAGCGGCGTATCAAAAAAGAGCACGCACGCGATTGGCTACTCGAACTGGCCAGGACCAGAATTGGACCAATCCGCGCGCAATGGAAGATAGAAAGGCCAATCAGATGATGGCACCACCACCTCCGACGGCTTCTCGGCTCGCAGCTGCGTAGACGGCGTGTCGGGTTGAAGTTGTCCAGTGCAGTGCAAGCACACTGCGGAGCAGACAGCAAGGCGCGACTCGCCACAGGTCTTATTTGTCTTTTACACGACCCATGCACAAGCTCCCAATGTACGGTACCGATACTCTTCAAGCACTACTGCGAAAGCAGATATCGTCATGCAGAGGTCTCTCATCGACTTGGTGACGGTGCCGCCTAGGCCGTCGATGGAACGTGGACTTTGTCCGAGTGGCGGGGCGACGTGATCTCGGGGCCATCGCGGCTCTGCGCAGCTTGCATGGCCGCATACTTGCCAAACGTGCAGTCGAGCACGGCGCCCGAGAGACCGTACTCCTCGACCGTGTACTTGACCTCGCCGTATTTGCCCTACGCGACCGTAGTCATGACAAAATGCCTTGGCGAATAATGCGCCTACCTTGGGGTTCTTCTCGAGGTACTCGCGCATCTTGTTCTCAAAGTCGTCCGAGACCTCCATGCCCCACTGGTCGTAAAGTGCCTTGACCGTGCCAATGGGGTCGGCGATCCATTCGTCGTACTGGAGGTTCGTGACGTCGACGGCCTTGCGCGCCAAGAGAGCGTTCGTGGTCTCGGTGCACAGCTCTGTAGCGAGTCGTCCAATCAGCTTCTTGTCGAGGCCTTTCCCCTTCAGCGACGGGTGCATCTCCCGCAGAAGTTTCGTTGCGCTCGAGGCCACGACTTGCTTCATCTCGCGGTGCAGCATGACGATCCGTGCGCCAGGAAAGGTCGCGCGAAGCAGCGGTAAGTGCGAGGCGTGGAAGGGCGATTTGAGCACCCAGTGCGTCGGGCCATCGGGCTGGCCGCTCTGCAGCAGCTGGTAGTACCGGTACAAATACGTGTACACATTGCGCTTGTTGGTCGCAGTCAAAAGCATGCGCCGCGCCTTGTTGCTCAGCACCTAGAATCGCTTAGCGGTGGATGGATGGATAGTACGATGGGAGGGTACCGCAATGTACTTGAGCGGCGGCAAGGCGTGCTCGATCAAGACGGCGTCGTCCGCGATCGTCTCTGGCGTGCTAAAGTGACAGGCCGCAATGTCGGCAAAGATCTCGGGCGTCAAGCGGTAGCGAGCGTCCCACGCGTGCACGCCGCGTTGAAACCACGTGTGCTCCGTGTCCATCGCCTTGGTCGGTGGCGCCACCGCGGCGTACCCCCCCGCGTCCACTTCATAGTTGAACGCCGCACGGGCCGAAGGGTCGCACGCCAAGAGGTTGTGCAGAAGCGTGCTGCCCGTGCGCGGCAGCCCCGTAATCACAATTGGCGACGGAAGCGACACGTCCGCGATCTCAGGGTGCGCGACAAAGTACTTCATGAAGGCCTGGCGCGCGCGGAGGGCTTCCATTAGCTGCCGCTGCGCGGTGAAGCGGCCAAAGTTGGAGAGAAGCGGGCTCTTCTCGAGGTCGGTGATCACAGTTTCGTAGACGGCGACGGTGGCGGCTTGGTCACCGAAGAACGCCTCGGCTTCCTTGGGCGTGTCCTTGAGCAGATCGAGAAGCTTCCTACGCAAGTGTGAGATGGTGAGCATTCGAGCTTGCAGCGGACGTACTCTTTCGGGAGCGGAAAGATGGTCGTGCAAAAAAAGCGGCGTGCAATCCACGCATACGCAAGGAGGATGTTGATCCACCAGTGCGAGAACCAGTACGACGGAATGAGCGTCGGGTCGGGCTTCTTGGGCTCGGGCAGCGGGTGGCCCATCGCAAAGCGGATGAGGTGGTAGACAAACATCATGAGGCAGATGACGTTGAGGAGCATGTACACTTCCTGGACGCCGAGCTCCCACATGACTTGCTTTGCAAAGTCCCACGCTTGCTGCACATACTCTTCCATCTCGGCGGCAAATTCGACACTGCAGAGACAACGCTCAAAGATACGCGGCCGTCCAATCAGACGCCGCGGCGTTTCAGCGCGACCTCTCCGAAGCGGCGCGACGCCACCAATACCGGATAAAACGTGGCGTTACGCCATAAATAAAATGGAACAAAAATGGCGCCTCAGCCGATAATGAATTATTATACACTATTGCACGCCGTTGTCGTCGCGAAGAAGGCTCTGAATGAGCTTGCGGTTCTTGACCTCCATGGTGGACGGCGCGAACGTGCATTCTTTCATCTCCTTTTGCCGAAGCTCGGCTTCCAGGCGACCTCGCTTTCCATCCCGCTGGCGATCTTGGTACGAGAGTTTGAACGGCTCCGGGATGGTGTACGCCCGGGGGGTATACGACGTGCCAAACACCTTGGCTTCGCGCTCCCTACCAAGTGGTTCTTGAATAATCGGTCATTTCTCCAAATCAAAACGGACCGAAGCTCTTCTTCTTGGCGCTTGGCGCGCTGCTTGAGCTCCAAGAAGCGACTGAGACCGCGGACAACCACAGGCCGCGCCGCCGCCTCACTTGCCGAGATGGGCTTGCGATTGATATTGGGCTGAAATGTACATCGCTGGAGCTCCTCGAATTCGAGGAGGTGGCGCTTGTCTTCGAGCGACTGGCGCCGGCGTTCGCGGGCGCGCTCGATGTTTGAATCACAGTCTACGATAGTGCAGTGCTAACAAACCGAGGGACGAGTGGGACGCACCGCTGGGTTCCACACGGTCGCGCGATCGGCGTCGCCTTCCAACGGCGTGAGCGCCGGCCGGAACCGGCACTCGGCTTGCGTGCGCTGCTCCATTTCCTTGATGACCCGCGACCGAATCGGCTTGGTTGCGTCACTCTACCCAAGATACCTTGACGACTAATCTCTCGTACAACTGCGATAGACCTTGGCGAGCTTTTGGATTGGGGTCGCGCGCCCCAAGGCTTTGGATACGTGGTTAAGCGTGGGCTGGAACGAGAATTTGTTGTAGTAGGCTTCTTCGAGTCGCTTCTTTTGCTCGGCCTTCTTGCGCGGCTCCTACAGCCGCACGCTTGTATCTGCATCTTCAAATCTCACGTTGCATACCGCGTACGTCATGCGATAGAGCTGCTGGGGCGTGCTCTCAGTCAGTCGCTTGGGTCGGGTGTGCTTCAGGACCTTCTCGGCGTTGCCGATGCACGGCTGGAATGGCTTTTCGATCGCGTTCACTTTTTCTTCCAGTAGCATTTGGTGCTCGAGCTTGTCGTCGCGTCGGTCTTGGAGCACGCGCTGACGCGTCACAAAGTCGAGCTACGCGCCTACGTTAGCTTGCATTCATTATCGTCGGCCGACGTACTTTGAACTCTGGCTTTTGATCGACAATCGAGTGGCTTCGCTCGTTGACCTGCGGCGCAAACGACAGACCTTGCTACAGAACACGAATGTTTAGAGTCGACATGACTGCGATCGACGCCTACCGCGGTCGTGTACAGCTCTTCCACAATCTGACGCTTCTCAATATTGTCTTCGGCGTCTTGCACCAATCGGTCCGTGACGCTCAAATGCCCGAGCTGCTGCGTGAGCTGGCGACTCTTTTCGTTGATTTCCGGAACAAATGTGAGCTTGTCCTCGACCGACGTCGCAAGCTGCCGAAGCACCTCCTTCTGCAATGCGCGTCAGATAGTATATAATACTGCATCGCACTCGACCTTGCGGCGCTGGATCTCGGGAACCCGGTCCTGGATCGGTTTGTACTGCGTATGGTCGACCATGGCGCGCGTCACGGCGTTGATTTTCGGCGTAAACGTGCACGTCGCGCGGACGCTGCGGTCTTCGAGTGCGCGCTTGACCTTGGCGCGGAGCTCGTAGCGCAAGAGGCCGTCCCCGTACAGTCTCTCAGTGACGTCGTCGACCTTGACGCGCTTTGGATTGGGGCTCATTTGCTGCTGGACGAACGCCAATTTCTCTTCCACGGGTTTTTCGGGCGTTCGTTGCGCTGTCGCAGCGTGTATTGGATGCCGCAAGGATAGAAGACGGGTACCGTGGGCGTTTGGCGTAAACGTGCACGAGCTCAACGATGCGAGCTCCTGCTCCATCTTGAGCTTCTCGCGCTTGGCGTACTCGGCGCTACGCGGCGCCGCCAGCTGTGAGAGCCGGCTTTGTCCCGTCGCTCGGACCTAGCACGCTATTAGGAATGGCCAAGCCGTCGAGAGACGCGCCTTGGAGCCTTTGTACGGCGTGGTCTTGGGGCGAAACGTGCACTCGGGATCCATTGGCGCCGACTAGACAAGTAAGGTCGCAGTAGCTCGCACGTCCAGCGTAAGTTCTCGTTACATGTGAAGCCGCGCGGCGATCGCGCGGCGCAGATGCAGCCCGCCGCTTCCCGATGCCCTGTGCACGACACGTGTGCTCATCATCCATCAAGATTGGCAGTGCATACCTTGGGAGGCGAGGCACTCGGACCAGCGTCAAAATCGATGTCAAAGCGGACAGCTTTGGGCAGTGGCTTCTTGGGCGAAGCATGACGCGATGTTGGTGGTGCTGGCCACGGCGCAACGTCGTCCTCGTCGTCCACATACGTCGATGGCCTCCGCGGCAGCATCGTAGGCAGCTCCGAGGCAAAGTAGAGCGTGTCGTCGCCTTCTTGAAGCTCCTTGAGGAAGCTCATATTGTCGTCTATGCAATATAGACATAGAAGTGTGCGTTCTTGGGCACAAGAACCGATGCGCACCGCCGTCGTCGTAGCCGCCGTCGCTGTCGTTGGCCATGCCATCGTCGTCGTACGACATGTCTTCCGTGTTGGGCTGCTGCGTTGGTGACGGCAGTGGGAACCGCGCCGCCGTGTCCATGAACGACGCAGCCCATGGTAGATCGTCGCTGAATGCTGGCGTCTTCTTTCGCTCGAGGAGACTGCGGCGCTCGTCCTGGAGCTTGGCGAGGATCTCCTTCCGGCGCGCCTCCGAGAGCTTGGGCGGCGTTGCGGCCGACGGCGGCGCGCTGCGCTGCTGCAGGTAGGCTTCCGCGAGTCGGATCTCGTCCTCCACTTGGCTCAGCGCGTCGTCGGCCATCGGACAAGATATGTTCGATCTTGAGCGGCCACGTCGTCGAGTGCACCATGGCTGTGGATTAAAATACACTTGGCATTTGTATGCATTTATAATGCATGCAAACATTAAAAGTTCGACCTGCGTATCCGGAGGATTCCGGATGCTATCGGCGTTGACACGCATGATCCCGATCAAGAAGCATCCATGTCCTGGGACTGCCGAGGCGCATGGACGCCCGAGAGTCGTATGCCAATGACAGGAGCTTTGTGAAGACGTATAGGCCACTGCCGGGACACGGCGGGTATGGGCGCAACCTTGCGATGCAGAGAGCTCGAAACGCCTTGCTCCCTCGCCTTGCTTGCTTGCAGCGCGAGACGCTTGCGCGCATTTCACTGCAATTTGCACGAGACTCTGCACGAGACTCAAAAAGTGGGTGGCTCGCATAGCTAGGACGAGCGCTGCATGCAACCGCTACGATCGGAGAGTGCTTTGTTACACCGCTAAAATTAGGGACACACTTTCCAATGCCAACGATACCCGACATTGTGATCGAGGAAGAGCTCAAGGACGACGATGTCGTGGGCCATGTGACCACAACCAAGCGGACAAGTACGCGGCTACGCATCCCGCTGGTGCGGAGTGCAACTGTCGGCGCCCTTGCCGCGCCGTCCCATACCAAGACCCACAAGACCAAAACGTCTACACCCAAGAAGAAAAAAGACTCCCAACATACGCCATCGCACAAGAAGACGATTTCGCACGGCACCAACTGGGACATTGGTCTGGTCAACAAGAGCTGGGAGATCCCAGCTGATGTCAAGAGCGCACTGCCTGCGCTCGCACGCTCCAACTTGCGCCGCGCGAGCCGGCCCAACACGGTGCCTCTCTCAGCCGAAGAGCGCTTCTTGCGAGCTACGAAGCTCGCGGTCCCAACACACAAAGTCACAGGTTCAGATTCTTCAATTCTGTAGGCTGCTGCACGACCGACTAGGCCTTCCACTCGATCTGCTGCCCGACGTCCCCATCTACCTCGAAGATATCAAGGACGATATCCGCACCAAGCTCACGCCCGACGACCGCCGCAAGTATGGTTGTCGGCGTGCAGCGATGTACTACCGCGTGCATATGCATATAGGTACTTTGGAGATGCGGGCAAGCACGACATGCGCTTGGTCGCGGCCAAGCTCGGTCGACAAATGTACATGCACCACGGCAGCCTCCCCGACTTTATCGCTGCAAATCCAGTGATCGAGCAGGTACACTGATCTTCTTTCCATGACAGACAATAATGTACTGGGCACAGCTGGAGGCCTCGGACGAGATCCACGGGCTCTTCTCTGGCCAGCTCTCGGCGCGGCACAAGTTCATTGCGCTGAGCTTGGCGCAGAAGCTGCCGCTGTCCGTGCGCCTCTTGATCCGCAACACCGTGTCGCCGCACTTGAACGTGTCGCACATGGGCATGGGCGACGAAATGGCCAAAGTAACGACAATATGTCCACCATTTTCCAAAAGTCTCATCGAGGGTAGGTATTTGCGCAGTGTGTGCTGGAGTTGCCCATGGTGACGAGCCTCAACATTCGTAACAACCGCCTCACCGACCCGGGACTTGACGCAATCGTGAGTGTCGTGACGCACAAGCGCGACCTTGTCTGCCTCGATATTTCCGAAAACAAGGTCACTCGTGTCGTAAAAATACGGTACAAACTCTTTATTGAATGTAGGTGGATGGCGACGCGGCCGCCGCACTCGCCGAGGACGTGGGCTCCAAGCAATGCGCACTCCAAGAGCTCTGCATGGCCACATGCGATATTGACGACGGCGAAGTTCAAGGCTTTGCCAACGCGCTGCACACCAATACATCCCTTACGACGCTCGTCTTGTCACGCAATCTCATCGGCAAATCGGAGATGCTGAATGTCGTCCAGCCCGACCTGATCACTGGTGCCTCCTCCTTTGCGATAGTGCAACCATGTCTATATCTACTAATGTCAACTTGTGGGTAGGCGGCGAGGCCATTGCGAGCATGCTCTGCAACAACAACCGGCTAACCAAGCTCGATTTGTCGTGGAACATGCTGCGCCTCAACAGGTTGGTTGATATCTCGATACTAAGTTCTGACCTTTTGACCAGCGCCGTCGAGATCGGCAAGGCGCTGGCGGTCAACAATGGTCTGCGGGAGCTCAATTTGGCCTACAACGCGTTCGGGAACCACGGCACGCAGTCCGTGGGCATGGCGCTGCGTAAAAACAACTGCCTCCAAGTGCTGGACCTGAGGTACACACGAAACGAGGAATATACTGGGACGGATCTGTGATATATGTAGCCACAACAACATTCCTTGTGAAGCGGCGTTTGTAATAGCCCAAGCACTCAAAGTGAACGATACAATCACCAATATCGTGCTCGATGGGAATCCGCTGGGAAAGATCGGCGGCCAATCGCTTCTCCACGCCGTCGCGAGCAGCGCCAACCACGCGCTGTCCATCTCGATGGCGAGCTGCAATTTCGACCTCTTTGACCCCAACACGTTTAATCCTGACGAAGCCACGGGCAACTACGACCTCAACATGATGTACGCCTTGCGTCCTGATCGACTTGATAGACTGATATATATACCCGATAGTATTCCGTACGAGCGCTCGATCATGCTCGAGCTGCTGCGCTGTGCCGAGACCAAGACGGGCTGCAAGTTCATTTCGATCGTCCACGTTGTCGACAAGACGTCGCGCCCGCTACAGATCGAAGTGCGCGATGTCGTCACGGCCACGGGCGAGGTGCTGAACTGTGCCCCGCCATCGCTGAGGGTACAAGTGTAGGCGCTTCGGCACCGCAACTCGGTCGCGCGCCGGGGCACACTCCTTCGCCGGACCATGTGCAAAGAGAGCCTGGTCCAGCTCTTCCAAGAGCTTGATAAAGACAACTCGGGCAACATTGATGCCAAGGAGCTCGAAAGCGGTGCGATCTCACCGTTGTACAATAATGTCCTACTGTTTCGCTACGATAAACAGGCATGGCCAAGATGGGCATCCCGACCGAGCCCGGGGAGGCCGCACGCTTGATCTCTCGCTTTGACATAGATGGCTCGGGTCCGTGCGGAAACTAGATCTATAAATCGGAATACGACGACTAGGCACGGTCGAAATCAACGAGTTCATCGAGCTCATGGCCGTCTTTGATGTCGCGCCGCGGCCCAAGAAGCAGATCGTCGATGCGGTGACCAACCAGCCGTTCGAGGTGCCGTCGTCGGGTCGGCTCCTTGTGGACTTTCTGGATCTGCACATTCCAACGGAGAGCACGGAGGCGCACACGCGCGAGTCCATTGCGCACTTGATTCGGAACCTCAAGGGCAACAACGCGCACGTGCAGATGCTCTCGATCGCCAAGAACGGTACTCTTGAGCGGATCACACAAGGTCGCTTTACGTGGACTTTGCGCAGGGCTCTACTTTCGGGAGCGCGAGGCGCAGCTCATCATCGACTCGGTCCTCGACGGCAGCGACCTCGTTGAGGCGATGGCGTCCATTCTGCCGCACATGATTGACGCGTCGAACGCGTGCCAGCTCATCGAGTGCAACTTGGCCGACACGACCCAGCGACTCCGGTACACCGACATGGAGACGCGCTTGGACGCTACTTCTCGAGGATGTAGACTGCAGTATTCGCTGCGCTTTGCGTATGGCCCGATCGTCGGCTTGAGCTCGGGGCACTATCGGCTCGAGATGGCCGAGCCATTGGACCGCATCGCCGCCAAGAAGCTCATGGAGATCAGCAACAAGACTATGCTTTGGAAGAAGAAGTACGAGCTCCTCGACACGTCGCAGCATGCCAACTATCAGTGTTTTCGCAACGAGACGTTCAACGGCAAGCCGGTGGTTCTCGGTTTGGCTAGCTTGTATTCTGCATCCTTTTTACAATTTTTCGATTTGTAGAAAATGCTTTTTGCGACAAGATCCCCAAGTTTGGCGTCCTTGAGTTTGACTTTGTGCACATGTCGAGCCGACCCGTGCCACAACAGAGTCCGACACTATTGTCTTTTGTATAGTAGACTGCACACAATGTGTCGTATTAGGCAAATTCCAATCGATCGAGCCCATGTCAACCAAGCGGTTTGCGCAATTTCTCGAGCGGATGCATGCCGTGGGCCTCGATCCCGAGCCGCACACGGAGCTGCCGCGGGCATATGGCACGCTAACGCCGACCGTCTTCGAGCACCTTCTCAAGATGCAGCGGAACGCGCAGTACAACGACTACTTGTCCGGGCTCGCGGCGTTTACCGAGGTCGAGCTCCACGGCGCCAAGGTCGGTCCGCGTTCTCCATTTCGTTCGTTAGACTATCGCAATGGGACAGGTGACAATCTCGGTCCGGCGCCTCATCATGGAGCTGCAGTACCTTCTGTCGTCGCGCTGGATCAGCGTCAAGCAGTGCCTTCGGATGCTCTGCATGTGGCCGCGGGCCTTTAAAGCCGCGCGCGTCGATGTGATTTTGATGCTCATCGACCGCGTTGTCGACCTCTACAGCGTGCCGCAGGTACCAATCCGATTTGCGACATCCTTTGAGAGAATTGATTTGTGTATAGATGTTTGCGCTACTGACCGAGCGAGAGCTGGCCGAGCTCATCTTTCGCTATGGCTGGCTCAACTTGTGGTCGCCACTCGCGCCCGACATTTACTACGAGCTCGACATGGCCATCTACGAGCAGCGCGAAGTCGCCAAGATGCTCGTGACGCTCGCACTTGCCGAACCTGCACGCGACGCTCGACCCGTTGCAGTAGCTGATAGTCCTCTTCTGTCATAGGGCGACAATTGGCTCAACGAGACGTACGGCTGGAGTCGCGGCGACCCGATTCCTGGCTGGCAGCTCAACCAGAGCTGGCTTGGCGAAAACGCATTTCCAGAAAAAGGCTACTTGACGCTCCACTACTACTCGGGCGCCGACCGCGGCTGCGGTGCGTCCTTTTCGATATCGATCAAAGTATCAAGATATCAACTCGACGCGCGTGCGTAGGACCGGTCTGGCACGTGCGGGTCAACTTGTGCAAACACGTGCTCTCGATGCCGCCCGAAGGCGCCAAGCTGCAAGAATTCATCCACCACTCGATGCAGCTCGAGCTGCGCACGGTGCGCGACCTTACAGCGCGCCCCGCGGCCACGAACCCGCCGACGGCCGCCAAGCGCAAGTAGCGGACCACGAGTCTTTGGTTGACATGACGAGTTCAACACTGCTTTCCGCACTCGTACATGTCGTTGTTAATCCATTGATAGGTCGTGTTTTGATTTCTGTGCTCGACTAGCATGTCGAATCAAATCGACTAGCCAGTAGGTCGTCTACGGAAGGTCCGTGCAGCGTCGTACGGGATGCATCTTAGACGACGCTGTCGTCGTCGGCCCGTTTTTTGAGGAGGATGATGAGGATGCGGACAAAGAGGTTGAGAAAATCTAGCAACAACATATATCCGTGCGTCCAGTGCAAGACATTTGAGATGGAAACGGGTACCGAGGAAGAGCTCGAACGCGTGGCCCACCACATCGTCGTCGCCGCTGCTGGCCTTTTCCACAATAAGCTGCGTATCAAAGAGTACGTAAAAGCAAAAGAGAAGCAAGCCGCCGTACTACACACATGCGTTTTCAGGCTCCGCGAATGCGAGGAGAAAGGCGTACGAGCTCGAGCGAGTACATGGCGGCCGAGCGCACAAAGACGTTGACGAGCGCGACGAGGACAAGCCCAAGAATTGCAGACCCGGCAAACGCACCAAGAAACAAGTAGGTGCGCCGGCGCTCTACCAGGCGTGTGGTACAAGCTCCGAGACGTACGAAGGAACGTACCGAGGAGCGCACTCAGCGTGAAGCAGCCAAAGACGATGGTCGAGCCCACACTAGAGGACATAGCACTTTAAAACCTTGGAATGGAAGCGAGAGAAGGTCGCACAAGGCCATGGCGACGATCGAGGCGTCCGTGGCGAGGGCGTGCTGCACGAGCCCGCCAAGGTTGGCGCCCCAGCAGGTGGCGAGTGTCAAGAGCACACACAGCCGCTGTGCAAACTTGGCTTTCGGCAAGAGGTAGAGCGCGAGCACGAGGACAAAGACGAGGAAAGCTGTGGTGTAGCCGGCGAGACCGCACGCGATGTCGAAGACGACGCCGGCCGCGGCGGCGCCGACCGCGGCTGCGAGCGTCACGTAGACGCGTACGAGGTGGCGCTGGACGCGCGGCTCAATGTCGTTGGTGGAGAGGAGCACGGCGAGGTCAAAGCCGCCGACGGCGACGGGCTTTACGACCTCCGTGGCCTTGCTCTGCATCTCTCGGCAGCGTAATGGCTTCGGGCCATTTTCGAGAAAAGAAAGAGGTTTTCCGCGCGACGGGACGAGCAGTCGCGAAGAACAGAAGAACAGAAGAAGAACTGCCCAAGCGGCAAAACAAGCCAGGGCACAGCGCGGTCTCGCTCAAGCCATTCCTCAATTTGGCAGCTCATAGCAATTTAGATAACCCACCTCGCCCACCACTTGGGCAGGCGGGGCACCAATACATTCATTACCCCCCAACCTGCTCGGCCGTTTGCGAGGAACGAGGATGACCAACGGTATTCCGGATACAGTCGTCCGGATACCCATGCGTGTCAACGGCTACTGCACACTATTTCGGAATGCTCCACAGTGGCACGCACGCGACCATCCCTGGGCTCCTTTGGGTGTGGCACCGGATGGGTTGTCGTCGCGCCGCCACCGAAGCTCAAGAAGCCTAGTACCCAGCGCATTGCAGAGAAGAGAGATAGCTTTGCACAGAGCACGCATCCAACGCTGCCAGCGATAACGACGCGAGGGGGCTCGTGCTCGTTCACGGTCCGACGCCGCCATGGGCGACGGCTTCGAAGCCCATGCGCGGGAATGACGTACCACCTGCTTGAACGTCCTTTCACACAACGCAAGGTGATGACCCTCCTCTGCACACCCGACGCCTGTGTCGTCAACGACGCAGCGGTAAGGCAACGTGTCGTTGTCCGCACCTGCCAACTCGCTACCTACCGGCAGCATACCCGCGATCGAGCAAGGCGTTCTGAGCGAGCGGCGTTGTGGTCGGAGCTCCTACATCCTTCTCGTTGCCGCCATACGCATCGCAGTTACTACGCTATCGCAGCAAGTACTGATGGCCGCGAGGCTGTTCAGCGTCGGGCTATATGTAGTGCATTACGTAGGGTAGTTTGCTGGGCGATATTCGCAGCATTCGATCCATGACGGCGGCTCGTGGCCTATACTGCCACCGTGTCCAGTGATTTCTCTGCCCTCCTCGGTAGTATCGTTATCCGGCAGAGCGCGATCGGCTACCGTCGCCATCGATCGCTGGCGACGGTTCGACGTGGCGCGATCTTCTTGAAGTGGTGTACGCTCGCAGGTGCGAAATAGTGTACATTCGTAAATCGTGTCAGCCAAGCCCAAGAACCTGCTTGAAATAATATCGATACGGAGAGGTTTCGGATGCAACTTCAAGGTCGTCAGTTTTCTGGGACCTGCGTACGCTCGCACAAACGGCAAAGATCGGTTCGCGCCCACATCATCATATTGCAACTCGCCCCGTCCGCCGCAGCCGCAGCATGAGCCCGAAGCAGAACATCGCCCGCGGCATCGGCCGCCTCTCCAACATGGTCCTCGCAAAGGGCAAGGGCTCGTTCGTCTGGAACACGGAGGGCCAAAAGCTCCTCGACTTTACCTGCGGCATCGGCGTCACCAACCTTGGCCACTGCCACCCCAAGGTCACGCACGCCGTGCAGCAGCAGGCCGCGACGCTCGTCCACGGCCAAGTACGTCGTCCTTCCCATCCATACGACCAAGCCAAACCTAACATTGCCTGTAGGTGGGCGTGGCCTACCACGAGCCGATGCTCAAGTACGTCTCGTCGCTGCTACCCGTGCTGCCCAAGACACTCGACTCGCTTTTCTTTGCCTCCACGTACGCGCAGCGGCGTTGCATAGACCATGGGGCGAGTCGCTTTGTCTAGTGGCGCGGAAGCCGTTGAGAATGCGGTCAAGCTCGCGCGCCAGGCCACGGGCAAGGCGAACGTGATCGTGTTCCAGGGCGGCTACCACGGCCGGTCGTTTGGAACCATGTCGCTCACGACGAGCAAGACCATCTACAGCGCCGGCTTTGGTCCGCTCTTGAGCAACATCACGACCGTGCCCTTCCCGTATGCGCTCCATAGCCCCGCGGCCGACGAAGGTTGCCGATCTTCTTCTTTACTTCGCCTCTCATGCTCGGCACAACACCACGTAGAGAGCTGCGTCAACTACTGCATTGCCGAGCTCGAGCTCGCGTTCAAGCAGCGCTGCGCGCCCAAGGACACGGCGGCGATCCTCATTGAGCCCGTCATGGGCGAGGGCGGCTACGTGCCGGTGCCCAAGGCCTTCATGCACGCGCTCCGCCGCCTCTGCGACGAGCACAACATTCTCCTCATCGCGGACGAGGTGCAGTGCGGCTTTGGTCGCACGGGCTCCATGTTTGCGATCGACGGCCTCTACAACGTGACGCCCGACATCCTCGTCATGGCCAAGGGCATCGCCAACGGGTACCCGCTCAGCGCGATTGCCAGCCGCCGCGAGCTCACGGACCTCCAGGTATGACGCATTGCGTTCAAACATGTGCAAAGTCGACATCGTACCTAGCCGCCGGGCTCGATGGGTGGCACCTACGCCGGCAACGCTGTCGCGATCGCCGCGGCCTCGGCGACGCTCGAGGCGTTTGAGGAAGAGCGCATCTTGGAGAACACGCGCGTGCGTGGCGAGCAGCTCGTGCTCGGCCTCGAGCGCCTCAAGTCCAAGTACCCGATCTTGGTATGCTACCATCATCGTGCGCCTCAAGAAGCCAAGTTGATGGGATATGGCGTAGGACGTGCGCGGCGCGGGTCTCATGCTGGCGATGGAATTCGACGAGTCGGCGGCGCCCGGCACGGCGGCGCGCGTGTGCCAGAGCTGCGTCGACAAGGGCATGCTCCTCCTCTCGACAAGCGTGTACGAGACGCTGCGCTTCATCCCGCCGCTCAACATCTCGGCCGACGAGGTCGCGATGGGCCTCGACATCCTCGACGCGGCGCTGGCCGATGTCTTTGGCGAGCAGCCCATCTCCCGCGTCGCGTAGAGCGGCCTAGAGAGTAGATAGTAGTTGTCGTTTGCATTTCACGCCTCCACACAATACATGGATATACCTTGCACACCGGTGCGTGGAGCTCACCCGACAGCACTCGGAAGCCCTCCGCACACACGGGACCGTCGGGCGCGAGGAGCCATGCGTCGAGGCGCTCGACGCACCGACAAAGCAGTGGCCTCGACGACGCCCAAGCCGCTGGGATGACGATCGATGGCCTACATCCTCGAGGCTTGGCCACAAGCATCGTCTCGATCGCCACTCGAATCCCGCCGTCCGTAAGACCAGCGCAGCCGTCCGTAAGACCAGCGCAGCCGTCCCTAAGACCAGCGCAGCCGTCTCCACAGCATGGGCGGCCGTAGAGCTACAGCAACCATTTTGGTGGGCATGCTGTCTTAGTTGCCTCAAGTGCTCGCGCTTCCCCTCAGGGCATGCGTCTCGCCAAGTACAGTGCAGTTGGTTGGAGCCATTGCGCTGACCTCTGTGCGACGACCACTGGCCGTCTCTGTGCGAGGCCGTCGACGCCAACACCATGCTTCAGTTGGAACCGTGTGCCCTTGCCGCAGGTCGTGCGTGTCCAGCCGAACAGTCTCATGTCAATGGAAGATAGATAGATTACAACAAGATAGCCAACGACTTAGTGGTGGAAGAGGCGGACGCCCGAGAAGGTCATCGTGATGCCGTACTCGATGCACGCCTGCTTGATCTCGTCGTCGCGGTTGCTGCCGCCGGGCTGCGTGATGAACGAGACGCCGAGCTTGGCGGCGTGGTCAATGCCATCGCGGAACGGGAAGAAGGCGTCCGACGCAAGCGAGACACCCGTGAGCTGCGCCACGTACGCGTCCTTCTCGGCGACCGTGAGCGGCGCCGGCACCGTCTCAAACTGCGCGTCAAAGGCCGTCTTCTCGACGGGCGCCATGTCGCCCTCAATGTAGCGGACACGCGCGTTCACACGCTCCTGGCGCTTGACCGACGGCTTGAAGGCGAGCGCCGCGACCTTGGGGTGCTGGCGGAGGTGCCACACGGCCACCTTGCGACCCGCGAGCTTGACGCAGTCGACGCGGCTCTGCTGGCCAGCGCCGACACCGACCATCTGGCCGTCCTTGGCGTAGCCTACCGAGTTACTCTGCGTGTACTTGAGCGTGATCGCGGCGAGGATGAGGTCGCGCTTGGCCGATTCCGTGAGCGGCGCGCAGCTCGTCTGGACGTCGGCGACGTGCGAGTGGTTAAAGACCACGTCGTTCCGGCGCTGAGCAAACGTCATGCCGTACACCTCACGGTACTCCATCGGCGGAGGCACAAAGGTGGCGTCGGCTTCGAGCACGATAAACTTGCCGCCCTTCTTGGCCGCGAGGATCTCAAGCGCCGCGGGCTCGTAGCCGGGCGCGATGATACCGTCGCTGACCTCGCGCTTGAGCACCTTGGCAGTGGCCTCGTCGACAATGTCGCTGACGGCGACAAAGTCGCCAAACGAGCTGAGCGGGTCGGCGTTGCGCGCGCGAAGGTACGCGACCGAGAGAGGCGTGAGCTCAATGTTGCCCACTTCGTACGCGGCCTTGAGCTTCTCGTCGAGGGGCACGTAGACGGCGGCACCGGCCGGCGAGACGTGCTTGAAGGACGCCGCGGCCGGGAGGTGAAGCGCCTGGCGCACTTCGGCCACGAGCTGGTACGCGTTGGCCGCATCGAGGAGGTTGATGTAGCCGGGCGTGCCGTTGAGGACCTTGAACGGCAGCTTCGAGCCCTTGATCGTCATGATGGACGCCGGGTTCTGGTGCGGGTTGCAGCCGTACTTGAGCGGAAGCGCGGGCTCGTACACGCGCGTGACTTCGTCCGAGGTCTGGCCGAGCTGCGCGTTGAACCACTTGGAGATCTGCGTGTCGTAGTGGGCCGAAAGCGTAAAGGCCGCGGCGGCGCAGCGCTTGCGGAACGCGTGCGTCGTGCCCGTCTGGTGGGCGCTCATCTCGGCCACGAGGTCCATGTACTGCGACGGCGACGTGCAAATGACGACGCTTGCGTGGTTCTTGGCCGACGAGCGGAGCATCGACGGGCCGCCAATATCAATGTTCTCAATGCACGTCTCAAAGTTGCCACCCGACGCGACCGTAGCCTCGAACGCGTACAGGTTGAGGACCATGAGGTCGATGTTCTTGATGCCATGCTTGGCCATGTCGTCTTCGTGCTGCTTGTTGCCGCGGACGCCGAGAAGGCCGCCGTGGATCTTGGGGTGGAGCGTCTTGACGCGGCCATCCATCATCTCGGGCGACTGCGTGTACTCCGAGACGTCAATGACCTGGAGGCCGGCCTCGCGCATGGCCTTGGCCGTGCCGCCCGTCGAGAGGAGCTCGACGCCGTGGGCCGCGAGGTACTTGGCGAGGTCGAGGAGGCCGGTCTTGTCCGAGACGGAGAGGAGCGCCCGGCGGATGGGCACGACGTCCTTCGTCGCGCTGGCAACGGCGGTGATGATGTGGGCCATGGCGGAGGAAGAGATCCAAATGGAGAATGAGTCAACCTCGGGCGATCTTTCAGCGGGCATCCGGATACAACCGCCACATCTTCAACCGAACCCTCGCACAACGTATGGTTGCAACCTAGTGCCAGTCGTTTGGCGCTTTCGTACCCGGACGATGATCATTTCAGCCAATGGGAAGCGGCGAAAATCCGATTTGGTTTCATCATCACCCAAGGTCATGCTCGGAGGATGATGTATACGAAGGCAGCGCCGATGTGCGCCCTTCGTGGACGTCTGCCGACGATCGCATGGCACCGATGACCCAGCCATCGATAGATGCATGCTTCATACTGCATGATCCTAGCCTCATGGTCCATGGGCGCAACAAGGTTGCCTGTACTACGGCAGACTACGGGCAGAGGAGACGACGAAGCGGGTGTTGTTGCGCGTGGTACCAGCAGCAGACATGGCAGCCACCAGCTGCCAAAAGCGACGAGCACGTCGACTGGCATGTGACAGCCATCGGCCATGGACCATCCAAGCATACACAGCGCTGGTGCGGGCGAGCGATGCGCTCATGTATTTGTCGTCGATCATGGATGTGCAGTCAATCGACGATGACGCATGCAAGTTGATCCGATGACCGTGCCATTGCCGGGGGTTTGGCGATGGACGAAGATGATGGGCGAGACGTGATGATGGCATGGCATCTGTGGGGCGGTGTCGTTCAAGCTTCAACCTGGCGCCTATCATGGGTAGCCTCGTGGCAGCCTCGCTGCACAGCACTTGATACACGCGCCGACGCATCGCCACGTCATGTCAGCTCAAAAACAGTGCGTGATCAAGACAAGGAAGGTCGTTGTTTCATACTTTTCTTAGGAGAAAACGTGCAATGGAGGTGGAGTGCCTAAATTCGACAAGCTATGTAATCAATATCTTTGGCGCTGGCTGGGCAGCTTGTTCGGGTCGCTGAGGTCGCCGTTCGAAGCGACGCGGGGGGCCACATATAATCTATCGTCACGATTGCCGGTGGCGTACCCGGGCTGTTGCATTTGCTGCATCTGCTGCATTTGCTGCATTTGTTGCATCTGCTGCATCTGCTGCATTTGCTGGAGCTCGGCCGAGTCCTTCGAGTCTTCCCGGACGTACAGCCGGCCCGAGTTGACGCGCATATCGCGCGAGTCTTGGCGCATCGGCTCCATGCGCGACGATCGCTGCTGCGAGTCGATCGGGTTGCCCGTCGGCGGCGCGGCCGTGGCACCCGTCGCCGGCTGCTGCGGCGCACCCGTGGCGCTGCCGCTGCCGTCCCGCTCTCTCCGGCCGTTTTGCTACAGAAAAGGGTACATATGAGTGAGTACATGTCTGTGGGCAATGTAGCAGCGACATACCAAGTTGAGGACCGTCCAGTCGAACATTGCGTCAAACTGGAAGCCCTTGCGAAAGAATAGCTCCTTGAAGAGGCGCTTGAGGTACGCATAGTCGGGCTTGTCATCAAAGCGAAGGGCGCGCGTGTACTCAAAGTAGGCGCGGAACTCGGCAGGGTAGCCCTTGCAGAGCACTTCGATCGGCGTGTTCATCTTCTTCTCCATGATGCGCTCGTACTTCTGCTTCTTCGTATTGGCCTTGAGGCCCTGCCACGGGAGCGAGCCGCGGATGAAGTACATGAAGACGTAGCCGAGCGACTCGAGATCGTCGCGGCGCGACTGCTCAATGCCAATGTGCGTGTTGATCGACACGTAGCGCGCCGTGCCCGTGAGGTTCTTATTCTCCCGGTACGGGATGTGCTGGTGCGTCTTAGGGTCGCGGTACTTCTTCGCGAGACCGAAATCGATCACGTGGCAAATCTGCGCGCGCTTCCCGAGGCCGATCAAAAAGTTGTCCGGCTTGACGTCGCGATGGATGAAGTTCTTCGAGTGGCAGTACTCGAGCCGGCAGAGGAGCTGGTCCGCAATCATGAGCACAGTCTTGAGCTGGAACCGCCGGCCACAATAGTCAAAAAGGTTCTCGAGCGACGGCCCGAGGAGGTCGATGACCATGACGTTGTACTCGCCTTCGACGCCAAACCAGCGGATGTTCGGGATGCCCACTACACCAGCATGAGCTACGGAAGCTTCTTCCGTCGGCGACGTACAGCCGCCGTTGAGGATCTTGTAGATCTTGGATTCGTAGAGAAGCTGCGGGTGCTTGCTCTTGACCGACTCGAGCTTGATCGCGACTTCTTCGCCCGACGTCATGTTGGTGCCGAGGTAGATGTCGCCAAACGATCCGCTGCCAATCTTGCGGCCAAGGCGAAACTTCTTGCCGACGCGGAGCTCGAGGGAGCTCTCTCGTTGCGATGCCATGCTTCCTACGGCAGCATGAGGACCGGTCGCGTCCGTCGAGTGGCGTACCTTGTTGCAACCGCAATTACTGACGCAGGGAACGGGCCTAGAAGGGGAGGAAGGGTTCCATGAGCCATCGCCGGGGGAGGAGCGCATGATGGGGCGTACGGGGGAGGAGGTCGTCGGGTGGTCTTGCGTCGTCGGGGCCTCGGAGCAGGGAGGACCCAAGTACCGAAGAATGAACTGGACAGTCTCCTGAGCAAAATGCAAACAAGCAAAGAACTTCACCAAATAAGTAACGCGTTGGCTCACGCTGCTTTTTTCCACGCACTCAATTCCGAATACAAATCACCTGTGTATCGCGTGAAAAAGTAAAAAAAAGCAAGGGTACGGTCGGCGCGATGGGTCAAAAAATCGGCCGCCATTTAATTCCCCACGGTCTCCCATACAAAAGCCAAGATAAAACCGGCCCCCGCCACTCCACATACAAACATCCAGTGTCTTGGCGAGGGGCGGGGATAAAAATATCGAAAGGCGTGCCAGCTGGCGCACGTATTAAATTCGCGCCACACATTTTTATAGGCCGCGATCTCGGCGTTAACGACCAACGAAATCTCCATTGTTTTAATTTCGGCGCCGCTTTCGAATTAAATCACTATAGTTTTGAGAGACGCTTTGAGATTTCCGTATTTAATTACAGGTCCGGGACAGGACGCACGGCCTTTCGCAGGAGCGTCACGCCAAGGGGCACCCGACGACGACACCAAGCCGCTCCCGCAATCCAATCCGCGATCGTCGTTCTTGGTACCAGCAGTAGCGACGCTGCAAAGAACGAACCGGTTTGGCCAAGATCGTAGTCGTAATCTGGATCCGGCCCGGAGGAGTAGCCACGTGCGGACAGATAGATCGAGATCGAAAGTTGAAGCCTGTGGGGCGAGGCGCGTGGTTGAACTTGGGCGCCGCCGTGTTGCGAACGCGCTGGCTCCAACCGACCATCATTCGTGCTGCCCGACGAAAGCGCGCGCTTGTCGACCATGCTTCAAGACGTTATCGCGGCCTATTTCGCGCCCGATCGAGTGACGCCGGAGGCCTGGGCGACGCTTTTGAGCCTGCCGCCTCGCGCCGCGACGCTCTTTTGCCAGCAACTGGTCACCGACACCAACGATACCGACCCGAATTGTTTGCCACTCTCGTACATTGGCATGTGGCCGCACGCCTACTACAAGCTGCTCGCAAGGTGTCTTTCGACATGGCAGTCGACGGGAGTCTGCCCCGTCTTGACGCAGCTGCCACCACCGGTCGATGGCGTCGTCGAGGACACGGGCCCACGAGACCGTCTCGCACGGATTCCTCTGGCCACGGTGGAAGGCCTTGGCACGACGGACGGCATGGACGCGTTTGTTGTCGCGATCGGTGGCGCCCGTGGGATCGTCACGCTGCTCGGTGTTCGCTGCACGGCGGGCAGTCAAGTGCTCGTGCCGCCGACGGTTGCCGCCTGCATGGACGCCTTCAACCGCAAGCACGGCGACGCGTCGTCCACGTCGAAGCTCACGATTGGCGGCCGCCAGTGGACCAAGCACGCGCAGCGCAGCTTGGACGGGTGGTGGGGGGTCAACAAAGGCCCAGAGGCCCAGAAAAATGCCCTCGGCGAGGCCAAGGTCCGCGAAATCATGGCCAGTATGGTCTGGATGAACACGCACGGGCTGCCGAACGGCCCCATTGTGCTCGAGATCCGGCAGAAAGACGGCTACGGCGCGCGCTGGGGGTGCGTCGACGGCGACGTGCACTTTCGCGGGTTCGTCGAGCCCTACATGGCCGACGGCCACGCCATTGGCTGGGTGCATTGACCGGATTAAGATACATCCAATCTTATTCATCGAGTTTCAACGCTGGCAGGGGTGCGTCGTCCTGTGTCGTTGCGGCTGTGCCACCTCGGTGCAGAGAAACCCAGCCCTCCTTCCTCGGTAGCCGCCTAGAGGACGCATCCACTAGCTTGGCTCCACGTCGCCACTGCGTCCGGCTATCAGTGTAGCGAATGCTGCGATAGCTCCAATATGCATCCCCACCCGACTGCTCGATGACGCCTGCACGGGACCGATGATCGCGCGCCGATGGGGCATCATAGACGGAGTGGCCACATGGACGGATCGAGGATGGTCGACGTGTCCATGGCGTCGCGACGTCGTCTGCATGCAATCACTGCGCGCTGTGCCGGTAACCTCGCGATGGCACCCCGCCATGACGGGGCACGCCCAGCGATCTACGCGAACCTGTGACAATGGATATCACTTTATACAAGTTGTGGTCGCATATTCGCCCCTCATCGCAAGCAGAAAATGGGGCTCGAGACGTTCGACCTGGAGGCCGTCGCGTCCAAGTACGCGGGCGTCAACCGCGTCCGCCACCTCTTGTTCATCGTCGAGTATGGGAAGACGTGCGTGATGGACCCAGAGAGCAAGCGCGGTACGGCCATGGGCTCGGCGAAGCGACGGCTCATGCTTCCTGCCTGTCTAGCGGTGTGTCTCCAGTACGCCAAGGATGCGCTGCGCATGCTCCTCGCCGAGCTCGAGACGACCAAGACGGCGGCCAACACGGTCTTGTACCGCGAGCTCACAACCAAGTACGCCGACTTGCTCCCGCTCGACTTCAAGGTGGACGCGGCCTTTGTGGACGCGGCGACGCGTGCCAACAACAGCCGCCACGAGCGCCTCGAGCAAGAGCTCAACTCGTACAAGTCGAGCTTGATCAAGGAAAGCATTCGCGTACGTCGTCTTCTTCCACCTGTCGTCTTCTTCGCCATCGTCATGGGATGCTTCTATGCAGATTGGCCACAACGATCTCGGCGAGTTTTACTACCGCATGGGCGACCTCCCTTCGGCCTTGCGCAGCTTTGCCCAGGCGCGCGACTACTGCACGTCCGACAAGCACATTGCAGAGATGTGCTTTAACGTCATTCGCGTACGCCCATGCATCGTCGTTATGGCGCGCCATCCTTGCATGTAGGCGTCGGTGCACCTCAAGAACTTTGGCAACGTGTCCAACTACCTCATCAAGCTCGAGCAGTCGGCCGTCGAGAGCGACGCCATGTAGATGCCGTCCATACTCCTCTTCTCGGATGCTCATGACGCCGCTGTAGTTTCGCGACCAAGATCGCAGCGACCTATGGCCTCGTGCACCTCGCCAACAAAAATACCACAACGCAGCGCTCAAGTTTACGTCCTGCAACGTCGAGATTGGCTCGAGCTTCAACGAGGTGCTACACGCCGAAGACATTGCGCTCTTTGGTGGTCTCTGTGCGCTCGCGACGTTTGACCGCAACGAGCTCCGCGACAAGGTCCCTCATGCTTCACCACCACCTCTAATGCTCACACCTCTATCTGTGTAGGTCATTCAGAGTCCGTCGTTCAAGGCGTTTCTCGAGCTCGTGCCCCGCCTCCGCGAGATGATCCACGCGTTCTACAGCAGCCAGTACGCATCGTGTTTGCGGACGCTGGGCGAGATGCAAGAGGAGTGGGCCCTCGACATGAACCTCTCGAGCCACGTGGGCGAGCTGGCCAAGGAGATTCGCCACCGCGCGATCGTCCAGTACTTCTTCCCGTACCTCTCCGTCGACATGCGCGAGATGGCCGACGCATTCAACACGACGCCCGAGTCGCTCGAAGACGAGCTGCGCGACTTGATTCTGCGCGGCAAAATCCACGCGCGCATCGACAGCCACAACATGGTGCTCCTCGCCCACGAGGCCGACATGCGCGCCAAGGCGTATGCAAATGCGCTCGCCGTCGGCCGCCAGTACACGGCCGACACCAAGGCCGCGCTCTTCCGCATGAATCTGATCAAAAACAACATTGCCGTTGGCGCCAACGACGGCGACGCGACGCTCGGCTAAGATGCGATAGCGACCTCGTGAACCTCGAAACGGGATGCGGTTCCTACAACAATATGCATGCCATGGCATGCACCTACGGAATACGTTCTTAGTCCATTGGTATGCATGTACGGCGCCGCGTCGACAGGAGGAGGACATGGAGGACTCGAACGCTTGCTTGATAGGACCATTCTTATTTGTAGCATAACGGTGGTGTAACCGGTGCGAGGGGATCGAGACCACGATGGACGACGACGTGGCCGAGGAGCGACTCCTCGAGACCGTCCAGCGCGACCTCACGGCGCACGCAGCGGCGGTCCGCGCGGTCCTGACGCGGTTTGCCGAGCGCATCTTGGCGCTCGAAGAGCTCTGTCATGGCCCGCTCGCGACGCTACCGCACTCTGTCGACGCCCTTGATGCCCGCGTGACTGCGATGGGGTCGTCGCTTGAAGCTGCGATCGACGACACGCGCAGTGCGATGCCGGATTACAGCGACAGGCTGGAAGTGCTCGACAAGCAGGTGGCCGGCCTCGCCGAGAGCGCCGGTGACATGCACGCTGTCGCCATGATGCAGGTCTCGCGCATTACGTCGGAGACAGTCGGCATCAAGAGCCTCATCGGGACGCTCAACGAGGCCCAGCGCCGCGCGTCCGTGGCGATTCATGACGCGATCCAGGGCGCGGTCGAAAACATTCAAATCGTACGACGCTGTTCCAAGCCGTGGCTAAGGACAACTCGCGTAGGCCCGGGGCGCCGACAAGGATGAGGTCATGGAGAACATTGCGGTGGTCCAAAAGACGTTTGCGGCCCAAGTTGACGGTACACGCTTCGATCCTCGTGAAGGAGGACGGTACGATGGCATGGAGGTAGGCATTTACAAGCACGTCGACGACGTCATGGCCAAAACGCCACCGGTCGTCGTCGTGCAGGCGGCGCCCGAGCCACCGCCGCGGCCCACGACGCCGATTCGCCGTGTCGAGCCCGTCGTCATTGCCTTCTCGCCTGAGAAAGCAGTAACAGCAGCACCAACATCGACACCGGCACCGACGTCCGTCCCGACGTCCGCACCGACGTCGACTCCGACGCTCAAACCGACACCGACGCCGACGCTCAAACCGACACCGACGCTCAAGCCAGTCTCGCGCCCATCGACACCTGCGACCGTCGAGCCCGAAGCCGAGTCGCCCGAGAAGAAATCCGTGACGGTGCCGCCGTCCAGCAAAATTCCTGTCGTCGTCCACGCGCGGCGGCGCGAAAAGGAGACGCGGCCGCCGGCGCCCATGACAGACCTACCGCCGTACGAGCTGCCCGCCGACATGAAGCACAAGATCGAGCACAACGTGCGCGCGACGCTGGATGCGCCACCGCAGCCGATACCGCAGCCGATACCACCGGTGGTCGCACCACCGACGACAGCGCTCGTGGCCACACACGAAGCAGCAGCAACCTCAACAAGCCTTGCCTTACCCCACTCGACACCCGACATGCCGGGTGTCCCGGGGGAGTTCAAGGCGCAGCTGCACGCGTGCCAGAGCAGCGTCGAGATGGTGTGCAGCTTGCTCGAAGTGACGCGCAGCCAGGTAGACGCACGCGACATGCCTCCCCGAATAAAAGTATCAATGTATCAGGTCAAAATGCGCCAAGACGAGAGCGACGCAGCGATGGCCCGCGAAGTGCACGCGCTGCGCACCAAGATCAAGAAAGTTCGCGACGAGTTCCACCAAATCTTGCCGCTGCTCAAGCCAATGCTGTTCGATTCGGACCTGCTCGCAACACCAGGTCGTCGTCTTCGTATCGAGAAGCAGAGGCCGGAACGTCGTTGTTGGCGTAGAGTTGGACTTGGGGCACATTCCGTCCTTGCGCACGGCGCTCCTCGAGCTCTCGCGGAACCTCAACGTCGTGCGGCAGACGCGCAAGCACATGAGCATGGACATGCGCCGGACCATAGACAAGATCATTGATGTCATCAACGACGCCTACCACACCGCAGCGGCCGGTCCGATCGAAGATATGACCGTAGACGCCTTTTTGAGATCATCGTTGCCGATATGCTATGGGAATGGAGCTAGGTGCTCGCGCGCCAGGTCGACAAGGTGGCCCGCGCCCTTGCTTTCGGAATCCAGTCGACTCTCGGCGTGCTCTCGACCGTCGACGCGATCTCGACGCGCGAAGTCGCGACAGCGATCGAGTCCTTCTCCGAGGTCCTCACTCAAGACGGCAGCAGCGCCGAGATGCTTCGGCAGCACGTCTCGACCCTCACGTCCGAGCTGCACGAGGCCAAGCACGAGCTTCGCGCGGCGATCCTATCTCTGCAACACCGCCTCGATGTATCTTCCACGATCATGTGTCCTGTTCCGCGACAATCGTCGTCGTTGCGTACTAGGAGCCGCGCGGCAGCGAGAAGACGCTCAAGGCAGTACACTCGCGACACGAGATCAACGACCGCGGCAAGGCCGTGCTCACGCTCGAGCACGAAGTGAGCGCGCTGCGGGCGCAAATGGACGCGCGCGACGAGACTCTGCGGCGGCTCATGCTGGACCTCGATGGCAAGGCCGACAAGCGGCAGCTCTCACGGTATACTACACGTCGCCCTCTCGTCTTTCGTCTCCATCGCTGCCATACTAGACTGCTCAACCCCGAGGTGGCCGAGCTAACCAAAGTCCGCAAGCTGCCGCAAGCCATCAAGTCCAAGCCGAAACCCCTCCCATCCGGCGTGCTGCGCAAGGCGCCGGCGCTCTCCGCGCTCTTCGTCGAAAACTCCAAGTCGGCGTTCACACTGGACGAGTCGCTCTCCCGTTCGAGCTCGCTCTCGCGCGAGTAGCAACACAGTACTTCGAGCAGACAGTAGAAATATTACAATATATATAATGATAGATTAGAGGAGATAATGTGCGGTTAGGGCAACGGTTCCGACGCGTCGCCGACGCGGCGCAGATGCAAGTACGCGTCCGTGCCGTACCCTTCCATCGAGATGATTTGGAGGTCGCCGCCAAAGTAGCGCGTGAGAAGGCGGCTAATGGGCAGGCCATACCCGAGACCGGCGAGCGGCGACTCGCCGCCAAAGTCCATTGGCATCGACTCGCCGACCATTGAGTCAAAGGCCTGCGAGTTGGCGGTCGTGTACATGTAGCTCCAAATGCGCGGGAGGGCCGAGCGCGGAATACCGCCGCCTTCGTCCGAGATCTTCAAGCTCACGTCTTCGTTTTGGTCGCCGTCAGCGACAATGAGCTTGATCGCGGGCAGCGCGTTGTCGACGCCGTGGAACTCGACCACCGCACGCATCGAGTTCTTCATGACCTCGAAGAGCATGTGGTGCAGATGGCTCGGCACATACGGCATGGTGAAATTGCAGTCGCCATGCAGCTCGACGTCCGGTGCGTCGCCATATTGCCGGATGCACATGTGCCGGGCCATGTCGACGGCCGCAAGCGCAACCTCGGCAGGCGACGTCGCTTCGCAAATGCAGCCGACCCAGCCGTCTTCCTTTTCGTGAAGCGCAATGTGCTGGCCCATGAGCATGCGGATGCCAATGCGGCTCAGATAGAAGCCATCAAGGAACGAGTGCAAGTCGATCATATCGGCCATGGAGATACCGAGCTCACCCTTGGCTTCGGCGGTGCTCATGGCTTGCTTGAGCTCGTGCACACCGCGGGCCATCGTGAAGAGCGTCGCATTGTGGCGGTCCTTGATCGACTCGATCATGGACGTGAAGCGTCGCTCGTCGGCCGCGGTCTGCACCTTTGGAAAGGCGAGGAGCTCTTCCATCGAGTGAATGTACCACTCCTTGACTTGGCGCACGGATGGCATTTGGCAGAGCCCGTACGGCAGCGTGTCGAGGTCCTTGACGCGGTGCGCGTACCGGATCGGCATCTCGTGGTGGAGGAACTTGGCGCTGTGGATGAGCTTGGCCGGCGTGATGTCGGTGCCAAACTCGAGGAGCTCCTGGAGCGTCACGCCGTTCTGCGGCTTGGCCGCGTACTCCATGACGCGGTGCATGGTCGACGTCTTCTTCATCGCTGTCCTCGCGTTCTGCATGCTTGGTGGTAGATTTCGGAATACGGTCGCGACCCCGCGGCCCGATTGCGCAGCCCCTCTCTCTTTGGATATATCCGGTTTCAGAGGATACGAGCGGCGATTGGCTGGAGCTCGAAACCAGGTGGCCGACAGCTGTGCGTCACAGAAATTCTTGTGGCACAGCCGCACAAAGACCGCGCGCCTCATTGACATGTCGTCGGGCTTTATACCGCCACCTGGCGCGACGGAAGTATAGATTTTTGGCAATTTCTTCGACTACCTTGCACGTTGGACGAGACCTTTTCGACTAACTGGACGCGTGGCGGGCTCGACAGTGGTGGTGGTGCTGCTGCTGCTTCGGAACAAGTGCCGAGGAACGCTTCGAATGCATGAACGTGGCGAGGGCGTATCTTTGGCTCGGAGGATGCGTGAGGACCAAGATCGCTCGGTCGACATTGAAGTGCAACACCGTTGTGGATGCAGCGACCACTTGGACCGACTTGGGTGCCCATCACGGTCGTAATCGGGGGCTGTCTTGGGTGCGAAGATCGCTTCAAGAAGCCTTCGTGTCGCTATGCAGCGAGGACGACGGAGAAGCCATCGCCGTAGCTCATCGCCGTAGGTAGCATCGGTAGCCAATGCAGGCGCGATGGCGCAAGAGCGAAGAGGCATCTCCGACCGCTTGGTATGCTGGATGGCGATCGCGTACACTCTGGGTATCGAGCGAGCCGCAGCTGCGGCCGTATCGCGCACGTGTTCTAGAATTCGATAGATCAGCAACTGTGCCAGAAATAAAGCATGCGACACACTTAAGCTGGGGCCTTCGCCACGCTTCGCCACGAGATGCGTCAGCCTCAGTCTGCCCTCACGGTTGCTCGGTCCGCACCCATGCGCCAGTCGTCTGCGACCTCGCAATGCACGCAGTTTGACCAACGGAATCAGTAGACACATACCCACAACCATCAAATCAGGACTCGGAGATGAGCGCCACGACACACGACCACGGTACGCTCCGAAGTGCTCTGAAGTGGGACTTTTGACACATCAACGCGAGGATGTGCTGCTACAATTGTATTTATGCACGGCGAAAACTCTCTCTGCTTGCCCAGTATTCCGCTGGACCACATGCGCGTACGACATCTCCGCGGGCACATCCTATATTGCTTGCTGCACATCCTAAATTGCGTGCTGGATGATGCGCCAGCACACCAAACAAATCAGAACCACAATCCGATGACGTGATGCAAACAGTCGGCACTGTCTCCAAGGGCTCTCGAACGCGCTATCGAAGGTTCTCGAGAACCCGGTTCTTGCCGCCTTCGCCGTGCTTGGTGCAGGGTATTTCGCGCCAGCTTTGCATGATAATGCTTCGTGGCAAGCCCATGCTCTCGACATAGTAACGCTATACCCTTGCGATTCACGTAAGCAATCGCCGTGCACGACCGTCGAGACCGTTGGGGGACTGAGATCTTTTTGCGATCTTCGTGACAACTTCAACTTGGGTCGTATCCGGACTTTTACCGGAATTCCTCTGCATCGTACGTTTTGCGATGGTCTTCGTCACGCTCAAGTACATCATCATCGGCGACTCGGAGGTCGGGAAGAGCTCGCTGCTGCTGCAGTTCACCGAGCAGACGTTCGTGGGCACGCATGACCTCACGATCGGCGTCGAGTTTGGTGCCAAGCTCCTCGACCTCGACAGCCGCAAGGTGAAGCTCGAGATCTGGGACACGGCCGGCCAAGAGACGTTTCTCTCCATTACGCGCTCGTACTATCGCGGCGCCGACGGCGTCCTCCTCGTGTACGATATTGGCAAGCGCGACAGCTTCCTCCATCTCGGCCGGTGGCTCCAAGAGTGCCAGCAAAACTGCATGAATTCCGGTCTCGAGATCATGGTCGTCGGCATGAAGGCCGACTTGCCGCCTGAGCAGCGCCAAGTCTCGTCAAACGAAGCTGCCGAGTGGGCGGCGCGCCATGGCTTGCACTTTATCGAAGCCTCAGCCAAGACCGCGCAGAACGTCGAGAAGGTCTTTGTGGAGACCGCGACGACGATCCTGCGCAACTTTGACGCGGCGAATCCAAGCCCTGGGCCGCCCAGCGTTACCAAGATCTCGCTCAACGACAAGGTCGCGCCCGTCAAGCCGCCGACCGAGTGCTGCTAAGAACTCAGAACTCCTCGCCCATAAATATTAAAGATACGAGGTTGCGTCGTCGCGCTTGCCACGACATATAAAAGACAGAGGGCATTGAGTTTCATGCAACGCCGCCACTTTGCCTCACGCTCCGTCTGCTTCCTGCGCGCTTCGATGACGACGATGACGATCGCGCCCAAGGCACTCATTCCTGTGGTACGACCGAGTCCTTCTACTGCATGCCATGTCTTTGGGTGCCAGGCCAACGGCAGCGAAGAGATCGAGACCGTGTGCCTCCAAGACGTGCTCGTGCGTGGCGGCGTGCAGGTATCCAAGTCCTTCGCCGTCCGCCGCCTCTCTAGAGCGACGATAGGTCACGCTCGCGTCTGTGACAAGCGACAAGCTCGTCAAGATGTCGCGCGGACTCCAGATCCAAGCCGACGCGGTCCTCGCCGAGTGCATCGAGACGTCGTACGACTTGATCGTGCTCCCTGGGGTATTGTCCTCTTCTTCATCTGCTGCTGCTGTCTTTGGGGTGCATAGCGTCTGTGTTGTATAGGGCTTGCCGGGCGCCAACCATCTCCGCGACTGCCCAGCCTTGATCGAGATGCTGCGCAAGCAAAAAGAGAGCGGCAAGTACTATGGCGCGATCTGCGCAGCGCCGGCCGTGGTCCTCCACACACACAACGTACTATGTCCAGCTCCTACAGGTCACCACCACACACATCCCATGTAGCTGCTCGTGGGCCCGTCGGCGACGGCGTACCCAGCCTTTGCCGACAAGATGCCCAACACCACGTACGCGGCCCAGCGCGTCGTCGTGCACAAAAACTGCATCACGAGCCAAGGTCTTAGCGCCACAATCTCTGGTCGACTCACACGAGGATCCGTAGGCCCTGGCACGGCCATGGAAATGGGCATCGAGCTCGTGCGCTTGCTGCAAGGCGACGAGGCGGCCAAGACGGTCGCGGCTGGCCTCTTGTTTGCGGCGTAGAGCCTTAGTCGTATCGCTTATGAATGCCATGCGAGAATACGTGCCAGAGAGTCGACACGAGTAGCCCGACGAGATGGCCGTACACAGCGCCGTACACACAGGGCAGCGGCCATTGCTAAGGCGGCAGATGACATATCCATGGACGAGAGCCGGTCGCACCTGCCACGGTCGGTCCCAATCCAGCGGGAGGAGGAGCGCTCCGATGTACGCGCCGAAGAGCGTGCCCAAAAAGGTGCACGTCGCTTGCCGCTCGTCGTGGGAGCGCCATCTACATGCACATGCAACGGTGAGAGGTGCCATGTGATCGTCGTCGTACCTTTGGTGCAACACCGTCTCAACGTAAGCGTCGAACGAGACGAGGCCGACAGCGGTCGTCAAAGGCAGCACACAGAGGAACGCAAGCAACGTAGCCAGCATTAGCGTCCGATCCACGAGGCTAGTACCATACCCATTGGATACGATCCGAGAGAACGAGGTGGACGTACTCGAGGACGGGCGCCCCGAAAAAGATGAGGAGCACGTGGAAGAGCGCAACGGTAGCTGACGTCAGCGCAACGCTCGCGCCAGCACGACGAAGGCTCGCCTGCGAATCCATGTGGCACGAGAGCTATGTACTATCATCTAGAGTACCTGGGGCGCCCGCGAGAGGAGCGGGTACACGACATGCAGTACGAGCATGAGCATGACGACGACACCCGTGACCATGCCGAGGTTGGCAGGGTGATGGTCTTCCAGCGAGCCGAGAGCCCTAGCGCCAGCATGAGCCCATGCTCTGGCCATCTTGCATCAGGCCATACGTCCATGCTGGCAGTCCGAGGACGGCAAGGTAGACCGCCAGACCTTGCACGGTGGCGGCACCGACGACACTCGGGACCATCGCGGTGTGAAATTCGGACTAGGAATGTCCGAGTCCTAATTCCAGCAGCTGGGAAGAACCGAATTTGCGGGCTCAAAATGGGTTTTATCCGATAAAGTACGGTGTACAATTCGCATTTCCGCGGGCTGTAGCACGGGATTGGTTGGCTTGTTTCTGCGGTCTCTCGCCTCCGCCCGCATGTCGTCGTCTACCTTGGAGCTGCTCCGCGCGGGCCATGAAGACATTGAGAGCTTCGAGCGCGCGATCGTCTCGATCCTCAATGAGAAGCCTCGCAACGTACGTCCTCGCGCCCACGGCCTCGCGCTCATGCGATCGATACGTAGCACAAGGCGCGCGTGCTCCATGGCCACAAGGTGAGCCAGCTCTTGGACAACGTGACCGCGCGCAGCCGCGAAGTGCTCGACCTGTACGACGACAAAGAAGGCGCGTTCAAGGAAGAGATCGACACGCTGCATGGTCGCGCCAATTTTACGTCCTTTTACGACCAGCTCAAAAACATCCGCGAGTTCCACCGCAAGTACCCGAACGTCGAGGTATCCCACGAGCCGTCGTCGCTGGACGCGGCCATGGACCCGACCGTTGAGGTGCGTCCTCAATACGATCTCGACGACTGGTAGCTCATGCGATGCGCAGTTCTCTGGCGAAGAGCGCTTTGGCAAATACCTTGACTTGCATGCGTTCCATACGCAGTTTCTCAACCTGCCCGTCTTTGCAAGGTACATCTCCTATATGGAAAGCGATGCTCATGGACTGCGACCACTAGTGTCAACAAGATGAAGACGGCCGACACGAGCAAGGTCCAGCGCGGCCGCACGCCCGAGTACATTGACGCGCCCGTCGACTACATCTCGTACCTCGGACGGTTTGCGCAGTTCCACAAGATCCCAGAGGCCGCAAAACTCTCGGACACGCGCTACGAAGCGTACTTGAACGACCTCCTAGCGTACTTGAAGGACTTTTACCGCCGCACGCAGCCGCTCGTGGACCTCGATGACGTCGTCAACGACGCGCAGACGCAGTTTGAGAAGGACTGGGCGCGCCATACCGTCCAGGGCTGGGCGACCTCCGTCAACACGTCATCGTCGACGTACTGCAAAGCGTGCAACAAGCAGTTTGCGTCCGACGCGGTCTTCAACGGCCATCTCAAGGGCAAGAAGCACATCAAGGCCGCCGAGGTACCTCCTCTCTCTCCGTCTTCCTCGCCAATGTTTTTATATATGTAATGTAGCAACTCAAGCAGCGTGAAGCCACGGGCGAGCCCGCCAACGACAGCCGCAAGGGCCTCGCCCACCTCGAGGCGCAGATCAAAACGCTCGTGGGCCTCCTCGCCGAGGTTGTCCACGCCACAATTTCGTTCCTCGAGCTCAAGCAGACGCGGACACCGGAGGAGCTCCAGGCCGAGATCCTCGAAGAAGAAGACGATGCGCTCTCGGACGTCGAGATTGACAATGACAAGGTCGACGACGACGACGAGCAACCGTTCTACAACCCGCTCAACTTGCCGCTGGGCTGGGACGGCAAGCCGATCCCGTACTGGCTCTACAAGCTCCATGGGCTCGGCGTGGAGTTTACATGCGAGATCTGCGGCAACCACAGCTACTGGGGCCGGCGGGACTTTGATCGGCACTTTCAGCAGTGGCGACACGCCCACGGCATGCGCTGCCTCGGGATCCCCAACACCAAGCACTTTCACGATATCACCTCGATGGCCGACGCCCTCGCGCGTACGACAGACAGTTTCCTCTCTTCCTTGCGGACTACCAATTTCTATCGCTCTCTAGTGTACGAGAAGCTCAAGGAGCAGCTCGAGAAGGAGACGTGGAGCAAGGCCAACGAAGAAGAGTACGAAGACTCGGAAGGCAACGTCCTCAACAAAAAGGTAGCCAACGCACGTCGACCATCGTCTTACACCCATTTTTCCGTAGACGTACGAGGATCTGTCGCGCCAAGGCTTGTTGTAATCCGCATCCGAGGAGGACGCCGTGATCCACTCGCGTGTTTTTCTTCTCGTTCGTGTTCTCTTATTGTCTTCTTATTCGTCGCTGTCCGAGTCGAGGCAAATGATCTCGGGCAGCGCGTTGGAGCTACTACTTCTACTATGGCTACTTCGCGGGGTCACCGGACGCGGCGCGTCGCCGCGCATAAGTCGTCGGCGCTGCGGACGTGACGCGCCGGCGTGGCGGGGCCATGCGATCGGCGGTAGAAAATTGTCCTCGTCATTCTCGTCTTCCGAGAGGATGGCGCCCATGGCCGGCAGAGGCGGCGACGCCGGGCTCGGCTCTCGCACTGCGACCGGAGCCGGTTTGCTTTCTTCTTCGTCAACGTTGTCGTTGTCGACGCTGGCGGTGCTGGCCGACAGAGAGGTCGGTGATGCTCGGTAGGCCACGGCGGGTGATGGTGTGAAAGAAGGTCTCGCAGGCGGCGGCGTCATGAAAGCACCAACGTTTCCGGATGCATCGTCCGACATATCTGCTGCCGGCGACCGCGGTGGCGTCGCATAGATACCGCTGGGACTGGGCGATGCTGCGACGGTCGGTACATGCCGCGGTGGCGTCGCCGGGGCCATCGCGATCGGAGCAAACGGCAGCGGATCCAAGTTCATCGCCGCGTTCGGAACGGGCGACGACAGGACGTCAATGGCAGCAGCCGCGTCACCGGCAAAGGGCGGCGGCTGGTTGTTCCATACTATATCGGGCGGTATCATGCCAAACGCAGCCGTGGCCAAGCGCAGGCCGTCCCATTGGCTCGGGTCGGCCCACATGCAAGCACCACTACCACCACTTGCTTGGGCACCGTCGCTATTCGCGGCGTGGCTACTTGCAGCCGGCGGCGCATGGTCGTCGCCGTCTTCTTCGTCGCTCGAGAGCGTCAAGTCGATCGAGTCGATGATCGGTGCGGCGAAATCGTTGAGGGCCACGTCCACAGCGCGCTTGCTCTCGTCGTCGTCGGCCGTGTCTTCCGTCTTGGGTTTCTTCGAGGGCTTTTGCTCGACGTCGTCGTCGACGCGCTTCTTCCACGTGGCGTCGGGAAAGATCTCGACCTCCTCGAGCTCGTCGTCGTCGGCCACTTGCGCGAGCAAGTCCTTCAAAAAGGATCGATGCGGAGCTCGTTAAGCGGGATAAACTACATGGTCGCATCATGAGACACGAAACCGGGCTGCGTCTACCTTGTGGCACACGATGCACTTCCACGCGCGGGACCGCGCCGACTTGTTGAACATGAGAAAGGTCTTGAGGTCAAAGCACTGCAGGTGCTGGCAGCGAAGGCCGCGCGCCGGGAGCTGGATCACGCCGAGGCTGAGCGGACACCGCACCGAGAGCATCGTGCACATGGCGACGATATCGTCGTCGTCGTCGTTGCCAAACGACTGGATCACGGTTTGCTTGGCGTCCTCGTACGTGATGTTGGTCGAGTTTTGGATCACGGTCTCAACGAGGCTGTCGAGGGATTCGCGGACGACGCGCTGCACGAGCAGGCCGAACATCAACTACGAGTCGATGAGGCCATCGAGCGGCGACTGTGTGGACGTACGCCGTACTGGTCCGAGCCACGGATGTCGATTACGTTGCGGCCAGGGCGCGAGTGCAGGACGAGGTTGAGTGGCAGCTCCCGAAGCACCTTGGATACGTTGGTCTGGCCCGGGTTGGCTCGCTAGCATGTGTGTGCTTGACGATGATCATGACGTCCGTCAATGTCTACCTGGACAATCTGCACGGGGCAGCCGTTGACGCTAATCTGGGTCATGGTCGGCCATTCGTGGCCCTCGGCAAGGGTGTGGCTGAGCGCAAAGCAGCGCAGTTGGAGCTCGGTGGCGCCGGCAACCGTGCCTTGATTGTGCCGGAGCGCTTCCAAGTCCATCGGGGTCAAGTCGTACGTCAAGGTCTGAGACCGGGGGATGTTGAAGCGAAGACAACTCGGTTGCCCGAGCGTATCGAGGACCTTGAAAAACGGGTCGAACGACTTGGAGCGACAGGTTTCGCAGCACCAGTCTCCATTGTCCTAGGATGTACGAAATGAGGATTCGCCTGCACCAAGACCGTCATGAACCGGCGTGAGGTTGTGGCACTTGTCGTGCACCACGAGCGCGCACGATTTGCACTTGGTCGTTGCAGTGCTCAGATAGCCGTGGCCGTGACACACGCAGCGCGCCGACCCAATGCTTGACGCGGCGACAGGCACGGGTGGCGGATGCATCTCGTTATTAAAGATCGCCCCGCCGTTCAGGAGGTTGGGCGGCATCTGCAACGGCACGTTGCTCCAGCCATGGCGCGCCACCGGGTTCAGTGCGTGGATCGGCGTCTTGTAAACAGGCGAGCGATCGGGCACATGATGGACGTGACCCCGCGCCTCGCTCGCGCGAAATCCCAACTGCTCGTTCATGACGGCGATCGCCTTGGCCATTTGCTGCTTGTAGAACGTCGCGTGCGTCTCCGACTGGCTCGCATGCTGCGCCAGCCCTGTTTGGTAGGCCTACGTCCGTCGCATGAGGCGTTCATGACGCCAAGGGCAGCGCACGTACCGCGACCTTGTCGTAGATGCGGTCGACGAGCTCCTGCTTCCGGCCCGACGAGCTCAAGTTCATGGCCTTGATGATGATCTTGAGCTCGGGAATCCGCAGGCCCTGGAGCTTGCCCTTGAGCGTGTCAATGTTGACCGTGTCCATCGTCGGCGGCCAGCGGTGCAAGCGGCCCCGCGAGGAATTTAATTTCTTCCCACCCATTATTTCGAATGTACGGCGCGGGGTACATTCGCGTACGTACATGAATGTACGACATCCCGTTAACGGAGCGGACGCGGGCAAGGTCGAGCTCGTACATTCGAACGGACGGTTTGACACGGAGTTTGTATGCGGATCGATGGCCGCAAATCCGGTACCTCGTCCATCGTCACAAGCTGGAAGATGGGATCCATCGCCGAGTTCATGCTCGCCCGCGGGAAGGGCTCGTCGGCCGCGCTCGACTCGTCGGACGTGGCCGCTGCGCTCTATGGCGCCAGCATCTCGGACCTCGATGGCACCTTGGCCTGCCTCAACCTCGACGAGTATGCTGCCTGCATGGTCTACCTCCTGTACGGTGTATCCAGCTGCAGACAGGGCGATACTGATGCATGCTGGCGTTAGGACGGCCAAGGGCAAGAAACTGCCGCGCGTGGCGTCGAGCCGCGACGATGACATGCAGGTCGACTCGGACCATGCAGCGCACACCAAGTACTTGCTCCAAGTTGGCCAACTCCTGGCTCGCATGCCCATGCCCGTCGAGGCCCGCGAGTTCCGCAAGCGTACGCGCCTCGTCTTGTGTCTTCTTATGAGCCCTGTCGGTTGTAGTTGCCGAGCTCTGCAAGGTCGCGGCCAAGCACGCGGTCGCGTGCAACGAGGCTATCCGCCTCGTGCACCCGCTCCGCGCGTTCGTCCAGCGCTTCCAGGATGCTACGACGCCATGCGACGCAAAGCTCCAGCATGGGAACATGTACGCGCTCACGCCGTTCCATTCGGTGCTCGCGCTCGTCGCGCTGCACGCCAAGTGCTACCACGCAGCAACGCCGATCTTGAACCGGTATCCGTCTCTTCATCTTGTCGCCTCTGTCTCATGAAGGTCGAACCTAGTCCTGTCTTTGAAGTGACCCCCTTCACGCGCGTTGTCGACGTCCTCGAGTACTTTTACTATGGCGGCATGCTCTACGTTGGTCTCAAGAAATTTCGCGACGCGGCCGAATTCTTCCTCCTCGTACGTCCTCTTCGTTGCGCATGATCGTCATCATACGCAGGCCATCACGACGCCGGCCCACTCGCTCAGTGCGATCGTCGTGGAAGCGTACAAGAAGTACGTGCTCGTGTATTTGATTGTGCACGGCGACGTGCCCGTGCTCCCGAAAGCGACGTCCGTCGTCGTCTCGCGCGGCCTCCACACGCACGCGTCTGCGTACGAAGCCTTTGCGTCTGTCTTCAACTCCAAGGACCCGAAAAAGGTCGTCGAGTGCATGCAAGCGCATGCGGCCGAGTTTACAAAGGTTGGCATTTCGCCGTGGATCGCCGTCGTGTGGACCGACTTGTGTAGGCCGACAACTTTGGCCTTGTCAAGCAGTGCGTCGAGGCGCTCAAGCAGAAGCGCGTGCAGGACCTCACGGCCACGTACACGACCGTGTCCTTGACCAAGGTCGCGAACGCGCTCACTGTCGCCGAGGACATCCCGAGGTACCGAGAACCATCCCAAATGAATGCCCATGCACACCGCCTGCGTAGCACGATCCAGGACGCGGAGCGCATCATCATGGACATGATCCGAGCGGGCGCGATGGCGGCCAAGATGGACAAGACCAAGGACATGGTGGTCTTTGAGGAGGACACGACCGACGACCACGTGCTGGTCGAGATGCAAACCGCGATCGCTAAGACGATCCTCTTCACAGAGCGTCTTCGCGACGCCGACATTGCGCTCACAAAGAGTGCCAAGTTCATTGGCAAGGTAGACGATCCCTCTTGCTCTCGATGTACCAGAACACACACGTGAGCTAATGTGGATGATGTAGACCAAGGGCCGCAAGCAGCCCGAGATGGATGGCCCGGAAGACCGTTGGATGTCGATGAACCAAGAAGGTCAAGGAACCACCATGTAAGCGTCCGCGAACTGGAAAACACTTATGTTCTCTTATCAAACGTAATGATTGCGCCCATTTGGCGGCGGCTGCTGCTGCTGCTGGTAGTTGCCGTACGGTGGCGCATACGGTCCAGGCTGTTGCGACTGCCCGTACGGCGTAGCGTACTGGCCCGGGTACCCCGGCTGGGCTTGGTAGCCTTGCTGCTGCTGCTGCTGTGGGTAGCCTTGTCGCTGCTGCGGGTAGCCTGGCTGTTGCGACTGCTGGGGGTAGCTCGGGTACCCTGGCTGTGCATAGCTACTCGACTGCTGCGGCGGGTACGACGGCGGTGGCGGCCCACCATACTGTTGGTTGCCGTACTGCGGTGGCTGCCCATACGGGCTGCTACCGGGATACTGGGGCGCCGGCGCATTGTACGTCGGGCCTCGCGCCGGCGGGTACGGGTTCGCCGGGTGGTGGTTGCCGTACGACGGTTGGTACGTTGGTGGCGACGGCGGCGGGGCGTTGGGCGTGAACGTTTGCGGCGCCCCGCCCGCGAGGCTGGCGGCATACGCCGCGTCGGCGGCCACTTGGTCGTTGCCCGAGACATGCACGCTTTGCTGGAGCTGCCGCGCCAACTGCGCGTCGCTGTCTGACAAGGCATCGGGGCGCGGCGCGTGCGCGAGGTTGAGCTCCATCTCGCGCTTCTCGAGGTCGCGCGCGGCGCAGTGGTCGGTCACGGTTTGCTCGAGCATCTGCAGCTTCTGTGACAGCTCGGCGTAAAACGCGCCGCCTTCGGTCGCATTCCCGAGCAGCTGTTCGTACAGATCCGCGGCGCGCTGGAGGTCCATGAGCGCTTGCTCGCGCTGGCGCGTAATCGGATCGGCCTGCCGGCCTTGCTTGAAGAGGTCGTTGCGCGCGGTGATGTCGCTCAGCAAGTCGGCTTGTTCCGAGAACGTGCCTTCAATGAGCGACCGCTTCTGCTCCAAGAGCGACCGCTTGGCGCTGAACGCGTCGTCGGCACCGGTGGCAACCACGTGGACCGGCACCGCAGCCTCGGCGGCGAGCTCGGCCTGCATCTCGTCCCGCTTCTGCAGGAGGACGCCCAGCGTCACCATGAGATTCGAGAGGATCGACGTGTCGACGGTCGCCGCGGTGGCATCGCGCTGAGGAATCTTGGCACTCAGCTCGGTCTGCGTCTCGCCGAGCATGAGCAGCTCGGGCTTGTTGAGCGACGAGGCAATCGCGAGGTCCGACTGCGCGGCTTCGCGAAGGAGCTTGTGGTACCGGTCGACGTCGCCGTAGAGACCCGGGTTGAGATTGGCCGACGGCGCGCGGTTCCATTGGGCGCCGTACGTGGCTTTCGCATCAAGGTCGTCCTGGGCTTCGTCCCGCAACAAGTTTTCAATGTGGCGCAGCTGCTCTTCGGCCATGGCTTTGGAGCGCTTGTTCTCCTCGAGGATGCGACCAATGGGCGCCGTGAGCCCGTTCGCTTGGCACGCTTCGATACGCTTCCAGAGCGTCTGGGGAAGCCCCGCGCCCTTCTCGAACGCTTCGACGGCGGCCGGCAGCCCGAGCACGGCGAGGTGCGACCGCGCTTGTTCGTTCTGCGACGCCACGGCCGCAGCCGAGGCGCTCACGAGGCTCTGGGCACTCGCGTCAAACTCGGTGATCTTTTGGCGCAGCCATGTGGGCACGAGGTCCTCAAAGAGGTCGGCGACTTTCTCCTTCTCGGGCAGCTGCGGCTTGACCATGGCGGCGGCCGAGAGCACCGGGAGGTCCGAGAGTCTCGGAATCGTCTCCATGTAGATCGTGTCGTTGTCCTTGCGCGCGTTCTGAAGACTCTCGACGATAATGGCCTTGAGCTGCCGCACCGACGCAGGCAACGACGGCGGTAGTCGCTTCTCGGTCGCGTGGCTAATGGCTTGGGCGCAGAGCGCGTCGGCGGTCGACAGGCGCGTAATCTCCTCGCCGTAGCCCGAGCCCTTCGCGAGCGCCACTTCTTTCGAGGCTTTCGCTTGCCAAAACTGCGCCGCGGCCTTCATGCACATGACTTGGAACTCAATGTGCACGGCCCAGAGACGGTCAATCGCCGACTTGGTCGTCGACGCGTTCGCGAAGTCGAGCGCCGAGACGTAGAACGCGACGGCTTGGGTCGCGAGCTTGGACTTGATGCCGTCCTTCATCTTGTCCTTGATCGACTTTTCGTAAAAGCACGCCTGGGCTTGCGCAAGCATGAGATTCACGAGCATCGAGAGACCATCGTTGCTCATGTCGACCGTGCGGGGGCCGGTCGTCGGCGACGATTGGATCGTGGCAAAGGCGCCGGCGGCCGCCATAAAGTGGTTGCAAGCGCCTTTGAGCCCATCGGTGGTGCTGCGGTCGCAGTTGACTGCGGCCTGCGACTCGAGCGCGCCGACGAGGAACATGACAGCGTCTCGCTCAAACGCAACCGCGTTTTGCGTCAGCTTTTGGCGCGGGCAGAACGAGTCGTACCACGTGAATGGGACTTTGACCGTCGTGTCGCCGATCGGGAACCGCGTCTCGAGGAGCTCGAGCTGCGCGTGGTAGCGCAAGAGCACGAGGCGGGACATGGGCGACGGCGTCCGGACGGCTTCGACGTCCTTGCGCATCTGGCTAAGCGCCGAGAGCGAGGCCGTGAACTTGTCGGCCTCGGCTTCCGAGTACTCCTTCGCGATGTAGCTGCGCAGCGGCTTGGCCATGTCCAGGGGCGACGTCTGCTTGAGCTGGACCGCCAGCATCGTCGTCGTCTGTTGCCGCAAATATAAAAAATGAGAGCGTTGATCTTTCGTGTCCAGCCAGAACCTACATTCTGGTCGCCAACACTCGCCGAACCCGTTGCATTATTTTGCAGCTGGTCTTTTTGCATACAAAACCACTGTTATAATTTGTGCAAACAAAAATACAAATATATTTGTATCTTGGAAAATGTATGCCGGGGTGGCAGCCAATCCGCGCTCGCACCACGCGTCCGGAAGAAGACTAAGAACACCGCGCTTTGGCGGCCGTACACTCTACAATCCGCAACCCCACGGACGCTTCAGTGCGCTTTCGCGCAATTTCGGATGTCGCTGGGGTCTTTTACAGAGTGTGGTGATGGTATGCGCACGATATGAAAACGTGCAGAGACGGATTGCGTGGCGAACAGAGGACCAGCACCCATAAGTCGCGTGCGAATAGACGCAGGCTGCCACGGGTCGCGCGTGCCAACCTGACAAACTCGATATGGACTCTGGAAGGCCGCGATCGGTTTCGGCAAGATCGCGTTTGGCCCTTCCGATGAACAACTCGTACGTGGCCGGCGCCGGCGCGTACGTCAAGGGCGACTTCGCCATTACGTCGACGGGCGTCGTCATGAAGGGTACAGGCCGCGCCTTCACGGTCAACCCGGCGGAGCTCGAGTGGGGCGACACGATCGGCCAAGGCGCCAGCGGCACCGTGCGGCGGTCCAGGCACACGCCCACGGGCACGATCCTAGCGCTCAAGCTCATCAACATGTTCGACAAGGCCAAGCGCGAGCAGCTCATGCGCGAGATCCACGCGCTCTTCGACTCGGAGGTACACTTCTGGCCATGAGCGATGATAGAACTTTGGCTTTGGTCTAGTGTCCGTGCCTCGTGACCTTTTACGGTGCGTTCCTCAAAGACAGCGCCGTCGCCTTGGCACTCGAGTACATGGACTGCGGGTCGCTTGAGAACGTTGTGCGCGGACATGGCGGCGGTGTGCCCGAGCCGGTCCTCGCCAACATCACGCTGCAACTCCTCATTGGACTCTCGTACCTCAAGTCCAAGAAGCGCGTGCATCGCGACATTAAGCCGTCCAACATCCTCCTCAACACCAACGGCGAGGCCAAGCTCACGGACTTTGGCATTGCGACCGAACTCTGCAACTCGATTGGTACGACTGGCATGTAACTTGGATGATCTCATGAGCACGGACTCAGCCATGTGCGGTACGTTTGTGGGCACCTTCAAGTACATGTCGCCCGAGCGCATCCGCCGCGATCCGTACAGGTACTCGAATTCGACGCCGCCGCGTTCTCTCACGTATCGCTAGCTACGCCTCGGACATTTGGAGCTTGGGGCTGGTCCTTATGGAGACGGCGACGGGCCAGTACCCGTACCACCAGCACAGGACGACGATCGAGGTCTGTGTGCCGACATTAGCGTAGTGATAACGGCGCTTCAGATGATCCAGAGCGTGCTGGAAGCGCCGCCGCCGCCCTTGTCGGAAGGTATGACCTCATCATGACACGGGATTGGGTTCGACTCTCTGTAGACGCCTACTCGCCAGCCTTTTGCGCCTTCTTGCACGACTGCTTGCGCACGTCGGTACGCCCAAGCGCTTCGAGGAGCATGTATGCAAGTCGACATGTAGGACAAGGACCGGAAGAGCGTGGACGAGCTCCTCGCCTCGCCATGGCTCGCGCAGTGGGGCGCAACGGGTACGACATTGCCCTTGCGGTTTCGGGGCTTGATACGTTGATACATTGTAGACCTCGACGCGGCCCAGCGCAACGTGCGAACGTGGATCCAAGCACAGCAGAACAACCACGACTGTTAGATGTTGTATTATGATACATGAGAAGATAAATAGTCCGTACATGGTGACGTCTACGAGGCCGCGTGCTGGACCACGGCGGCCGCGGCGGCCTGCAAGAGTGCCACGTAGTAGGACGTTTCGCCACCGACCGACGCGTCTTCGAGACCCATGGCCTCCATCGCATGCAGCTGCATGTACAGCAGCGGCAGCTGAGCATTCGATAAGACCGAGACCAGAATCGGGAGCACAATGTCGGCCGAGAGGCACAGCGATGACGTGACGCCGAGTGCGTCACCGACTTCGTCATGAAGCGTCGCGATCGCGGTCATGAGCGTCTGGAGCATGTCGTCCGGCAAAAGCACCGGGAGCTCTTCGATCGCGTCAATCGTTCGACACAGCGAGATCTCATCGTGGGCCACACCAACGTCGATGAGACCGACGTCGGTGAGCGAGAGCTGCCTCACGCTCTCAACGCTTGCATCAAACTGCCTTTGGTCTTGCGCTAGCGTGGTGACGGCAGGCGCGTAGAAGGCAGCCCCGAGTCGGCCGCACAGCAGTCGCCGCACAAGGCGCCGGAGCGTGTGGTCGACCGCCGACACGCCGTGCTCGGTCGCCAAGTGGGCGCAAATCTCGCGGTGGAGCGCCGTGAACGTAGCCCGGGGCACCACATGATGGCAAATGTCCTTGAACGCGGCAATGGCCGTGCGCTCGAGACGCAGTCCGACCTCGGTTTTGTAAAACTGCGACGTCACCAGCACCATCTCAAAGGCAAAGTCAAAGTTGGACGGGTCGTCGCTCGCATGGAAGGGGGTTGCCGTCGCCTGCAGTAGCAGCGACAAGCTCGAGACGTGCGCCGCGAGGTACGTGTCGTCCTGGAACGCGGCCTTGACGTCGTCGCTGCGGCGCGCGAACGCATCATCGGCCGACCGGCGGCGAAGCGACGTCGTGCCCGCGTGCTTCTTCACGTGCGCCGCAATCGCTTGCAGCCACGCCACTTGCCGCGACAACACTTGGTACAAAATGTCTGTGGCCAGCGCAGCTTCCCAGTTGGCGTCGTTGGCCGCGTCGAGGATCGCAAGCCCGCGCTTGTGCAGCGCGGCCTCGGCATGTGCACGGAGGCGGCGCAGGCTCGTCGTCGTAGCGCTCTTGCGCAGCCACGTTCCGCTCAAAAAGTCGGTGCGCGCGTCCCACTCGATCTGGTGCGTTCGCTTCTTGAGCGCTTTCGCCTCCTTCGCGACGCGGTCCGCGCGCGACTCGGTCGGGCTCGAGAAGGACGCGCTCATCTCGGACCGGTGCGGACTTAAGAGCGCCGAGAGCGTCGACGAGCGCGTGCTGAACGCATGCACGTTGCGCTGGTACGGAGTCCACGCTGCGACTGCGAACACCATCGCTTCGGCTTGTGACGAAGAAGCTCCGAGATGCTGCCAGGTGGTTTCGGCGTCCCTCCTGTGATTGGCCAGCAAAAATGGCCGAGGACGGACGACTTGGTCAAGTATTGCGATCTTCCGCTTCCCGCTCCACCGCCATTTCCAGGCCATCGACAATGACCTCATGAGCACAGGCCCGCCCATGCCTTCCCCTCCTCCATGTATCATCTTGGTCATCGTAGCACTGCCAAACTGCCGTCTGCAGGAGCTACGTACGCACACGAAGCTTCCTCGGCTGTGCAGTGTACAAGTATAGGGCCACGCGGGAGAGTCGCCATGCCGGCAACCGCGAATCGAGCGTACGGTATAAAACACGCAGAAGAGTCGCTTGCCATTACATGCATGTGCGTCAGAAACGCGCCGTCGTGACGATCGCGCTCGATTCGCACGCTGTCGATGTCCCGCGTTCCGCCGGATCGAGGGCGCTTCAAAGCGCTTGGAAGCGCTCGATTCGCCAAAGACAGCGCCATTGGAGCGTCGCGCGTCTTTTTTCATACGTCAACTGCGTGGATACAAAGACCGAGTGTAGATTAAAAGAACGGAATAAAAATCCTGAGCGAGGGGATAAAAAATAGCGCTGTGTGGTTTTTGTCTCTTCAAAAGGGAACGTCGCACGGGCCAAGCAACGTCGGCCGCCATAGAACCAGGTATGGCCATGTGCTCGGCCGCGCTCTGCTGCGCCATGCGCCCCGCCCCGCGACGAGAGGAGCGGGGGCGGTGTCATGCGGCGTCCTGCGCCTCCTGCGCAGAAGCTCATGGGCCCTTGTATGTGCTAGTCCCGCTCATGGCATCGTCGCAACGAGAGAGCTCGAGCCTTGAGCTCCGCGTCGGCAAGAAGTTTCGCCTCGGCCGCAAGATTGGCAGCGGCTCGTTTGGCGACATCTACCTCGGCACCAACATGACGTCGGGCGAAGAAGTCGCGATCAAACTCGAGTCGGTCAAGAGCAAGCACCCGCAGCTTCTCTACGAATCCAAGATCTACAAGATCCTCAACGGCGGCCGTACGCTACCTAGCTGATGGCGACAGCTTGATGGCTCATGCTCTCATCGTCTCTAGTCGGGATTCCCAACATTCGCTGGTTTGGCGTCGAAGGCGAGTACAACGTCATGGTCATCGACCTCCTCGGGCCGTCGCTCGAGGACCTCTTCAACTACTGCGGCCGGCGCTTCCAGCTCAAGACTGTGCTCATGATTGCAGACCAGCTCCTCTGCCGCATCGAGTACTGCCACTCGAAGAACTTTATCCATCGCGATCTCAAGCCCGACAACTTTCTCATTGGGCTCGGGAAGCGGGCGCAGATTGTGCACATTATCGACTTTGGCCTCGCGAAGAAGTACCGCGACCCGAAGACGCACCAGCACATCCCATACCGCGAGAACAAGAACCTCACGGGCACAGCCCGGTATGCGAGCATCAACACGCACGTGGGCATTGAGCAGTCGCGCCGCGACGACCTCGAGTCGCTCGGCTACGTCTTCATGTACTTCATCCGCGGCTCGCTGCCGTGGCAAGGCCTCCGTGCCAACACGAAGAAGCAAAAGTACGAAAAGATCATGGAAAAGAAGATGAACACGCCTGTCGACGTGCTCTGCCGCGGGTTCCCGACCGAGTTCCGCGCCTACTTTGAGTACTGCCGCGCGCTCCGCTTTGACGACAAGCCCGACTATGCATACCTCAAGCGCCTCTTCAAGGAGCTCTTCTTCCGGAAGGGGTACCAATTCGACGCGATGTTTGATTGGACCGTCCTCAACTTGGTACGTCGACAGGTTGACGCTGGTACAGGGTCTGATCAGTAATGTAGCAAAACGGCACGCCGACCGCCGGCACGCCCGTCGCGTCGCCCGCCCTCTTGCCGCCCAACCACATGTCGGGCGGCGGCGCCGGCGTCTTTTCCAGCGGCACGGGCAACGAGATGCTGCCGCCGCAGCACCAGCGCACCGACTCGCGCAACACGGGCAGAATATTTGACGAGAAGGACCCGAACGGCGAAGAGTACGTCTCGATGCCGCGCATGACGCCGACGTCGGGCACGCCATTGCGCCAAGACGGCATGGACATGCGCGGCGGGCCCATGCATGGGATGCCGCGCATGCACTCGTCCATGTCGATGGAGGCCAAGCCGCACGCGGCCCCCGTCCGCATGAACTCGTCGCCGATGATGGACGCCAAGCCACAGTCGCTTCTTCCGAACCGACAGCGCTACTAGGTCCAAATGGATGCGGCCACCTCCCTTTGTTCACCCCACATATAAGATAAGAACAAGTCCCCTGCTCGTGCTGAACGTAATACTGGATCAAGTAAGTGGTGTGCGCATGGTTGGATACGCCTTCCTTCGTCTGCTCTATGCACGTGGCGGTCAGCCGCGCTCCCTCGTAGCGTGCCAATGACAGGGTAGGCTGAATCGCATGATGATCCCGAACGGAAGGAAGGCGAGTCGCACGCACGAAGCGGCAGTCATCCCATCGGCACGACGAGCACGATACCCACGGGACTCGAGCGTCTAGCGGTCGAGCTGACGTGATTCGTTGGGCCAGCCGCAGCGTTGGCAAAGTGGCACTTGCATATACAAGGACGTACCAACCTTGCAATCGGATACCTTGGCACATATTACGTGTCACCTGCGACGGCCGAAACCATGATGGAGAATATTGTCTTGTAAAGAGATCTGACTCGCTGGACGCCGGTCTTGAGTTGCTTGGGTCTCTCCAACGCAAGCCGCTATGAAGGCCTCATGTGCACCCCCGCGTTCGCCTACTTGGTCGACGCATGACGTGCGTAGTAGCCGGCGGAAATGGACCGGCGCAGGACACACGCCATCGTGCGATTTGTACCGAGCGGCGCTGCTCCCATACGTCCGCTTTGTCTCTTGACCTATGGGACAGCGCAAGATCGTTCTTGAATCTGGGTTGCGAAACACAACACTACGAGCTACTCTGTCGTCCTACTTGTTGTCGCATGGAAAAAGGAACCAGGCCACTTGACGCGCTCTTCGCTCGGACGCAGCGTTCGCTCACCGTCGACGCTTGTTGTTGCACGACGCGCAGTACACACTACTCGAGCGGGCTGTGCGGTAGCAGTCCGCGCAACGACCCCAATCGTTACTCCGCCACCCGTCGCAAGGTGTCAGACGTCCAGGCCCCTTGCGACGGGTGGCGGAGTGTCAATGGGGGTCGTTGCGCGGTGGCTACGCAAGCTGGTGGGTGCTGCGACGACTGTCGTTGGTCGGGCGGTCGTCGAGGGCGGTGGCGTTGGTCGAGTTGGCGAGAAAGGCCCACGACTCGTCACCGTCGCTGTCGTCCCTGCTGCTAGGCGAGCGTCCAACCGGCAACCGCAAAGTGGTTTGTGTGACCACGCAAGAAACGGTGACGTGGCGCCGTGTCTTGGAATGAACGCCTGACGTGATTGGCCAAATAAACGCAAGAAGATCGCTGCCGACCGCGGATTGGCGGGATCCGACGTTGAAGCAGACGGCGTTTTGGACCCACTCGTGTAGTTCGACACCCCCGGGTGGGTCGGAATGGTTTTTGCCAACTTCAACGTCTGGTCGACGCGCCGGTCAACGCGTTGTCGGCCACGGTCGTCATGCACATGGCTCCACCTCTGCGCTTGCTCGCAACTGCCGCTGAGCCATGGAGCGGACGACGCTCGCGTCGGTTTGGCACCGCTACTTGAGCTACTCGCAACGCACCGAGATCACTCCCCAGACGGTGATCGGGCGATGTGCCACCGCCGTCTTTGCCTGCGGCCAGGCTCGCATGTCACCAGCTTGGCCATTGTCGGCACAAATGGCGAGGTCATTAGCATGGCGCACTTGGCGGTGGGATCACAAATACGATCGAGCCCTTGCTCGACGACGACAAGCGACCTGTCACCACTGTTGTCCTTCTTCGCCCACCTCTGCACGAGCTCGACCCTGTCGTCGCCGCTCCGAGGACCAGCTGCCATCGATGCACGCGCCAACTATTTTGTACGATGCAAGTTCTCTTGTATTCACCACATGCGGATTGGTGACTACAAAGCGACGCTGCCACGTCTCCTGAAAACGCCAGCATTCTCGCAGGTAGAGCCAAGCGAGGGGAGCGCTGCGTGGTGCGCGTCGAGGTGCTCGATGAGTTTGGCGTTCTTCATAAGTCGCGGCTGCTGCTGCAGAATATACCGCCGCGCCACCGTTGACTTGGTAGCATTGTGCGGCGTGTGCGGCATCGGTGCAAACTGCCGGGGCACGAGCACGCGATCGGTCGCCTCGACTGGCGTCGGCGCGAGGTTGTAGATGCGCACGCCGTGGCTTTGGTAGTCGGCCAAGCGCGACGCGTGACGGTACACGGCCGTGCGCGGTAATCGCTCCTCATCTACGCCTCCTTCGACGAGCTGCTCATCACCGGGGATATCTACCGTATTGAACGTGCAGCGTCGCGGCGCGGCTCACATGATATTGCATGCGGTCGATCTCTTCCTGGAGCAGGTTGAACTTGATGAGCTTTCGCTGCCGCGCGATGTTCTCGTCCGAGAGATGGTTGATCGCAATCTGAAAGACGTCCTATACATCCATGCACATATTGTCTTATTGCAAACAGACAACATTGTCATTACGTGCTTGGCACGCACGTCGTCGTACTTGTCGGCCAAGGTCGTGTCCTACGCCGGAGGATATGTCCTTCTGTGTGCATTGCTGGAACGCACCAGCGTCTGCATCAACCGCTCAAGCTCTACATGCCGAAGTCGTTGATCTGCCGAGCACAATGCGACACTGCTGCCAATGTACCTTCGTACGACTTGGGACCAGGCACGGGAACTTTAGGGCGCCTCGACTTGGTTAGGATCATGGACCGGACGCGCTGCCGTCGACGCCGCGGCGTGTCCATGTTGGAGAGGCGCTCGTACGCGGGTTCCTACACGTAGCACCTACCATGAACCAACGGCTGGCGTGCAACGCTGCCACCGCAGGCCGGCGCGCGGCCGCTTTCGCGTCGACGTCGAGGGTCTCGTCGTCGTCGCTGTCACCGTCTTTGGCGTTCAAAAACATTTCGAGGTTCGAGAGCTTGTGGCGAATGCTCATCTACACGTCTCTTGTTGACGTGCCTTGAGGTACCTTTATACCTTTTGCTCGGCGAGGTCCTTCTCGGCAGCGTCCAGAAGCAGGTGCGCGCCATCGTTGGACGAGAGCACAAAGCGGGCTTTGAGCGGCCCATCGCGCGGACGCCCCGCCGGCCGCGCATCTGCAGGCGCACGGCGATGCACCATGCAAAGGACTAATTATAGCTCGCGAGTAATGAAGTCGAAAAATACATAGCATTGAGAGAAAGGACAGCGCCTTCTTAGACGACCGACATGTTGAGCATCTTGGTGTCGGCGACCTTGCGCCCGCACATGGCGCAGATACCTATGCAGCATGAGGCCCCTGGTGTGGCAAGCACTCGCACCTTTCTTGTACGCGCAGTCCTGGCAGTAGTGGGCGTTCTGCGCGACCTTGGACTTGCAGATGCGGCAGGCGCGGCTCATGGGCGTGAAGCGGTGCTTCTTCCCGAGCGCAGCGTTCGTCGCGAGCTTGCGGCCGCCGTCCTTGCCGCCCATCGTGTTGCGGGCGCCGTCCTTCCACTTGTCGGGCACGATGAGCTTCGAGAGCTTCTCTTCGCACTTGCCGCAGACCATGGCGCTTCGACTCTGCGGGCCATTGGCCGAAATATGCGGAATTATTGACCAATCACCGATGTTCTTCGATTCGCTGCGGATTGGCTCATATGTAGCCAATGGCAAGCCGGCTGCAGGTTTTGCCGCAAATTCCAGCATGGAGGTGGTCGAGCTTGCCGCCGACGTGTCCACGCCGTCCACCATCGATGCGACGCTGGCCGACAGCGTCAGCCAAGCAGCGCGACGCATGCAGAAGATATTGTCTTCTCCGCCTACGTGTGCAAGGTACGCGGTGGCATGCATCGAGCTCGCCTCATGGCCGTCTAGTCGCTGGACTTTGGCCAGCCGCATCCGGGCAACATCTCCGAGTCGGGTGCGCCTCGCTGCCCATATGCGATCCCTATCGAGTGATCTAACTGCGATGGTCTAGCGCTCTTGGCAACAGCGCCGCTGCCACCATGTGACTACAACCGGGATGCGTTCCCCGACGACCTCGTCAACCAAGGCAAACTCACGAGGTCGTCGACCTTCGCCGCCGCATTCGGGCTCATGGTCATGCATTCTGTAGTCTGCAGCTCGAAGGGATTCTGTATGCGTGCATGCAGCACCAAAAGATCCTGCCGACGGGCGAACGCTGCGGCTTCTTCCTCGGGGTACATACCACTGCAACTTGGTCGAGTCTTACGTAGTATTCCGATAGGATGGCACGGGCGTGGGCAAAGGACGGCAGCTCGCGGGTATCATTTTTGACAACCTCTGCCGCGGGCGCAAGAAGCACCTCTGGTTCAGCGTCTCGAACGACCTCCGGGTCGACGCCGAGCGTGACCTCCGCGACATTGGCTGCCACGTCGCCGTCATCGACGGGTGCCAGCAACGTACGCCTTCTCTTGAAAACTGCATGCAGTTCAATCAGCGTGTTTGTAGTCGACAAGGCCAGTTCGAAAGGCTTTGGGCAGAGCAGTGGCAGCAAGCAAGGCGTGCTCTATAGTACGTACTCGACGCTCACGTCCAACTTGGCGCACCCAACAAAGTCGCGCCTCGCGCAGATCGTCGCGTGGTGCGGCGACAACTTTGAGGGCTGCATCCTCTTCGACGAGTGCCACAAGGCCAAGCACGGCGACTTGAGCATGAAGGACGCGACGGCCTCCAAGGTCGCCCAGGCGGTCGCCAAAATCCAAGAGCTTCTACCTCGCGCGCGCGTCGTCTACTGCAGTGCGACCGGTGTCGGCGGCATCGAGCACATGGCGTACATGGGTCGGCTCGGTGCGATTTTTCTGCCTTTTCTTATTTTTTTCTGAGGCGACCGGTAGGCTTATGGGGACCGCGGACGGCTTTTGCGGGGTTTAGTGACTTTCTGTACACGATTCAAAACAAGGGCATGGGAGCGATGGAGATGCTTGCGATTGAAATGAAGCTCCAAGGTTGCAGGCACCCGTCGAGGCGCAGTTTAAATGTACAATGGTGTAGGCAAGTACCTCTCGCGGGGCCTGAGCTACGAAGGCGCCGAGTTTCGTGTCGAGACGGTCGTCTTGGACGACGCCCAGGAAGCCATGTACGACCGCTCGGTGCAGTTCTGGACGATGCTCATGGGCTGTTTCCACCGCGCGTGCGCCATTACGCGCACGAGTGGCGACGTCATGAAGACGTTTTGGGGCTGTCACCAGCGCTTCTTCCGACAGCTCTGCATGGCGCTCAAGGTACCACGAGAGAGACGCTTCTACAGGTGATTGATGACGATGACGTAGGTGCCGTTCATCGTCCAGTGCGTGCGAGAGAGTCTCGCCCTCGGCCAGTGCGCGGTCATAGGCCTCCAGACGACGGGCGAGGCCAGCATGGAGCGGTCGGTCGCGGCCAGCCTTGCCACCGACAAGACGCTGTCGCACACCCTCGTCTCGCTTCTCGAGCGCATCCTCGTCGACTTTATCGAGCTCCATTTTCCCACCAAAGTGCAGTTGGCGGCATCCGGCATGAGTGCGTCGTACGACATTAGCATGATTGACGCGGCGCTTGCCGGTGACGCCAATAGCCAGATGGAGCGGCTCCCAGACGGGTCTCTCCAAAGCGTCCTCTGTGTCGAGATGCGTACGATGCTGCTTCGCCAAGTGCTCGAGCTGCAGCTCCCGCCCAACCCGCTCGACCACCTCATTGATGCCCTTGGCGGTGTCGCAGCAGTGGCCGAGCTCACGGGCCGCCGCCTCCATGTCGTGCGCAACGCCCGCGGCAACTTTGAGACCAAGCCGCGCGGCGTCCACCTCGACAAGGTCAACATGGCCGAGCGGCAAGCGTTCATGGACGGCACCAAGCTCGTCGCGATCATCTCGGATGCTGCGAGCACTGGCATCTCGCTGCACGCCGACCGTCGCTGCCGAAACCAGCGCCGGCGCATCCACATCACCCTCGAGCTCCCGTGGAGCGCAGTACGTGCCTGTTCTATCCATCTTTCAAAGTATCAAGTCAGGACTAGGACAAGGCGATCCAGCAGCTCGGGCGCACGCACCGCTCCAACCAGTCGTGTGCGCCGTCGTACGCACTCGTGACAACCAACTGCGGTGGTGAAAACCGGTGCGCGATCCGAATGATTTCGCCGACAACTGTGGACATGTTGTCCTCGTCCTCTTAGGTTTGTCGCCAGTGTCGCCAAGAAAATGCTGACCATGGGGGCGCTCACCAAGGGCGACCGGCGCGCGGGCAGCGGTCAGGACTTTTCAGGCTACCATTTCGAGACCAAGTATGGCTTCCAAGCGCTGCGGGAGCTTCTCAAAGTCGCGGGAACGCCGACGCTGGTCGAAGGCGTCGACGGCGATGCTTTACTGGCGCAGACGCCGTTCGTGTCGTCGTTGGGGCAGCTCCAGCTGGTCTTTGCCAACTGCCTCAAGCAGATTGGACTGCTTCCGCCGCCGACCACGTGCGCGGTCAAGCTTTTCCTTAACCGTCTCCTCGGGCTGACGCCCATGCACCAGAACGCGCTGTTTTGTACTTTGAAAATGCCTCCAGGCCGTGATCGCCAAGGCGACGCAGGAGGGCAAGTACGACGAGGGCTACGACGACATCAAAGGCCGGAAGGGCCAGCTCCAGCGTCAGTCGCGCCTTAGTCCGACGGTCCAGCACTCGCACGTTGAGGTCGACCGCGGCATCTCGTTCGAAGAAGCGACGGCGCTGCTTGCGTCGTCGGTCGCCGCCGGGTACAGTGCGAGCTTTTACATCAGCGACGCCAAGTTCTATGGCGAGTACCTCTTCATGCTCATGCTTGTGAACGCGACCAAGACGTCGTGCTGCGTCGTGCGGCCCAATACGGGCTACATGTACTTTGACCGGTCCAAGCTCGACGACATGCGGTACACGACGACAACTTGTCTGTTTTTCGAACGACAATCATATGGATATGCGACATTAGAGACAAGTATGCCGCGATTGCGCCGGCCGCGGCCGAGAAGGGCTGGCGACGTATCTTTGATGAGAGCTGCGTGCGCTGCGTGCACTGGAACGGGTGCAAGGCCGGCTTGACGTGCCGCGTCGGCATGCGCATGATGCAGTACCACGTGCTCACGGGCTCGGTGCTTCCGATTTGGAAGCTGCTCGAAGCTGTGCTCTTGTCGTCGCCGGACGTGTCGCCGTCGTCGCAGCTCCGCATCGTACGCATTGCGCTGACCAACCACCCGACGCAGTCCAAGCTTGTGGGCTTAAGCTTCCCGGTTGAGCTCATCGGACAGCTCCACGTCGAGCTCACGCGACTCGCGTCTGGCCACTCGCTGCTTGCTGTCGAAGCCCCGAGCCCCGTCGACTGCAAGGCGCGCGACCGCCTCATGCAGCCCGAGCGCACGCTCTTGAGTTACTTTGGTGCGGAGCCGACGCCCAAGCGGCACAAACCCGAAACGTCGACAAAACCGAGCAACACTGCGACGGTCGCGGTCCAGCCCCGCAAGACGAGTGCGACGCCCCACGCATCCGCGATCGCTGCGTTCTTCGCGCCCAAGACCGTCGCGCCCAAGACCGTCGCGCCAGCGCTTCTGACGCCGCCAAGTCGCCCGGTTGCCGAGTGCATTGATTTAGTTAGCGATGATGACGACATGTAACATCGCATAGGTCGGCGGCGGTCGTCGTCGTCGAGACTTGAGTGTCAGGGAATTCAAATCCTATATTTTGTTGGAAAACATTGTCTTGAATCCCACGTACAAGTCGTCCGTTGCACAGACAGCTCCAGTCATTGTAGGATTCCCGTGCTTACATGTCTCTCGTCGAGCTAAAAGAACGATTGTTCGAGGAGCTCAAAGCGGATCGTGGCTTTGAGGTGGTTGAAAATCGTCGGGAACGCCATGAGGTCGGTCGGGTTGCTCTCGACCCAGAGCGCGTCAAACATCGTGAAGACTTGGCCTACGGTTATCATAAGACAATATTTTCCAACACCAAAAATGTACAAAAGAACTCGTGGAGCTCGTCCACGTGAACGTCCTTGTCGTAGAAGCGTGCGTCCAGCAGACGGTCGTTGATGAGTTCGACGAGGAAGCTACGACGCTTGAGACTCATGGGATCATGGATCCTCGTAGGCGTACTTGGTGATGTTGATGCCCGTGATGGCGAACGGGTACCACTGCGTCGGGTGGTTGGAGTGCACGAGCGCGCTAAGGCTACGCATTGTGGACGCTCGGCTACGGCGAGGTCACGTACCTTCTCGCTTCTTCCGGGTACTTGGACGTGTAGTAGAGAAGCTGGTGCAGCGAGAGGACACCCATGCTCCTGCACACCCTTGGTCAAAGACTCGGTGTTAAGACGAGTTGCGTACCGAAAATCAGTCATGGGGTCCGTGCCCTGGAAGCCAATCTCGCCCCACTCCTTCGTGAGGCGGCCGCCCGTGCGACGGACGTCGGGCTTGAGGTTGCGCCACAGCTCTTCCAGCATGGCCTGCGCAACGTCATGAGCCGGCACGACATGCGAGGAAGAGAGGACCTCGTGGGCGTCGTTGGTCGAGTCGTACGACTCGTCCTTGAGCGCAAAGACCTTGGCATACACGTTGTTGACGGCGAGGAACGTCTTGAACGACTGCCGCAAGTTGGCCTCGGCGCTAGCCATCGAGGTCGAGATGAGGCGTGGAGGAGACGGCGTGTATTGCGACCGTACATGAGGCTCTTGCTCAAGTCGATCTTCTTGGTGCGCGCGAGCGCCTCGAGCGCCGCGTCCGTCTACATCAACGCCGTGGAATGATGAATCATCGTGCAGGCGGCGGAATACCTCGAAAGGCTTGAAGCCAAAGATCGCCATCTGCGTGTCCTTGAGCGACTCGTCAAGGGCGATGGACGTGCGCAGTCGCACAAGCATCGAGCGCACGTCGTCCGCGGGCTTGGCCACAATGCGCTCGAGCTCAGTCTGGCCAAAGAAGACGCCGACTGTCGCCCATGTGAGCAGGAGGAGGAGGATGGGCGATCGTACGTACAGAAGAAGTTGGTCACCGCGCGGAAGAAGCGCGTCCAGATCGAGAGGTGGGCTTGCGCCAGCTTGGTCACGCGGAGGGCAGCATCCATGGTTGACTACTTCTTGCCACCGGCGGAATCACAAAGATGAGGCCGTGACAACGCTGTGATTACGTCGGCTTTTTATTTTCGGCACAGTATGCCACGTCGAGTGCCGGCATGTCGGTCGCGACCGTGCACAGCAGGCGAGATCGTAGTACGGCATTGAAGCGTCGTGCAGTCGCCAGTGCAGTGTCCAGTCATTACAAGGGAATAATTATTCCCGTGAGTCATAAGCACCGCGCCCGTGGCCCCTTTCTTCTGCCCAGTGTATCCCATCGCCCCCATCAACGTGGCACATGCCGAAAATAATTTCGTTCCGGATACCACCGGTCGCGATCTTTGAGCAACAGGCGTGGGGCCAAGGACTAGGTAGACGCCACGGCGTCGCGCGGTCGCGGTACCTGCATGCTCTATGCAACCGTCATAACGAGCCAGCGTCATGACGCCAAGCGCGTTCATGGACACTCAGAGTCCGGTGGGTCTGGACGTTTACGCTGGACGGTCGCGATCTACAGTGCAGCATGCTGCTGCCGACCGCATTTCGCCCAATACGATGGCCTGCCACGCGTCGCCGCTGCGGTCTCCATGCAGCTGGCGTCATGGAGAAGCGTTCGCCGTAGTATGTACCTCGGCAGCCGTCGTCCATGACCCGGCAGGCTCCCGCGGCCATGGCGCTGGTGCTGGTGCTGCTCGCTACGTCACTGGTCAAATCCAAGTCGCCGGGTGTTTTATCCCAGCATACATCAATACAATGCAACCATGTCAGTCTATCTTGTGCATTGTATGGTATTTTATAAAAAGAAGTGGTCCCGTTTTTAAATACGTGGAGTTTTTTTGTCGACGCCATTCCAGCACGTGGGCGAGAATCCATTTTCGCCCCTTGGACGACCATGGTGTTGACGGGGAAGCAGCGCGAGGACATGTAGGTGGCAGGAGGGCCAGTCAAGACGAGCTCATCGTGGGCACGCACATGCTAGGCACCAGGCCGTGCTCGAGTACCTCACGAGCCTCGGCGCGCAGTTTGCGACGTCTGCGGCCGCGTTCCAGCAAGACGCGGGCCTCACGCCAACGATCACGATGGATCCAAACAAGACGGGTCTTCTCGAGAAGAAGTGGACATCGGTCGTGCGCCTCCAGCGAAAGGTCATGGAGCTCGAGACCAAGATCCAGCAGCTCGAAGACGACGCCAAGCTCGGCAATGTCGTGAGTCGGCGCGACGTGACCGGCGCCAACCGCGACGCTGCACTCTTGCCGCGCGCGCCGCCCAAGTACTCGATGTCAGGCCACCGCAGCCCGATCACGTGCGTCCTCTTCCACCCCGTCTTTAGCGTCATCGTCACGTCCAGCGAAGACGCGACCATCAAGGTAGGACAAGATCGCACCCTTCGCACGCTCATGGTTGTAGGTCTGGGACTTTGAGACCGGTGACTTTGAACGCACGTTAAAGGGCCACACGAATGCAGTGCAGTGCGTGGCCTTTAACCCTGCGGGCTCGATCCTCGGTACGCATCGACTACAATGCATTCGCCTCCAATGCATGCCTCGTAGCCTCGTCGTCGGCGGACCTCATGATCAAGCTCTGGGATTTCACATCGGACGGCTCGTACGAGTGCAAGAAGACGCTGCGCGGCCATGACCACAACGTGTGCTGCGTCACGTTTGCGCCATCGGGCGACCACCTCTTTTCCTGCTCGCGCGACACGACCATCAAGGTATCAACCGCGAAAATGACATGCGATCGACGCTACGAACAACTAGATCTGGGAGGTCGAGAGCGGCTACTGCATACAAACGCTCAACGGGCACGCGGACTGGGTGCGCACGATCTGCGTCACGGACGACGGCCAGTACCTCGCGAGCGGCGGCAACGACCGGTCGATCTTTCTCTGGGACCTCGCGACCTTCAAGCCGATCCAGAGCATGCGGGAGCACGAGCACGTGGTGGAGACCGTCGCCTTTGCGCGCCAAGCGCAGCACGCGACCATTGACACCATCCACGGCAAAAAGGTTTGTTCCGACATGAATACCGACCGTGGTCCATATTGATAAGTTGATACGGTAGGTGCTCGAGACGACGGGGCAGTCGGGCGCAGGCGTCCGCTATTTATTGTCGGGCTCGCGCGACCGCACGGTGCGGCTCTGGGAAGCGTTCTCGGGTCTCCAGCTCATGAACTTTGTACGTGTGTTTTTTCTTTGTATCAAGTTTGTCGTATCAAGAGGGACTGATGATCGTGCAGGTGAGTCACGACAACTGGGTGCGCAGCGTGCGCTTCCACTGGAGCGGCAAGTACGCGATCAGCGCATCCGAAGACAAGACGATTCGTCTCTTTGACATGGAGGTACAACTTGTCACGCAACGAACGTTCGGTGAAATTGCCATTGTAGACGGGCCGCTGTGTGCGCACGCTCAAGGACGCGCACAACCACTTTCTCACGACGCTCGACGTGCATCCGTCGCTGCCACTGCTCGTGACGGGCAGCATCGACAAGCTCATCAACGTATGGGAGTGCGTCTAATATCCTCGTCTCGATCTACTATCTTTTCCATGCCTTTTGGCGTCTTTTTCAGATTTTTGCGTGTATTTTCCAGGGTTTTCAGGGGGTTTCAAACGTTAGATGCCCTTGTTGTACGTAAAGTGCGTCACGCGCTCGCCCTTGGAGTTGGTCAAGCTCTGGTACTGCGGCTCGAGGTCGGTCGCGGCAATCGTGCCATACTGCGGGAAGAGCGCGATCGCGGCGGGGAAGGCGCCCCAGATGCACAACGTCACGACACCTACACATATCGTGGTCAGCCTCGTTCTTTCATCAAGGAGCAGCCTCCTACTGATTTCGGTCACGACACGCCCAATGCGGTTCTTCGGCAGCGCGTTGACCTTCTTCATGGCCTCGAGGATGAACGGCGGGAAGAGCAAGACTAGCGATAAGATATATGAGACACGCGACTTTGCACATTCGTTTTGTACTTGGCATGGGCAGCGCGACGCGCGTCATGGCGACCTGCGTCAACGACTGCTTGCCCGCGTTCTGCGACCGGCCACGGGCGACGCCTTCGTCATCCATGACGTCAATGCCGTCGCTAGCAAGCCAAGCACCGTTAGTTCCCGAGAATGGATATCGTGCTGCGTACGTGAGCTCCTTGAGGCGCATAAAGACAGCGTTGCCGGCACCGGCGGCCGCGACCGCGACAAAAGGCACTGTCTAGAAGCGGTGCGTGAGCGATGCAGACAGAGGGACGTTGTACCCGCGCGAGGGCGAGGCGGGCCGACGCGCCAAGGAACGACGCGTGCTCGACGGCCTTGCCGAGACCCACGGACGCGCCGCACGAGATGAGCACGGCCGACGCATACGCCTCTACACACGAGGCATGAGCGTCGTGGCATGTCCATGAACGTACTCGCAATCGCCGTCGTGTCGTCGACGCCGCTGGCGTTGCGGTTGGCGTAGTTGAAACCCGCGTTGTAGCTCTGGTTGATCCACTGCCAAAAGATCGTGTTGAAGAGCTAGGTGACTGCAATATGAGCCTCGACGAAGCCTCCAGAGAGACGCACCGTGGGCGGCGCGAGCACCATGCCAGAGCAGATCGGGATGTTCACGGGCACAAAGGCGGGCATGCGGAAAAGCAGCGGCAGCTTCTCGCCGGTCTGCGGGTGAAAGACCGTCTCGCAGACTACACGCACGTGAGCAAGACGGCGAGAGGCCGCGTATGCGTACTGCGACGGGCGTCCCAGAGCTCTGCGTTCGTGACCGAGCCCTTGGGCAGGACGCCGCTCTTGTAGCCGTCGATGATGGCCTTGGACGCGTCAATCGTCTTGTCCGAGACGAAGAACGACCTAGAGAAAGGACTGGTGCGCACCGCTTTGTACAGTTGGTAGCGACGTACGAGGGCGCGACGAGCTCGGAAAAGTGCTTCCAGCGGCCATAGTACGTCGACTGGTCGTAGCGCGGAGCGTCGAGCGTGAAGGGCGGGGCGTCGGCCATGGCGTGCGTTCGTCCGTGGAAATTTGCGTTTGGCGTCCGTCCAGCGCCAAGATCCCTAGAAAGTACGGGTGGCTCTCCAAGATACGATTTTTTTATCTTGTAATGGCTGGGGCGAGGAGCGGTCGCGCAGCTGCGTGCACGGCCTGGTACTACGTCGTCATGGACTCTAGCACGAGGTCAAGGTCGTCCTCGGTATGATTCGGAGGCGGAGACGTCATGCGTCCGTGTCTTGTACCTCGCGGTGAGCATCCCGTCGCGGAAGACCTGTCTCACAGCGTAGCACTCGCCCGCAACTTCAACCCGGACATCAGTACGGCGCACGGCTGCAATGGGTTCACGCTGGATGGTTCGTGGACTGCAATTCGGGACTCGCAGGCGCCGTTGTGCCAAAGGACATCTTAGTGAAGACCGACACGATGACAACATCCAAAACGGCGTTCTTAGTACGCAACTTATGGTGACGGCTTAGACGTAGCTCGGCCACGTCGACGTCGGCGCGGCGGCAGCGTCTTGCTGCGGGATGCCCACGTAGCCGGCGCGGCGCTGCTGCGTGCGCAGGGCCACAAAGGCCGTGACGCAGACAGCACCGACGGCGGCGACGGCCATCGCATCCAAGGACGACGGACCCCACGACGTCGTGAGGCGGTTGCCATAGACCGCCGACATGTCGAGCGTCTCGTACGCGTTGAGACTCACGAGCTTGGTGTTCAGCTTGGCAGCGACGCGCGCCGATTGGCACACCGAGTCGGACTCGCGCGTCGCGCACTCGAGACCCGCCTCGTAGTAGGCCAGCGAGATGTGCGCCGAGAGGTCCGAGAGCGACGCCGTGATGGCGGCAAAGCCATCCGCCGACGCGTTCGTAAACGTCGTCGCGTTGATGGCAGCCGTCGTGTTGATGGCAGCCGTCGCGTTGACAACAGCCGTCGCGTTCGTCACAAGCACGATGTGCGTCGCGTTGGAAGGAGTGGCGGTCGCGTTGGCCGCCACGAGCGCCGACTTGTCGACGCTCAGGCCCTTGGACGCGACATGAGGAGCATTGGTGGTCTCGACCGCTTCCATGGGCTTGGCTTCTTTTGTCGGCTTGGCTTCCTTTGTCGGCTTGGCTTCCTTCGTGGACTTGGGCTCGGCAGCTTCTTTGCCTTCCTTGGGCTTTTCTTCTTCTTTGCCCTTGGACTTGACCTCCTTGCCCTTGGACTTATCGCCCTTGGGCTTCTCCTCTTCTTCTTCCTCTTCCTTGCCCTTGGTCTTGCTTTCCTTGGGCTTCTCTTCTTCCTCGCCCTTGCCCTTGGTCTTGCCTTCCTTGGGGTGCTTGGGCTTCTCTTCCTCTTCCTCACCCTTGGACTTGGGCTTGACCTCCTTGCCCTTGCCCTTGCCTTCCTTGGGCTTCTCTTCTTCCTCTTCTTCTTCCTTGCCCTTACCCTTGGGCTTGGACTTGTCCTTGCCTTCCTTCGAGTGCTTGGACTCTTCTTCCTCGTCCTTGCCCTTACCCTTGGGCTTCTTCTCCTCCTTGTCATCGTCATCGTCATCGTCGTCCTTCGACTTCTTTTCCTTCTTCTCCTTCTTGTCATCATCGTCATCGTCATCATCGTCATCGTCGTCCTTGTGCTTCTTGCCCTTGGACTTCTTCTCCTTCTCGTCATCGTCATCGTCATCGTCATCGTCGTCATCGTCGTCCTTGTGCTTCTTGCCCTTGGACTTCTTCTCCTTCTTGTCATCATCGTCATCGTCGTCATCGTCGTCCTTGTGCTTCTTGTGCTTCTTGTCCGACTTGGGCGTGAGCGAGAACGAGTTGGCGTAGCCCACGACGCTCTTGACGTGCTTGCCCTTCTTGTTGGTGTAGCGCTGCGTCCAGCCGCCGCCGACAACACCCGAGACGACGAGGTCGCCGTCCCGCGCGCAGCGGCGAATGGCCTTGTGGAGGTCGTCAACAACCCGGTCCGCGTGCTTGGGCACGTGGAAGGTCTCCATCTTGCCCTTGAAGCGCTTCCCGGCATACAGCACACCCGAAAGCTCAATGTCATCGCCGACGACGACCGCGGCCTTGGCACCGCCCACGTACTTGTCGCCGTGACGACCGCGGGGCGCGTAGAAGCCGCTGCCGCCGCCAATCGCGTGCACGAGGCGTTCCTTGCCGCAGTGGACGCTGAATTCGGCATGGGACCCGCCGTCCAGCGACTCGAAATCGCGCTGCGCAACGCAGTCGTCTTCGGGGCGCCACTCGAGCGGCGTCGCCTGCGTGAGGCTCGACGCCGCCGACGCCGGCGCATCGACAAAGCTCTCGAGCACGTGGAACGCCTTGTGCGCCGAGAGGTCGCCGCACGACTCGCTCCACTCGCGGCCGTCCGTGCGGACTGCAAAGGACGCGTCCGTCTCGAGCTTGGCGCCCGCGATGCGCGAGGCCCACGACGCCACGTCAGCGACGAACGCGTCCGTGTCCTTGTGCAGCAGCTTGACGTACTTGTCCATGGACGTCGGCGACGTCCACTTGGCGTCACCGACCGTCAAGTGGTCCGCCGCGTGCGTTGCCGCAAGCGCCGTCATGACCAACGAGCCGACAGCCTTCATGATGTGCAGTGCCGGAAAAAAGCAAAAATGCAAATCGGAATCGAGCTTGCACTTTGTATGCCCACGTTGCCGGTGCCATGTCATCGCTCCTGGCCGAACGTCGCATGTCGCAGATGGCGCTTGGTATTCCCTTAGAAAGTATATACACTGTACAGCCAGGGGTACACTATTATGTATCCCTGAAGCGCTTTGGTGAGGTCGTACGAGGCAGCGGCCGCACGCTGGACGACCATCAGTCCCAGCGACACGCAGCTTGAAGCGCAAGATGATGATCTGCAGCAATACCGGGCACATATTAATATCTAAAGCGCATACAACGGACGTACGCGGTCGCGTCAACAACAGTGCGAGCATGGGAAAAAGAGTGTCGACGGCGCATCGATGCACCGAATCGCACTCTGCAATCAACTCCAACAACCAAGCTGCCGGTCGGAGTGCTAGCTTACCGGTACGAGCGCGACGCATCGAATGCTGTTGGTGCTTGCATCGATTGCGAGCGCCGTCAGACATACTGGATAGGCGAATTACATGGGTGGGTTGTCGAGAACCGCGTGCGAGGAAACGTCCGGTCAGGGCGAAGCAGCCAGAATTCAGCTCGATGAGCCCAGCACCGGCGCCAGGCAGCCCCAAGTGCGACGAGAAAGCTGATCGGCGGCAACTATAAAAGGCAATTGTACCAGGTAGAGGCCGACACGACGCTGCGATTGGTGGACAGCATGGATGTCAAAAAGATTGCTGGGCCGTTGCTCGGCACCGCAGTTGCTTCTAGCATCTTCAGCAGCAGTGCGTGCGAGTTCAGTACCAGCTAGGAGCTAGTGTATGGTGAAAGGCTTCGGTGTGCGTGGTCAACGAGTAGCTCCGTCACGTCAAACCACCCGAGGTCGGTGTGCGCGCCGGACGAATCTGGTTCCACTTCAGATTCCGGTGCCACACCAGCCATTCGCGCATGTCATTGGCTGTAAATCGAGCTCATGAGCCCATGGGATTGGCTACTCAAAAATTGCGAGCACCAATGGCATCATGCGGCTTGGGACGACCGCCGACAGCAGCATGGCCTGCCGCTTCGACGTCGACGGCAACTACATTGGCGCACCACCACCGACGCCGGCGCCAGGAGCGCTGCCGTCGGTCGAAGACCTTCTGTGTACACCGTCGTACTTTGTCGCCAAGTACGCGCGTCTCGCCCACGAAGCACAGGTGCTCCTCGCGGTCGCCGACGCTGGCGCCGCGCTGGACGTGCTCTTTGGGTACACCACGGAGCAGGTCGCCGACTACAAGCGCTGCTACGCGCTAGCACAGGCTGCGAAAGGACGCATTGCAGACACGTTTTGCGTGCCTGAGTACGTCATGCGGGCGACGGCCCTCGACAAAGTGGAGGCGAATCTGCGACTGCTGGATACGCGGGTCCGCGCCGAGCTCGCAACGCTCGATGCGCTGCGCGAGAAGCTGCAGGCACTTGCCGATATGAACCACAACGTCGCGCAGCAGCTTGAGATTGCGGGCGCGCACAGCCTCGCGGACGCCAAGGGCCATTTGTACGTCTCTATGTGAATGACAGCATCTTCGGTCCCAACTGACATGCAAACGTAGGGCGACGATCGAGACCATTCTTCTCGAGCGCCTCGAGATGCTAGTGAGCGGCAAGATCCCGCTCGTGCATTTCTTTGGGGATGCGTGCTGGCCAGCGTTCGCGACCGGACTCGCGTAGGCTGCAAGTTGGTCCTTTTTCTGCCAGCTGACCAAGGTCTTGTAGGTCGCACCCAGCCCAAGAGAACAATTTTCAGGAGAGCAGCGACGTTGCAGAGACAGAGTTCCACGCCAAAGCGCCCGACCACCTCCCGCCGTCCTCTCTGTCGTCGATCTCGAGCATGACGCCAAACGCACCCCGCGAAGACGACGCTAGCAGCGGCTCGATGACGGTCATGTCGGGCTCGGAAAGTCTGGAGTGAGATAATTCATATACATATCAACTCGCGATTAGGATCGATGGGGGATGTCGTGCTTCTTTCCTTGGTGGGCTTGCATGTACAGCAACCTACTGCGTCGCTCTTCGGCCTACACGAGATATGTTCTTGAAATGATGCAAATCAAAGAAAAATACCTTTTTCGCGTCGTGCAGCTTCCACAAATCCGTCTACCGGTACATTCCACGTCAGGACCCACTATGACGCAAAAAACAGCCGACAACCTTGTGCGCCGAACACGACGCCATGAGCGACGAGAGTTGCTCCTGGAGCTCCCAGCAGTGCCGCTGCCACGTTTCCGTGTCGCTGATTTGCCTACCCGATAGGATTAGTTTGTGAGACTATCGCTTGAGGACGGGAGGTGTACGCTTCCAGCAGAGCTCGCATTTCGACAACCGCATCTTGGCTGCTCACCATCTCTGCCTTGGAAACGACATTGGCATGGACGAACGCATGGTCTACGAGGAACAATGAGCCAGGTTGCGCCATGACGCAACCTACGCTCGGAGTGTAGATGTTGGAGCTCGTCCTGGACGCGCTGGTGCGAGTTGTGGGCGACGCTGACCTCTTCGCGGTACTGGACGGCCTGGGCCGTCGCAGCAACCAAGTTGTCGCGAAGCCGGGCGATCGTGCGCTACGCCGTGCTCTATTCATGGCGAGCTGATGCATGACGCTCCTACGGCCTTTTCGTCGTGCTCGGCGCGGAGTCGCGCTCGACTTTCCATCGCCGCCTACGTTCAAGGTCAAGTTTCCACCGCCGTCTTATGTATCAAGTTGATAAAGTGCACTTTCAAATTTCCTTCCAAGTCGGCGACCATGGAAAGCAACGATGCCGCGGTGCTGTCCAGCGTCTTGGAGCGGCCTATGGCACACCAATGGTCACGTTGTATCGAACTATCAACTTGATGCATGCCGCACCAATGTAGATTTGCACGCGCTGCAGATCGAGCTCGAGGCTGTCGATACCAAGCACGTCATAAAGTTGCATAAGACCTTCGGGCGTGAGCCCCATGGCGACGACCGACGTCTCGCTGCCGCTGGACGGACACGGCCGCGTGTCGAGGCTGTAGCGCGCGACAACCTCTGCAAAGGAGCTTTCCGTGTACAGCGATGTATGGCCCAAGGCCATCTAGGCAGGATTTCTCAAACTCAACATTATGTTTTTTCCATGTCAAAAGCATATACAGCCGTACCTTGAGTGCGTTCATTTCATCAAGATTGAGCAGCTCGTCGCCGTCAAGATCGAAGCGGTGGACGAGCGCCTTGACGCCTGCCACCGCCCAGTCGACGCGCTGCGGTGTGCTCTCAATGGCATAGTGCTGCATGGCATGCGCGTGGATGCGCTGCAGCTCTCTCTGGAGCAGCGCGACCAGCTGCGCTTGTTCGTCCTACGCCAACGTCTCGGTCGACGCTCGGTCGACAACTCGGCCGAAATGACACCGAGTACCTTGGCCATCGTCATGGCGCTCAGAGCGCTCTCTTGCGACGCGACGAGAACCTCGAGGTGCTGGTTGCGCGAGAGAACACTTCGGTGCACGTCACTGAGTTCCTGCAATCGGTTCTACAGCGTTGCGCTAGCAACGACAACGACGCACCTCGAGCGACGTAAAGTTGCGACATCCTTTCTACGCACCCCATCGAACATCAAGACACGATACAAGCAGACACTCGTCCCACCCAGCAAAACGCCGTGAGGTCCTTGGAGCCGCACTCGCGACAGCCAAAGGACGGCGGTGGCTTGTATGGTGAGGCGCTGGCCGGGACCAACGTCGACTGCCTACGATCGCTGTGTCGTCAAGCAAACTCTGGACCATTCTCGATGTACAAGAGCCGAATGTCGTCGTGGGTCGTCGCCCAGCGCGTCCCGTTGTCGCTCTCGTGGCTCGACTCGCACCTACGCGGCATGATGAGTCCCATGTTACATGCAAGGACGGCTGCAACAGGGACGACGACGGTGGTGGGCTCCTATCGTAGTGCACCGTCTTGGCTGGCGATGACCTCAGAGACGGTGACGGCGGCGGTTTGAGCTGGAAACACCTGCATCACATGGTACTTGTCCTCGTTGAAGAATTGAAGTCTACTTGGTTTGGAGCTGCTGAAACGAACGCTCCGAGATGCTGCGACGTGTCGGCGATGCCGGACGGAGACGCTGCGATGATTTCCTACCCGACAAGTGAATTTTGGGGCAAGTCGCTTCAGGTCGCCTACGCAGGCAGTTGTGTCGATGTCGTACTGCTCGCGTCCGACGTGAGAACGTGCAGCTTTTTCCTAAGAGCGTCATCATGGTCCAAGCCTGCAATGTACGAGCTAGGGGTACGCGTTGCGCTTGAATTTGGGCACGGGCGGCTTGCGCGCGGGACTGTCTTGGGCGCTTATGGTTGCGCTACGTCGCAGCACCTCGTTGGCAGGCATCGGATCTCGCTCGGATGTTTGCAAGTTTCGCTGTAATGCTGTGTAACTCCCATTCGACCTTGAGATCGTCAGCTCAGAGCTCAGAGCGTTGCCAGCCCATGCAATCGGTAGCTGAAGTGATAGTCGACGCCACCAGCACCATCCTCAACGCTCTCCACCACAAGAATCTACTTTTCTGAGCCGTAGCCGCGTCGCATTGAACGCCACTCGCCGCGACGAGGGAGCTAACGATGCGGTCCCATTTCCACGAGAAACTGACACTCAAAGAGCCCCGTGGAGGTCTGGGTGGGCTCACCAAATCTTCTCACAACGCTTTCGTCCCCTAGGCTATAGACGCAAGCGCACGGGGAGATGAACGGGGCTCGTATTGGGAGGCCGTCGCCGCCCAAGAAGGGACTGGTGGGTGGGTTAAAAGAGCGTAGAGTAGCTAAGAGGTTTGGAGCTGGACGAGCAACTCGCAAATGACCATTGCCTACCTACTCACGCTCGGAACTGTGCGCATTGGTTTCTACAACATGTTTTTACACTTTAACGCTTTTCACACAAAAAGCGTCATCGCGATGTCGTTCATTCTCCCAAACCCAAGAACGCGAGCATGAGCATGGCCGACGTCCTACTTGGAGGGCCTACCTCGGACGGCCGCAGTAGCGCCGCGGGTTCAATCCCCGCTTAGGACCGCTTCGATGCAAATACAGATACGTAGGCGACGGTCAGTTCTTATGTGGTGGTCTGCCCCGTATTGGCGACCCCTGTCGCTTTCGCTGAGGATTCTCCATTGCAGATTTGGCCTCTAATAGCGCAACAACGATTCAGGCCACACTGCGCAACATGGAGGCTATTGAGTCGCCTCAGCCGATCCTAAAGAAGACACGCAGAACACGCCTGGCGGCCATCTCGGCGCCGGCGCCGCCAACGACGCCCTCGCGGACCAAGGCGCCGCTCACGGGCTTTACTCTGGCGGCTCAACCCGGCCAAGACGGTACAACTAGCATCTCATTCAGTGCAGGCCTGCGCTACAACGTCCGCCAAACCTGTCGAACGCCGTCCGCGAGTCGAGTATCGGCGACTCGACCGCACCTTCCGTGTTCATGGCGTTCGCAAACCACCCGGCGTAAAGGCTGCGAGTCTGGTTGAATTCTACCACTCAATAAAACCTCGATAAGAACGCCAAACAAAGAGATTGGATGGGGCGTGCTTGTGCAGGCCATCTCGGCGCCGGCGCTGCCACCGACGCTCTCGCCAACCAAGGCGCCACCGCGCATTGTGCACTCCCTTGTGGCCCTACCCGGACCGGATGGGGCGACGACTGTCGTCGTCACTTCTGGACATCGTTGAAGGCTCTCAGCCTGACGGTTACAACACAACGCTCGTCCAAGCGCCCATGTACCAAGACCTCGCCTACCAACGCGGGCTGCACGTCGCGCCAGATCCCCCGCCGGCGGTGCTCGACGGGTTGGTTCCCGTACCGGTGGTTGCTCTGGGCGACGTCGCGATGGTCGGAAGCGGCCAGCGATCTTTTCGACGAGACCCGCGAGCGTGCGGTTCAGCGGCGCCTTCTCGTCGGCATTGCTCCATGTTTCGCTCCGTCGCCGCAGCAGCGCGTGATCTTTGCGCGCCAACTCAAGGCGCATGCGATTACACGCCGCGGTCGCATCGCCCGTGCTCGCCAGGCTAGACGAAGCGCGCTTCGTCCTCGATGCAGGGTAATCGACCAAGACATGCCGTAGCATCTCTCTCGATCCAAGTCCAACCCAGTGGCAGTCGACACCGATGCATCCCGTCGCAACTTTATTGCACCGCCCTTTTCGGATCCAACGAGCAACGCAAAGCAGCATAGGCTTCCGCTGCGGACCAGCAGCTCGCCATAGATGCCTCGAGATGGCTCTGGCATGCGTGCTCGACATGCTCTCTGTCTTGCACGAGCCGCCGATCGCAGCGTTCAACCGATCGCGCGAACCAAGACGCCAAGCGGAAGCAGCCCTATCCCTTGTAGCTCTCGGACAATATCTCTCATCTAGAGCTCGTTTTGGACCTTATGAACGCGTCCAACAATAGCAGGATACATGCGTACCTCTGCATGATCCACACACATGTTGACTAGGATCTGGACTAGGATGGTCTGCCGTGTGCCCCAACGACTCTCATGCAACACGCCAGAGCGACAGGGTACCTACCCACGCTCGGAACTGTGCGCATTGTTTATAACCAAGCTTTTATTACCATTTGACGCCTTTTCACGCAAAAAAACATCGAGTTTTCATTTATTTCGCATTCTGCAGGGGTCCGCACCGCCGCCGGGTTGGAGTCGCCTTGGCGCGACGCCAGCGTTGGGAGACCGCAGCATTAGGCCCACGTCATCCTTACTAGGCGGCTGTCGCTCGCTTGCGTTGGTTTAGGAATAAAGTAGCGCTCTACAGTACTAGTGTACTAGAGTAGGAAGAAGCATCGTCCATCGCATGTCCAAAGAGCCTCGTGGAGCTCCCCAAATTTCCTCACAACACCTTTCCCTTTGTGGTGCAACCTGTCGTGTGAGATGGATTAAGCAAACGAGCAACGACATCATACTCGCGCAGATGCAATCGATGCGACAATGAGGGCGCGGGATCGGTTGCTGGAAATGTCAACGGCGCCAACCGCTTCAAAGAGCCGCGTCGCGTCGACGAGGTAGGCGCCGTATCCATCGTTGACGCCGAAGATGACGACGAGATTTTCGTCCTCGAGAAAGCCAATGATATTGGAAGAGTGGCCGCTCACGACCCCCAACGGAATGTTCCACGGCAGCCAGAGCGGCCCCATTGCATGTAGAAAATTGACGGCGACGCGGTGAGTCTCGTCGTTGGCGACGCGGTGAGTCTCGTCGTTGGCGAGGCGCCACGGAACGCGTCAACGCCGTCGCTGCCGTAGACGACCTGTGTCGAGGTCACGTGGCCGTGGCTGTGGCGGAGCAGCGCGTCGGCAAACTGAATTGAAGTTGCAGCGCCGCCCCGCGCGGGGGGCAGCTGCGAGGGGGACGCGAGTGGTAGCGATTTGAGAAGGTTGCGCTGCGTCGCGATGGAGCAGTAGCCTTCGCACGCTTGGTACTCGAGCCCGGCGCGACGGTAGAGCTGCCCGACAGGCGTCGCAAACACTCGGGCGAGGCGTGTCGGGTTCTTGTAGTACGGTGTCGATTTGAAAGGTTCGTACGAAGCTGTGCGAACGACAAGCCGTAGCACGTCGCGCTTGAAGAGACAAAGCAGGAGCAGGATGGGCAGGCACAGAAGCGCAATCAGTGGACCAAGGATAAGGCCAAAGACGAGACCGCCAACGGCGCGAAGAGCCCATGGCGACGTGTCGACGCGCGTTGGTGGCAAACCGACTTCGTTCATGCCACGCCCAAATCCAAATTGCAAACACTCTACACAAAAGAGTTATTGAGGTGGGTGGGTATCTGTCTACACAAAAGAGTGATGGCGGTGTCGTGCAACGAAAACGCGAGCTTCAAGAAGCCGAGTCAGAGTCTAATAAGTGCAGGACCAAGGCGAGGCTAAGTACTTATAGCGGACGCGGCTACATTTGTAGCATCGATGATGCGTCCACATGTCGTGGAGATATCCATGTTCCACGTGGCAGCCTGAAACGCCTGAAGAGACACATGGAAGGTTTCCGTTTCCCACAAGTGCAATCTCAAACTTCAAAGCTTCGATAGTGTACGAAGAGGCATGGAAACGACGGCGACGCCCGAGGCGAACGACGACGGCGACGTTGCCAAGTGCGTGAAGGTCAAGCACCCACAGGTCTTTTGGCGCCCGCCACCGAGCAACCAAGATGACGGCGACACCCCGCCACCTACGCCATCGCTCGACATGACGGCCAAGAAAGACGATATCGCTCCGTCGCTCGACGACCTACGCTTCACGGAAACCGAGGCTGCGTTGGATCAGTGGAAGCAGCGCGTCCAGAGCGACCCGCGACGGATCTTGGAGGCGCAGCTCGACCGGTGGCAGAGCAACAACGGCCCGGCAAAACCTGCCGCCAACGACAGTGACGGCGACGACGAGGATGATGATGCCGAAGAGATGTTTGTGGCCCGCCAGCGCCATTACCTCAAGCAGCGAAAATAACGCAGACTTGCTTCTGCATAAATACGTGGATCTACTACAACCTCTTATACAAGCTCGAATCGCGAGTCGGGCCGCGCCGGTTCGAGACCCTTCCCTTTGCCTTGCTGGCGCCGGGTGAGGTCCCAGTGCTTGTCGAGCTCGACGCGGATCTCGCGCCGCTTGCGCTCTTCGACGTCGCGCTTGCGCTGGGCGATGGCCTCGGACTCGCGTGCAAGCCGCTGGGCCTCGAGCACCCGCAGCCGTCGGAGGCGCTCGCGCTCGTCGAACCTTATCGCTTGGGCTTGGGGTACGGCGTCGTTGCGCAGCCGAGCAACCTCGATTTCAAGGCGAGCAATCTCGGCGCGTAAGCGCACGGTTGTCCGGCATAGCTCGACCTCGCGGGTGCCATCGACGCAGATCTCGTGCGCGGCCACGGCACGTGGCGTTTTTGCAGGTGATTGCACTGCACGGAGGCGCTTCCGCGCGACGTGGCGACCGACCACGTACTGGATGCGGCGCGCGCTTGCTTCCATGCGCTCGAGGAACTGGAGGTGCTGGTAAATGCTTGCAAGTCGCTTTACGCGTTGTCGCCGGGTCTTGCGTCGTGCCCACCGCTGCAGCGTCATGGCCGCCGCATCGCGAATAAAGTGCCAGTAGGTTCGCCACTGGGCTTGGATACAGCGTGCGGCCCTCGCTGCCTGCCTCATGCGTGCGCGACATCGCGCGTCCTGGCGCTCGGCCACCACGCGCTGCCACGTGTGCCACACCCGTCGGAGACACAAATCGACAATCGCCCGGCGCCACCACCGCTGCAAGCGGCGTGTGGCCCGAAAGCGGCGCTGCTTGCGTCGCTGGACAAAGTCGCGCCACGCGAGCTGCAAGAGACAGGCGGCGTTGTCGCGGAGCCGACGCCAGAGCATGCCGTGGTACACGCGGCGCCACGCGGCCTGGATGACTTCCGCGCTCATGTGCTGGAGGCGTCGCATCGCGCGGTCCATCTCGCGCTCGCGGCGCTTCTCGTCGAGCTCTCGCTTCTCATCGAGCGCGCGCCGCAGCATGTCGCTCTTCCACGCCTCGAGGCGCGCCCGTTCTTGAAGCCGCTCCTGGCGCCGCTGGGTGCAGGCGAGGACACGCCGCCGTCTCTCGAGGGACCCGTCGGCGTAGAAGCGCGCAGCGATTGCCCGCGAGAACGTGTGGCGCAGCCCGTGCTGTTCGCGGCGCTGCAGGCGCACGAGCGTCGCCTCCATGCTCGCCCGTTTCAAAAAACACCAACTTCGCTATTTCGATATTGCCAGGCATGCGGCGGTCGCTGCCGCGACGACTCCTCTCGACCGACGTCGGGGTCGCGCCACCACTACCACAAGAACAATCGCACGTCGAGCAAGAGACCGCATTCGTATTGCCACCGCGCAAGCCCAAGCAGCAGCCGACCAAACCGTCGGCGGTCCGCTACCAAGTGCTGCGCGCCGACGCGACGTTGGCCGCTACAGGCCACGTGTACGCGGAAGGGTGCCTGCCCGGTGTCTTCTTTTACAAGTACCTCGCGTCGATCGCCGAGCCGAGCAGCCACGGCGACGACGCGCCTGCGTTGCCGCCACCGTCCCATTTGCAGCTGCGGTGCTGGATACCCGACACCATCATCTTTGGCGGCGCCTTCCCGCCGCTATGGCTCTACAGCGACAAGAGTGGCGTGATCCGCAAGGTAGACGCCTCTTTTACTATGTATGTAGTGTATCTACATGCAGGGCTAGAGCATTGGATTTGTCGACACGCAGGTCATGGACAAGCTCGGGAATCGGCGGTTCGAGAACGACCCGGTCGTGCTCTTCAAGGAGCCCGTCGTGATGAAAGCCGGCTTGGGACACGTCGTCTCGGGCAACCACGTCAAGCTCCTCTCGACGATCGAGCTCCGGTCGGCGCTGACGAAAGCGGTCGGGTCGCCCGTGACGTTTGCGCTGCAAAAGTACGTCAAGCCCCGCGGCCCCAAAGCCTTTTTGGTCCGCGCCATCTACAAGGCGGGCAAGGCGCCGACGGGCTGGATGATCAACAACAAGGCGCCGTTCCAGACACAGGATGGCAACGCAGCGCCCGACGTCCGGCGCTTCTGTGCGTCGACCGGTGTGTACGACGCGTGCTCGTTTGTCAAGCTCTCGGAGCGCGCGTGCACCGACGTCTACGACATCAACCTGCGGGTACAATGGAGTCTCCATGTCTCCATTCATATATATATATACAAGGATATGAGAGACCACGTAGATTGTCAAGTACCTCGAGCAAGCGCTCCGGGTCGCCCTCGAGCTCTTTGCTGCGGATTTCATCAAGGACGATTTCGGTCAATGGTGGCTCATCCAAGTAGTCTCCTCGGCGATAAACGTATCAACGTATCAAGTACTCTCGTGGGTAGGTCAAGGCGTTTCAGCTCAAGCACGTGCGCGTCGGGCGGCCCCACGCGTTTGCGCCCAAGCTCATGGCCGCCTACGAGCGGTCGCTCGTCGCCGACGACGTCCACGACGACGACGACGCGTCCCACATCGACACCAAGGCCGCGCTCGAGGCCGAGAACGCCAAAGTCCACAAGATGTTTCCGTGCAAATTCTGCCAAGTGCCGCACTGTCCGTCCGAGCTCGCGTACAAGATGACAATGAAAATGATGCACGAGACGATCGCGCGTCTGAGTCTCCGCGCGGGCAGCGACCAGCTGCATTTGTACCTCGCGGAGCCAAAGTACGACCTCGATGCGGGCCTTTTCTACCAAACCTGGAACGTCTGCAACCTCTGTTATGCGCTCTACGAACGCGACCAGCTCCTCCTCCAAGTCGAAGCGAAGTTTTCCATCATGCTCGGGTGCCCGACCAAGCACATGGCGGGCGGCGGCGTCACGTACATCACCGAGCACGACGTGTGCAAGTCGCAGCCGCTTTTGACTGACTTGCCGACGGAGCTCACGCTGTGCCGGCTCATGTTTTTTTTCACCGCGCTCTATGACATCCCAAAGGAGCTGTACGAATCGGAGCGTGCGTCGGACCCCAAGCCGAAGCGGTCGCGGCTGTACCTGCGCTTCTCGGTGCTCGGCTACGACAACTTCATTCCGCTGGACGCGCAAGCGATGCGCGTGTCGCCGGCCAAAGGCGACGCCTCGTCGACCGCGCAGAGCTACTGGCTACCGCTCAACATCATGCGGTGCTTTCACTGCTTTGCGCCCAAGACGCCGCTCCAGTCCAAAGTTCGCGACACCTCGGGGCTCGGTATCTACCTCGCGGACGAGTCGGCCGTCACGATCGAGCTCATACGAACGTCTGACACCGCGCATGTCCACAACGAGAAGCGCGAGCGCATCGTGCAGTGGAGCGGCAACAAATGGGCAGCGCCACACACCGTGGGTCGTCGCAAGCCCGCGCTCACGAGTCCGCCCAACAAGTACAACGTGGTCCTGGGCTCGACCAGTGTCCAGATGTTCCAGTTTCGGTCGTCGTATGTGACCAAGACAGACGTCTACGCGAGTCTCTCGATGGGCGACCTCTTCAATCTCAAGGGCAATGTCGGCTTTGAGCGGCTTCGCGTGATCCAAACGCGGCACGTTCTCGCGCAGTACAAGCTGCGGCAGTACTGCGGCGTGTACGTTCCCGATACGAGCTTTTGCACCAACGACAAGCTCGCATCCGAGTGGATGGACTCGGTCGTCGACGCGTTCGATACCTCGCAACAAGACGTTGTCGTGCCCAAGGCCGGCATGGACCTCTTTTTAAAGACCTTGCATGGCTCGTCGGCGTCCTTGGCGTCGAGCCAAGCGGACAGCGAGCTCGAAGACCTTGTGGAAGCGTCGAGCCGTCAGCCGCCGCCAACCGCACCCGCGCAAGCGTACCAGACGCTGCAGCATCTAGTTCAAGGCGTTGCCGATGCCTCGTTGGATGAGGACGATGACACGTCGGACAGTGACGAAGACGACGAGGATGACGACGAGGATGACGCCGTGCCACGAGAGCGGACGCTGAGTGCGTCGAGCTCATCCTCAGGGCTCTCGACTTGGTGCATCACCATCATGCTCCACCGCATCCACAACTGGGATCCGTCCCCCGGTCGACGAGGGTGGGAGGCGCAGTACACCTTCCTCGGCCAGGTACACGACGACGACCTCGAGTCATGCGATGGTATGACGGGTCATTTTAGGTGCGTCGAGCAGCGCAGAAGCTGGACGAAGACGACATTGCGCTCCACGGTCACGGCGACGACATCGTCTTTGATTCGACGCACAAGAACTACGTCCAAGGCGGGCTCGCGGCCATCCAGCTCTTGTACGAAGCCGACGACGGCCTCTGCCGCGTCGCGCTCGTCCACCCGGACGATGACGAGCGTCCGTTCGTCGACGTCGAGCTCTCGGGCTTGAAAGAGTGTCGGACCATCGACGGAACCTTTACAATTCAAACGTCTGCCGGTCGCATGGACCACGTACGCGTTCGATATGATGGCGTCTCGTCACGTCTCTGGTGACTACTAGGCGACCAAGTCGGCGCAGTACCCTCCCTATTTATCCGTGTCCGTCTACGTTCTGCGCGTTGGCAGCGACGCCAAGAGCGAACGCGGCTTTGTCGCCAGTGGATCGACGCCCGAAGGCCTCGTGCTCCTTCGGCGTCTGCCTTAAGTTAATACGGACGTTGAGTGCTGTGTTTACTGCTTTAGCGCCGCGCTGGGAAGGATCGGCGACTGCTTGGGCGCCTCTGGCAGCTGCGAAAGCATTGCTTCGAGGCTCTGTGTCGGCGCATCAGCGAGCTGCGTGTGCAGATCGAGGCCAATCTCCGCCAAGACTTGGTCGACGACAAGGTCTTCTTCGACCTCGTCATCGTCAAACTAGCGTCGATCCATGAGCATGCAAGAAGCATCATCTAAAATGGACGTACGGCGTCGATGAGTGTGTCCTCCATCATCTCTTGGCCCATGCTCATGAGTTCGCTTTGCTTCTCAAACTCCATGAGGGTCTTCTGGATGCGACTCATGTCCATCTGCTTGTTGGCAGCCACCATCGTCTGCATAGATGCATCAGTATCCTCCTTCGAAAGGGTGTATACCTTGGTCGTCTTCTCCATGGTGGCCACCATGGTCTGCTGCGCCGCCATGGCCTGGACATCAATGTATCGTATGAGACGTCGCGCAGGGCATATCGTCTGCGTACCGAGGCCTGCATGCCGATGCCACCGAGGCTCACCTTCATGACCATGAGCTTCTCCTTCTGCGCCCGAACCTGCACGAGCTGCTTGGCGAGGATCTTGGTGCCTGCTTGGTTGCCGTCCTTCGCCGCCTTCTTGATGTCCAGGATGAGCTGCTTCTCCTGCCGTTCCAGCACCATCTTCTCTCTCTCCAAGTCGCGCTGGCCATGCGCGATCTCGCGCTTCGCCTCCCGCGCCTGCTCCCGCGCCGTCTTCGGCGGCGCCTTCCCAAAGCCAAACATGCTGACTTTCCGCGACTGGCGGCGACGAGTGCACGTCATTACAGAATGCAGGTCGTTGGTTTTCCCGCATTTTGCATAATTCACGGACTATTGCAACGTATTGTCCGTTAATTCTGCACGAAGGACTCGCGAGCGCGCGCAAGCCCAGCAAACGAGTGGTGTACCCCGCTGGAGGAAGCACTACGTCTTCTTTTAAGCGTGGAGGGCTCGTCGTCGTCGCCTTGATGTCACTAGTAGTTGTTGCATCTTGCATGTAAGGCGACGGGACAGGCTTTGGATTTTGCAGCTACAATTGTAGCTAGCTACTCTATGAAGCGCGCTGCCTGCCATGTCTTGACGCGCCACGACGTCGTACCAGCCAACGTAGTAGCCGCTGTGCTATTGCGTGCATCAACACCCAACACCATCGCATACAAACGCTCTATAGCTCTATAGTTTAGACGCGGGCGGCTACGTGCGGCTGCTCATGTACTCGTACATGCTCCACGTGAGCGCGGTGGAGAACGTGCGCTTGAAGACACGCGGGACGACGCCGCGAAGGAAGCCTCTCGGGCCTTCTTCTACGTAGATGCGGCGCAAGGTCGCGCGGACCGTGATGGCCTGTGCGTCTAGTTGCATGCGCGTCTTGACCACGTCGGCCGGGTGCACGATGATGGTCGAGACAACGCCCGCGACGATGCCACACGCAAAGTTGGCGGCTACCCGGTGTTCGTCGGCGCAGACAACGCTGGCCTTGAGGCGCGAGTAGAGCGTGACGTACAAGCCAGAGAACGGCACGTCGCGCAGCAGGGTTGGGATGATGCCGCGGTAGAAGCCGCGGATGCCATGCTCGGCAGCCATGCGGCGCATCTCGGCAAGGATCGCGCCCTTGTCGTGCGACGGCGCAGCCCACTCCATGCGCGCCTTGACGACCGTGAGCGGCGACATAACAAAGCCTGCGAACGACCGCGCAAAGGCGCCTGCGCAAAAGGAGCCGAGTACGTTAAGGTTTTGAGCATCTAGCTGATGCAAGGTGGAGAAGTAGAGCCCGGCGCCACCGCAGACACGCAGCAGCGTCGGCGTCGTGCCGCGCCAGAGCCCGGTCACGCCCGACTCGGACGCGAGCCGGCGCACGCTTTCCCGCACCGTGAGGTTCGGGCGGCTCGCAAAGCTGCCTTGCTGGTGCGTGCGGATGACGTCGAAGGGCTGGAAGAGGATGGCGGCGAGGCCGCCGGCCATCGCGCCGCGGCTAAAGTGCTTCCACTTGTCCTTCTCGGCCATGTGCAATGTGGTTCTGGTGCGCTTCACCACGCTTCCCGGCGCTTCTATCCGGCACAAGTATCCGGAGAAATACCTCTCCGATGCATGTAGGGACTTGATGAGCGAGAAAGCGTTGTTGTGAAGGAATTACCCGTCATCATTCCGTCAACCGCTGTTGTCGAGGTAATCACTCGAGAAGCAACTTGACGCGACCCTTCTTCGTACCGGTTTGCGCAGGCTTGGTCATTCGGAGCCACCAAGTCTCTTGTTTATATAGCAGGTATTGCCTCGAGCGAGATGTCGCGTTGCTGCACGGCTCCTACGCCCGCTGAACAAAGCTTTCGTGGTCAAAAATTGCCGGTCGCGGCAGCTGCGTTGACGACGAAGGCAGCACCCCTCGTATACAAGGGGCGGTACAGTGGCAGCGACCGGGCGCCGGTCGCATAGCACTGCAGCAGCTGGGATGCAGACGGTGACGCTCTGCATCCCCCAAATGGCTTGGCGACGCCAACGACGACATCGCGGATCGGAAGAAGGACACTACATTGTAGCGATCGGCATCATAGCGATGCAGTATACTACGCTGTAGGTGTACACAAAGAGAGGTGCTGCAGATCGCAACGATCTCGACGCTTTCGTGTGCGCCACGTTGGTTGAAGTGACGTGACCATCGATCGAGCGTTGTTTCCAGGGACTTTCCCAACGGTTCAAAGTCGTGGAGGGGACTTTCTGCCAGTTGCGAAAAGGGCAAATTGATCCATGGGTGTCCTTTCCAAGCAAGCGCTCGAGGGCATCGCTGCGTACAAGTACAAGCCGTACGCCCTCCGCCGTCGTATCCGTCTTCGTATCCTCTGACGCGTGCATGCTAGCGGCCAGTACACGTGGCTGGACCTCCAGCTCAACCACTACTGGAACTTTATGGTTGAGCTCCTTCCGCTGTGGATGGCGCCCAACCTCGTGACGCTTACGGGCACGATCATCATGGCGGTCACGACCGGCTCGCTCCTTGCGATCTGCCCGCAGTTCATTGGCGCCGCGCCCGCGTGGGCTTACATCGTCTGCGGTCTCGGCCTCTTTGTCTACCAGACGCTCGACGCCATTGACGGCAAGCAGGCGCGTCGCACGGGCTCGTCGAGCCCGCTCGGCCAGCTCTTTGACCACGGTGGGCATTCGTAAAGACAACGAAGAGCTCACATTGCACATTGGTAGGCTGCGATGCACTGAGCACGCTCATCAACATGCTGAGCGCGGTCGCGGCGCTCGAGCTCGGCCCGTCGTACGCGGCGTATGCGACGATCTGCACGGTCTCGGTCGCCTTTTACCTCGCGCAATGGTAGAGCGAATCATCTTGATGGCCGACCGACTCTGACCGAGAGTATCTCCACGTAGGGAAGAGTACCACACTGGCACGATGAGCTGCGGCAATGGCTACTTTGGCGTGACCGAAGGCCAACTGGTGCTTGTTTTTGTGCACTTGATGACCGCGGCAGTCGGTGCGGCAGCGTGTCCCTTTCCTTTCGATGCTGACGACCCTGCATTCTAGGCGGAGACTTTTGGCGCCTCGTCGTGCCCAACACGCCGTATACGTTGGCGGAGGTCCTCGTCGTCTCGCTGGTCTTGAGTAACATTATTCTTGCCTACACTAAGTACTCTTGCGACTGCGAGGACCCTTTGTCTGATGCAATGGATAGCATCACCAACGTCTTCAACGCGCCGGCCAACCATCTTCAAGGCGAAGAGCTCGGCAACAAGCAGGTACGAGATCGCCATCTTATGAGGGGCAGAATAGTACCCATGTGTCGCATGCAGGTGTCCAAGGCCGTGGCGTTGGCGCAGCTCTTCCCGCCGTTCGCAGTCACGCTCGCGGGCTACCTCTTGATTGCGGCCTACCGCCCGCAGTACGATGCCTGCCCTCTCCTCTTCCTCGTGCCGATTGGCCTCAGCTTTGTCATGTTTTCGGTACGTGATGCCAGGAGTGACCACGTCGGCTGAGCTGGTGTGGCTAGTCGCGCATGATTGTCAGCCACATGTGCAAGGTGCCGTTCACGCCGCAGTTTCGCATCCTCTTCCCGCTCCTTGCTCTCTTGGCGGCGACGTACTCGCAGTAGGCCAAGGTGCTTGCTGCCATGGCATCTCATGACATGGCACTAGGGTCGAGGCCTTTGCGGCCGTGCCGCCGCTTGTGGCGCTGACGGGCTACTGCGGCATCGTGCTCTTCATCTACTTTCACTACATGCTCTCGGTCGTCTTTGAGATCTGTGCCCATCTCCAGATCCCGCTGCTCACGCTGCCGGCCAAGAAGGCGACCAAGGCCGAGTAGACAGCAGTCCGAATACCTGCGCGCCGATCGCAGCTGGGTTGTAAAATTGCCACAAACAAGTAGACATGGCATCCATGCGTGGCGTTGATTGGCTACAATTTTTGCGTTCGTGGGCAGTGACATACGGTTTGAGGGAATGCGTGTGCGAAAAAAAGCCAGCCATTCGCATACTTTGTCCTATATATTCTTTGACGCACGTTGGCAGCACGCCAGCGCCATTGGCCATGTTCCACCACGACGGGTACGGCGATACGCGGCCGTCGGACGCGCCGCGCCGGTCGGCCTACGACTTTGAGCCGTCGCAGCGGCCGAGCGTCTTCACGGGCGTCGCCAAGGTGCTCGTGATGCTCGTGAACCTCGTCTTCATCATGCTCGCGGGCATGCTCATCTACTTTACGCTCTGGGTCAAGAACATTGGCGTCACCAAGATGTTCCAGGCCAACTACGCCTGGGTGCAGAACACGACGTTCACCGTGCTCCTTGTCTTTGGCGTCGTCGTACTCATCGTGTCGCTGGTTGGCTGCCTCGGCGCCTGGGCGCGCAACCGGTATAAGAACGCTGCCACTCCGCGATATACATGCTGAAACGACGATGCTGGATAGGCACATGCTGCTCGTGTACACAGCGGGCCTTGTCATCAACTTTTCCTCTTTGGCGCCATCACGGTCGGCGGCTTTTACTCGCTGAGCACGGCCAACACGTGGGCCGACGCGCCGCATACGCTCCAGGCAAAGGAAGATATCGTCGCCAAGGAGTTCAACAAGATGTACTGCGACGGCCAAGTCGCCTACTACTGCTCCATGGGCAGCGTATCCGCGTCGCTCGACCTCTTTCTCCAAGATGCGTCCTTGGTTGCGCTTGTGCGCCCGCTCTTTAGCCAGCTCCAGGGCTGGAACCAAGTGTGCAACTCGACGCAAATGAAGATCACCAACGTGGCGCTCGAGACAAAGCTCAATCAAACCTGCGCGCTCTGCGCCAAGTTTGACTACGCCGACTACGCCGACTTTCTCACGTGGTCCCAGACCAACTGCTCGCTCAACGCCGTCTCGACAGCCTACTGCGTCACGTACCTCCAAAACACGACCAACCTCTCCGAGTATGTAGCCGATACTTGGATGCAGCGTTCGTTGCTGATACAGTGTCTAGGGCCTACTTTGAAGGCGCCCCATACGGCGAGTGCCGAGGCAGCTTCCTCAACCTCTGGAAGTCGGTGAGCCGTGTCTTGGCCTACGGCGGTCTCATCGTTGCCATTGTCTCGTCCGTGTCTTGATGCATTGATGATGACCGTTCTCACATGGCGACGTAGGCTCTCGATCTTGATCACGTCACTTGCGTTGCGACGGACCGTGCTCGAGACCTCCAAGAACAGCATCATCCAGTGAGCTCCATGAAGTGTCTTTGACTACAGCTAACACTTGCTTTACCGCGCGATTGCATGTCAGAGAGTACTCGAGAAAAAGGCGGTGGGCGAGCCGAGAAGAGCCACTGCACCTCGTACGCTCTGTTGTCGGATCGTATTGTGGTCGGTGGAGTGACATGCCCACCAAGACTGAGGGTCCTGTTTGAGTATCGACACTCGCAGCAACGGCGGTCCTCGTAGTCGGCGCCATGCAGAATATGTTACCAGCACCGAGGCCAGTATGGGTTTGCATTGTCGGGAACACAAAAGTGCTGGAAGAAGGATGGAGATTGATTCTGCATATATCCTCCTAAGTGGGCCACGAAGCGACTGGCTTTGGTAGCCAAGAGCCTTCTTTTTGAGCCCCGAGGGTTCATGCGAATGGGCAGCATGTTACCATTGCAGAGATGACACCGTCGATGCAAATATCATATGTAACGGGATATATATTTTAGAAGGTTTACACAATTATCATCTGTGGGAGGTATCGGACGTCAGAGGTGGTCAGCTTTTGGATCAGTTTTTGCGCTTGTTCCCAACGTCGGTGAGATCATGGCGTCGTGGCTCAGCACCTCGCTCCAGCGCGCGGGCGAGCTCCTCGAGTCCGTCGACCAGAAGGCCGCTGTGAAGCTCAAGCCGATCGCTGGTACGTCGTCCATGGGCCTTGCCGTATGCGGCTCAAACAATCGACGCATCTAGAGGATCGGCTACGCAAATCTCGCCACGACGATGCGGGTACGCATGATTGTCGTCATGGCCGATGCTTGAAGGTGCACCAATAGGCGCGGACGAGACGCGCATGGAGGAGGCCGATGCGCGGGTAGAACTACGCTCTCCTACATCGTCAAAGTGCTCCATGGCGCAACCTAGAGTGAGAGTGGCTTTGGCCCACGGTCCTTGTCGCATGCGAGCTTGGCGCCGCCAGGAAGCGCGTTGAGCGAGGTCCCCGAGTCGGACTCGTACTCGGAGTGGAGCGAAGTTGAGAACGAGAGCAACAGCGGTCTTATCATGGAAGACATGCCATTGTCGTCGTCGTCGTCGCGGTCGCTGGCGCCGCTGCAGTCGCCACCAAGCCGCGACCTTCCGCTCTCCAAGAACGAAACCACACGGTGCGCCGTCGGATCGACGCCAAAAAGAGGCGACCACCAAACTAGGCTGCGCAAAGAAAATGCAAAGCTCAAAGCCGACTTGCTCGCGGTCGAGCGGCAGCTGGCGACGAGTCAGGAGAGGTACCGCGTCTGCGAAGACGAACTCGAAGCGCTCGATAACGAGTGCACCGCCAAGATCACGTCTCTCGAAACCGAGGTCGTTGACCTTGCAGTCGCAACATGGCTCATCGTAGCGCGTGCTAGATTGCAGCGCTCAAGCAAGAAAAGGCCAGTGACGAAGACGGGTTCACGACTGCACTGACCATGAAAGACAACCATATTCAAGCCATTCAAGCCGATCTCGACCGAGCCAAGACGGCGCACGCGGCGTACCTCCCCTCTTCCGTCTCCCATGAACTCATGTAGTGCATGCGGTGGTAGACAGCAAGCCGATCTCGACGCAATGCGTCAATCCCTCGCGGAGATCCGGAACAACAAGGACCAGGCGTGGACCCAAGCGGCCAGGTACTGCATCCATCTTTCTATGTTTCAACTTGATATACACATGGACCCGTTCGATTAGCGGCGAGGCCCGCGTCCACGAACAGCTGCTCTCGGCGCAGGTCGAGCTCAAGGAAGCGCAAACCCTTATCGTGTCCCTCAAGAAGGACCACGCCGATGCCAAGCAGTCCATGTACGCGCGGCAGTGCCAGCTCGAAGCCACGAACGCGCAGCTGACGCAAGACGTCGCATCGCTCGAGCGTCAACTTGATGACAAGATGAGCTTTGTACGCTGACACCTCTTCTCTGTCGCTCAAGGATATATGGTTGTATGCGTAGGTGCCCCAGCACCCGCAGCTGTGCACGCGGAGTTACAGCAGACGGCACAAGCGCTGGCTGCGGCCAAGAAGGCGCTTTACGAAGAAACCCGAAAGGCGCAGTTGCACGCGCAGGAAGTGGCAACCTTTCACCGCGAGCTCACGCTGCTGCAAGGCACGCTGCTCGAGAAGGACCGGCAGCACGCCGAGGCGCTCCAGACAGCTCTAAAGCAAGCGACAAAACCGTCGCCCGTCGTCGCGATCGAGCCCCGACGCTCGTCTTCCATCGCCGACGACGACGCGGCACACAAGAGCCAGCTGCAAGCCATGACGCACCGCCTGTTGGAGAAGCAGGAACAGCTCGACGGGCTTCGGGCACGCTACGCGTCGCTCGAGGTGCGCTTCAACGAGCTGCGGGAGCAAAAAGGGGTACGGTGCCATCGAGAACGAGGAACTGGCGCCTCAGTCGAGCGTAGGCGTCGCGGGACCTCGAAGCAGGTCGCCAGCGCGGCTTGCCCCTGTACCAGAACACACATCGGCCACAGCACAATCGTGTCTTGAATGCTGGTACCGTGCGGTCGATATGATGTGACTAGAGCTTTGGATAGTCGGCGCCGTGGACCGGCAGTTGTTTATCATCGGACGCTTCCTTCGAGCGTACCCCGCCGCCCGCGTTGCGTGCGTGTGCTACTTGGTGTTGCTGCACCTCTGGGCCTTTGTGATTTTGAGCTTCCACACGAGTCATTTGAGCGACGAGATGATGCATCAAAAGGCGACGCCGTCCGAGTAGTGGACGACGACGTGGAAGACCTACTAATCCTACCAATGCGCCTGCTACTGTATTGCTTCTCACTGCTGCGGGAATTGCGTCGGGGCAGTGTAGCATACTAAATACATCCCCAGAGACGGAGGCAAGGCAATGGCGCCTTGCATGTCAACCTCTCGGTCGTCCCGCTGACCGGCTCTTCTTTTAGACACGAACGCAGGAGCTCAAGTAGCCTCGCAAACGCCCCAGCCATTGGTGTTCACCTCAATACGGTGCCGCTTTAACAAATAACATCGTTCTCTCTTGTCCATGATGTTAGTTAGTCGTTGTTAGTCGGAATTGTGTTGCATGTTTAGTTAGTTGGTCGACGCAGGTGTCACGTCGACGCAACGCGCCAGGGCGCGAATGTCGCGCTTGTTGTCCTGCCTCAAAACGCCTACCGGAAATCCAAATTACTTTCTAAAAAGGACTTTATAGATTCCGTTAGGACCTCATGTCCGAATTCAAAGCCCCGTGCACCAGCCGTTTCAGCCTTTATATAGGTATCTGTATGCTCTCCGGCTTTACCCCGGGCTTACGAAACGGATTGCAGGTCGAAATCCGAACGATTATTTTGGCTTTTCGCAACATGGCCGCGCTGTACAACCTCGCCGACAAGTCGGCGACCGGCGAGTCGCCGGAGCTCGCGTGGCTGCGCCGCTGCCTGCCCATCTTCGTGCAGCCCAAGGTCGACCTCGAGAACGAGAACCATCTGATCAAGATTTTGTATGGGTTCGAGCGCAATGGCACGACGGGCCAGCTCCACTGCAAGCTCTGTATCATCTTTGCGGGCGAGTCGTCGTACAACCGCGGCGACGAGCGCAAGCACAATGGCTTCGCCACGCTCTTGTACAGGTCCTTCAACCGCCACGCGTACGAGCGCACGGCCGACATCAACTACCTGGAGTTCCGAGGCGTCGACTTGACGCCGCAGTCGGTCCGGCCTTGGAACAGTATTTATACCGGCGACCACTCGGGCGTACGATGCGTTCTCGCGATGTAAACGTTAGGGTAGCTCACGCCCACCACTCGTTTGCGTAGAACCAACGGTGGGCTCAAGGCGACAAGCGCAACATTTGCAACTGGTTCTCGCTCATGTATCATTACCAAATGGACGTCGTCTTTGAGGAATGGCTCTGCGAAGGCGCGCGTCCGCGCATCTACCTCAACACATGCAACCACATGGTGGGCGAGGCTGACAACAACCCGAGTCTCGAGAAGCACGACTGGGCCAACTACCCGTTCCAGGCAGGTAACGCCAACGACGCGCTCGCCTGGGTCAAGAACAACGTCCCGACCAAGTTCAACTTGTACTCGTTCTGCTGCTGCTGTTGTGCGCGCAACGGAGGTGGCGTCTGCGACCGCCACGTCATTTCCAAGCCCCCGGCCACGAAAAGCAGCCGCAGGCACGCGAGATTGACCACTACGTCCTCTATGGCGGCGCGACGCCCGTGGACCTTCCGGCGCCTAAGGCGGTCAAGAAGCTCAAGGAGAAGCGCGGGTATTAACAACGGTATTAATACAGTCGCGCTTCGTGTGTATATTCATCGTCCGCTTCCATCGTCGGCTGCAGCGAGGTACTACGCGCGGCTCGCTGCGTCGAAAGATCCTGTCGAGGCCATTGGTAAAAAAAGTCGAATATAATGAAATGCAGCCAATGGGCGCGGAGTTTCCAATTTCGAAATGCGTGGTTTCGACCAATGGCCGTTCCGTAGGAAGCTCGCGATCTTTGCACTTTCGAAATCGTCGGTTCGCTGGCAGGAGCGATGGAGTTCCTTCGGCAACTCAGCTCGTACATTGGTGGCGGGCCCACCGAGGTCGAAGAGACGGAAGAGCAGCGCTTCCAGCGCGAGCGCCGCCAGGCCAAGCTGCGCATGCTCAGCCGCAGCCAGCGCGGTGTGATCCTCGATGACCTCAAGGCGTCGGTGACCGAAGTCTTCCAGCTTCTCGCCGAGAGCCAAAAGCAGGTCAACCAAGCAGCGATCGCGTCGTCGACGATGGAGAGTGTTGACGACAACAACAAGAAGGTGCTCATCCTCAACGATGACATCCCTGCCGTCTCGAAGCTCTGCGCGAACCTCGACCGGTGCTTCTCCCATGGCCTCCGCCGGGTCGAGAACGACGAGTCGCAGAGCGTCAAGTTTTTTGGTCTGCTGAAATGGACGTGTACGCGACTCGGTGCGATCCATCAGCAGCGCATGGCCCATGGCGTCGACGGGGCTGGCAGCGCCAACCTCTCCAAGCAAGCCGTGCAGCTTGCGACGTCGTCGCTCGAGCCCGAGCTGCCGCGCAATGTCCGCGGTTTCCTCGCATGCGTGCGCACGGCCAACAATCTCTCCAGCGTCCAGCAGGACGAAGGGAAGGCGCGCGCGTTCATTCGCCAAGCGCTCAACACGCACATCTTTCTCGAGTGCATGCGCGTGACGCTCAACGAGGCCAACGACGACCTCCTCATGTCGTACTTTACCGAGTTTGCGCTCTTCCGCCAAAAGGTAGCATTGCAGTATCAACATATCAAGTTGAGATCGCACGCATAACCCTTCTGCGTAGGAAGAAATTGCGACCTTTCTGTCGCTTCTCGACGGTCTCGATACGCTCTCGTTCGGCTTTATGGTCAACGACATGCGGCTCGACTTGTCGCCGGACATCCAGCCCTTCAACACGCCGCTGCCGAAGCCTGTGCCGCAGATCGCCGAGGCGCCGCCGGCCGAGCTCATCGACCCCGAGGACATGATCCAGGGCCGCGTCCGTCTGTCGGGCGAGGACTACGAGTGCAACCTTCTTGCGAGCAAGCTCATGTCGCATCGGCAGCTCAACGCCAAGTTCGACACGTCCAACAACGGCAACCCGCTCGCCGCGGTTCTCAAGCGGGCCAAGACGAGCCAAGCGCTGGACGATGCGACATCGGCGGTGCTGCGCTTCCTCGAGATTGGCCTGCCCGAGTACGACGTCTTTGGTGCGCCACTCCTCGAGGTGGTCTGCAACCCGTTCTTGTGCGGCTTGGCACGCTTCGACACGGCGCTCGGTCTCCCCGATGTCGTCGAGGCGTGTGTGTGCTACCTGCACCGCAAGCTCGCGACGCCCGGGCTCTTTCAAGTGCACTTGGCATCCGAGCACGTGCTGGACCTGCGTGACGCGATCGAAGAGCTCGGCGGCTTCCACAAGAGCATGGCGATTGATCCACACGAGGTCATTTCGGTGCTTCTCCAGTACCTCTGGGAGCTTCCGGAAGCACTGCTTACTGAAGACCGCCTCGACGCGTTCATTTCCCTTGGCAAGAACGTGAGCATGGACGAAGCGACGCAGGTCAAGAGCCTCCGGACGCTCGTCAACGACCTCCCGTGGTACGTCAAGCCGCTCCTCGAGCGCCTCTTGCATCTCTTTGCCCGCGCGTTTACGCCCGAATTTCAACACAAGAGCGGGCTCGAACTGCACACGTTGGCGCTGCTTCTGGCACCGATCTTGCTGCGCCCGACGCGCAGCTTTCGCTTCTCCGAGCTCGACGAACCAGCGTTCCGACGCTTTCCGCTCGCCGGCCACATCCCCATCAAGCACCGGTTCCCTACTAATGTACACAACAGGTCCTACACATGGCATGCCTGATATATGATGGCTGTAGCTCTACAGCGAGTACCCAAGCGAAGAGGCTGAGCGCATGGCGTCGGAAGTCCAGGCGCTGCGCAAGCTCAAGCAACAGGCCGAAGACGGCGCGCTCGTGCTCGAGCTCCTCATCACGCACCAAGATGACATTATGCGGGACATTCGCGACGAGATGGCGACGCATCGGTCGTCGCTCGAGGTCAAGGTCGGGCACATGGAGAAGGTTCGGTTGCGCCTCGCCGAGCGCATCGACGTTACCAAGCCATACCACCTGTCGCTGCTCCGGACGCTCTGGAGTGGACTCCTCCCGCTCGACGAGACCGCGCCCGATTACAACGCCAACCTTGCGCTCGAGAAGGCCGAGTCGGTGGACGTGACAGCGCTCTTGCATTCGTCGCGCTGGCTCGCAAGCGGGTTCCATACCAAGGACCCGCTCGGCGGCTTCCGCGGCGGCGGCTTGCTCTCGCTCGAGTGCCTCGCCTTCTTCGTTCACGAGTACAAGGAAAAGGCGCAGGTGCGACGACGACAACTTGTCTGATTTGCCAAGTGACTATATGGGTGGTGTGTAGAACATGATGACGCGCAACGCGCAGCCGGGTGGGAGTCGGTATCCCTTTCCCGTCGCCGCCATCAACGTCATGCGCATGCTCATCAAGCTCCTCATGCTGGACCAAGTGCCCGCGAGTAGCTCCAAGCTCATCCTGCATGCCGAGACGGGCGTCGACACGGTGTTGCAGATGCAAGTGGCCGAGCGCGTCTCGCGCACGCCGTTCTGGAAGGTCTTTGACGAAGAGCATGCGTTCGAGAAGCTCTTTTCCATGTCCTTCATGGTGCTCGACCTGCACTGGCTCCGATCGGGCGCCACGCAAATGGGCTTCAATCCCGTACGCCCGCCTTCGTTTTGAGATTGCACTTGTCGAAGTTGATGTATCCTTTGCTTGTAGGTGCTGGACACGACCCGCCGTCAAATGGGCTGGCTCCTCGAGCAAGCGCCGCGGTCCATCGATGAGATGTGGACGACGTGGATGCAGGTCCGCGAGCAGCAGGTCAAGAAGGTACCTGCGTCGACGGCGTCGTCCTCGGCAGGCAACCCATCCACGCAGACAGAGCACGACTCGAGCATGTACGACGAGACAGCGATGTTGGCTGAGATGGCGCTGGACGAAGAGGCGCTCGCAGACCAAATGATGCTCAACCTCAAGCAGAAGGACAAGGACCGCATGGCGAGCCAGGCCAAGTACCTCGAAGAGAAGCTGGCGGCGCTCGAGACAACGTCGTTCCCAGAGTACAGCGACGTGAACATCGCCAAGCTTACAGCCCTCGACATCAACGAGACGCTTGCATCGCTCTAGTGGTTTTTTGCACACAACTTTCAACTTGATATTTCTGTTTTTCGTTTGCTTTGATAGTTAATCGTACTGCTGCCGCAATTGCATCTCGGTCTCCGACTTCCAACCGCGAAAGTCGCTGCCAATGCCCGACTGACCTTTTAGCCGCTGCGCCTTGACGCGGTCTTTTCCAGAAGGCTTTGAAGAGTCGTCGGCCTTGCGCTTCGCGGCGGTCGCTGGCTGGCCGCGCGTCCGCTTCTTGGGCATGCTCCGCGTCGGCGACGAGAGCCCTGGAAACTCTTCAATGCTGTTGATTATGCGACCTTTCGGCGACGTTGGCTGGTTGAGCAATGGAGCTGCTGCATCATCATCGTTGTCGTCGTCTGCGTCGTCGTCGTTGCCAGCGACGAGCTTCTCCTCGACATCAAAGACGTTCGAGGTGGCGGCCACCGGCTTGTCCAGAAAGGTCGGGCGCTGTGTTGTCGCAAAGACGTCATCGACCGACGGCAACGCGATGCCAGATCGCTTTGACACAGCGCGCGGCGCCGTCGTCGGCGCGGCTTCGTCGTCGCTGCTGCTGCTGCTGTCGCTGTACTGGGCGCCGAGGAGGACCGACATGGGGCCGCAAGTGGAACTGGATGCCATTGGTGTAAAAAAGGATCCACCGCCGACTTATGTCCAATCAAAAAGAATGAGAATGGTGGTCCGGACGTGTACGTCGCGTGATTGGCAGATAATCAATTAACCGGACGCCATTTTGGCAAACCACAGACAAGGCCAGTGTTCGTTTTGCCAAGCCGAGCCCAAGCCAGAGGAAGAGCATGATCCCGCTAGGCCGTCGTGACAACGCTGGCCGTGGGCGCCTTGGTGGCGCTGGCGCTGGGCGCGGCCTGCCTCCGCCCATGACGGCGCTCGGTGCGCCCAAGGAAGATGACTTTGAGGAAGAGTACACGCTGCGCCTGATCCCGTCGATCAAGAAGTACAACGTCGGCCGCTTCAACGAGCCAACGCTGCCCAACTTTAGCAAGTGCCCGCAGCCCGTGGTCATGTACGAGGAGCCCGAGAAGGCGCCGGAAGAGGACGAAGAGAAGGACAAGGAGCCCGTGGGCTGGAACCCGGCGCTCCGGAAGCGTCGCCGTCGCCGCCGGAAGGACAACCGCATTAAAAACTGGATCATCGAAGACAACGAAAGCAAGACCAAGTTTACGGGCACGGTCGAGGGCGGTGTCACGTCGACGTACATGCTCATGGTCAAGACGCCGCACAAGAACGAGTTCCAGGTCGTGCCGGTCGAGCAGTGGTTCCGCTTCAAGAAGCCGCTCAACTACCGCACACTGACGCTCGAAGAAGCCGAAGAGTTCAACAACGAGAAGAAGCGCGCTGTTGAGCGCTGGCTCATGAACCACAACCTCGCTGGTGAGAAGAAGAACGATACGGAGGTCGTGCCCACGTCGAGCATCAAGACGGGCGCGCTCAAGTCGGCGGGGGCCGCGGCTGCCGCCAAGTCGGACGATATCTTTACCGTTGCCGAGACCAAAGGCGGACGCCGCCGACCGCGCAAGGCGGCGGCCGAAGGCGACCCCACCGGCGACGACGGCGGTGACTTTGACGAAGTGTTTGACGACGACGAGAGCGGCCACGAGATCGAGGGCGGTAACAAGGGCGTTGCCGCCGAGTCCGAGTCGAGCGACGACGAGATGGAAGACGGCAGTAAGGACAAGAAGGCCGCCGTGTCCCTCGACGAGCTCCTCAAGCGCACGCAGGAGCAGAGCAAGAAGGATGGCGCGGTCGAGAACGGCGACAAGGAGTCGGACGACGACGACGACAAGGAGTCGGGTGGCGCGCAGAAGTACGACTACGACGACTATGGCAGCCTCATCACCAACAAGCCCGCGGAAGGGACGGCCGATGCGGCGGCGGCGCCGACCGAAACCAAGCCGGCGGCCCCGGCCAAGCCTGCACCGGGGAAGCGTGCGCTGGACGACAAGGCCGACGAGTCGAGCAACAAGAAGTCCAAGACGTCGACGCAGCTCAAGCTCACGGAGGCGGGTGTCCAGGAAGAGCTCATTCGCTTTGGCGGGCGCATGAAGACCCGCGATTTGATCAAGCGCCTCAAGAAGTTTTTGATTACAAACGAAGACAAGGCGCTGCTGCGTGATATTCTGCGGACGATCTGCGACAAGGAGGAAGACCCGGTCGACGGTGTCTACATGGTGCTCAAGACGCAGTTCCGTTAGTGGTCTCGACGCTCGAAGTCTCTACTTGATTCTACATTCTTTCTCTTATCTACGGCAGCTGGAATGTATGTTGGTCTTTCGCTTGGTACCAAACCAGCTCACCATTCGCATTTAACCCCACGGCTTGGGCAGTCGCGAGCCATTGCCGGCAGAGCGACAAGTAGAGCCTCGACGACATCAGTTCTGTGTTTGTCGCGCTCGCTCGCGTCGTCTGCAACCAGTGGGCTGCGTCGCAACCACCCGTGCTTTGGCACATGGCCAAGAACGTTTGCCGCATCGATTCGCCGCGTCTTCCATTTCGTCCTGTCGAGCCCGATGGAATCGCGTCCTATTGCTCAATACGAGGATTTGACGGTACCCTAATCTCCCAAACGTATACATAGCTACATGTACAGACAATATTTTGGACCGATCGCGGTCAGAATACCATTGCAACGTCGTGACAACTTGAGCATTCACGAGACGACCGCATCAGGGGTGTCAATCAAAACACGGCCGCGCCGCCGCCAGCGAGCATACCACGAGACGAGACATCGGAGGCCGTAAGAGTGACGCAAGGGAACTCGGCCTGTTGCATGGGACGGGCTCCACATGGACGTCGAACGTAGCACGAATGCAAGCGCAGGCTCGTTGAAACAATTTGTTTCTTCCGCAAAGGAAGAAGACGACGACGTCTGCGAGTTCCGGTGGCGGCTGGCGCCAAATGCAAAGCACGCTGCGCAGCGTGGTGGACACCGGCCCGCGCGTGCGGCGTGACGCAATTGCAGCCCAATCTGGCGAGAGTGCGAGAAGAAATTAGCCCGCCACCGTCAAAGCTTGCTACATCCGTTGCCGACAGGCTGAAACCCGCAACCAGTTGATCCAAACAAGAATGGGTCGGCCACGTCGTCTCAGTGGCTGGTAAAATGTGTGTGGCAGACGACGATGGGGTACGAGGCGAGCACGACAATAATGTGCAGATCAACGCTTCCGGATTAGCCTACTGGTCGCGCTTGCGCTTCTTCATTTGGATGACCTTGGCGCACGCAATGAGTCCGTTCTCCCGTCCTTTCCATCGTAAAAAGTCCTCGGCGTCGTCGACGCCCGCAAGGAAGAGGTCCTTCTCGTACTCGGTGAGCTTGCGCGTAAACTCGGTCGTGTCTTCGTCGTGCGAGTTCATCGACTGGTCGAGGATCGCCTTGTAGCGCTCGCCGCCAAACGCGACGCGCAGAATCTCGTCAATCGCGCGGCCTTCGTCTTCGTCCTCGATGAGCGGTAGCACTTGCTTCCCGACCTCAAAGTAGTATGGGTTCATGTCCCGGAGGTTGGCAGCCGACGGCCCAGCCTTGACGACGTTGCGGAAGCGGCTGTTGAGGCACGTGGGCACGAGCGTCTAGGGTGCATGAGGCCACATCGAGTCGGTCGATGCTCGAGGGTACCTTGACCGTGTTATGGCGGGCGAGCGCCGACGCCATCCACAGCGGCAGCTCGAGCTTCGTGTCCATTGAGAGGTCCTTCCCGAGGCTCGATGGGTCGAGGAAGCCGCAGTCGGTCGCATCTGTCTGGAAGACGCATTGGATCCGCTCTTCCTCGGCGATGAGCTCGGCGACGCTGTAGTACCCCATTTTGCCCAAACCGTTCCAACAAATCCAATCAAGCCATGACGAGCGCTTTTTAAGAGCTCGAAACAATGCTCGATTCAAAATGCCATAGACGTCGACTCGACGTCCATGGCTCGACGTTGTCGAGTCACGGGTACAAAATAGCATAGTAATCGAGGCCCGTCGCGTCGATAGGACCAATTCAATCAATCGTGTGGATCGGAAGATTAAAAGGATTTTTTGTAGGCCCGATAAGTCCAGGAAAAATCGTGATGTCGCCGCTGGTGCAGGCTTAAGTTGCGTGGAATTAGCCATTGGATTGTGTTGCACGGATTGGTTGGTCTTGGCCAATCCAAACGAAGCTACTGACCGACCTGCGATCCTTTCCTCAAGGGCAGCGCTTGTAGATGCTTGGGACGTCGATGGTCTCCCTCGCATCCACGCGAACGTGCTTCGTTGCTCGGTGGCGTCAAACAAGTCATCCTCGTCGCGAGCCAGTCCCGCCTCTATCCACACGACCATCGTTCTACCTATCTGGAGTCCACAAGAGGGCTGCGTGCCCTTATTACGGGCCGGATCGTTTTGGGCCCTGGTCCGCTCTATCGTGTGGTCGTTTCCTCTCTACGTCTTCTTCCCTCTGACCAGTGTTTCAGTAGCCCAGCTGGTAGTTTGTCAGTACGTCTTTGCTCAGCCCTCACGACTGGTCCTACTTGTATAAATCAATATGCCCATGTGCCCAGCAGTGGACTCGTCTTCAGGCGGTGGCGAGAGCACCTTGTCTCGAGGCACGCCATGGAGCCATAACGAAGTCATGAAGCCACTACAAAAGATTTAAAGGTTACGGAAATATCGTTACTTGAAGCCTCCGATCAGCCAGCTGATGTAGAAAATGGTTGCATTCCCAGGCTGTCATCCGACACACCAATGTACTCTTCCCGTCCCTGGGGTGCCCATACAATAGTGATCTGCGAGGCTCAAAACACAGCAAATGACCAGCATAGAGCTCGGGGTACTTGCTCCAACCGAACGCGTATTTGTACCCCTCGAGCAGTGCCCTTCGAAAAGCAAAAATATATATCGCAAGTTGTCGCCACCGCTTTATTTGGACATGAAACCTCCTGTCGTACCAATCGGTGAGCCGTCCACCTAACAAAAACCAAGTAAATGCGGAGGTTGCATCCAAATATATAGCGCTCCATTTCATTGTTCTATTTGAAATCTTGCAACGGCACAGAGCCTCGTTGTCGCATCTCCCTCACACACACGTTCATAGTTCCTTTGACCTCGACGTCCTCGAACTCGCAGCAAGTACTACAATACAATGGCCAACGCCACCCTGACCATGGAAGTTACCGCTCAGAAGACGCTCCTCAAGGCGCGGCTTTTCGAAAACGAAAAAATCATTGCCGAGTTTGTCGAGAAGCCGGCCACGTGCAAGTCGTCGGGCACGATCCGCCGCGTCCAGCTCACGACCCACCGTGTCTGCTACCTACAGACCACCCTCCGCTATTGCTGCATTACGTCGCCCCCGTCGATGCGCCAAGTGTTCATCAAGGACATTTGCGACATCGCGATCGACAACTACCGCCGCGTCGACGAGAGCTGGTTCATCCAGCTCCTTCGGTTCATCGTGAAGCTGTTTCCGATCATTGGTATCGGGCTCCTCATTTACGACAAGATGCTCATCTACTCTACCGGCGGCATAAGCGTCGTTGGCGCAGTGCTGCTGATCGTGGGCATTGCCGAGATCATCTACGAGCTCTGCCGCAAGCCATCGCCGCAGATCATCATTGGCACGCGCTGCCCGCAGCTCGAAGCGTTTGCAATCACGCTGGCAAATTCCACCGACCGCATGCAATTGGTGGACGAGCTCAGCCTTTTGCTCGCCAAGAACCAGTAGTTGGACGGACATACGAGTAGTCCCTTTGTAACCAAACAACAACGAAGACCCTCTATTGTGTCAAGAGTAGTTGATTGCTCGCGGCGGTAAAGTCCCTGATCGGGCGGTGGCAGCATCAACATCGAAGTCTCTTCGCGGTTACCTGCTCAATCGCAAAAACACCCTTGTGCCGGTAGAACCCTCCATCGTGCCCAACGGTGCCGTCTCCAATCGAGCAAAGGCGCTCGAGCGCGCAATCTACATGGAGGAGTACGATAAGCGGCAGATTGCGGGCCAAAAGGCCAACAAGGCCTATGGCGCGGATCGAGAGGCTCAAGAGGCCTTCAAGTCGAAGCGCACGCCAATGAAGGTGACAAGCACGGCCGCGACTCGCCCAATCGAGCACCGTGTAGACGAGCCGGTTGGTGACTACGACCAAGTCCTCAACGAAGTGGAGCCCGTCCACGCTCCGCGGGCGGAATCGTATCGGTCCCGCGAGGCGAGTTGAAGGATCCCCCGCTCCTCCACCAAAGACGAAAATAAAACGCCTTCCGTGCCCGCACAGCGGCCACAAGAGCCGTCGCCATGACAATGCCGACGCTGCGTCGTGTGCCCTCTTCCAGTTCTACAAGAAGGGCAACTTCCACAACAGCTCGGGTATGCTGGCATATAAGCGAGCGATTGCCGCGTCTCGTTTGGAGCAACTCCGTAGCGATGTATAACGTAATGAGCTCATTTTATCTTGGAGAATACCGTCTTCTGCGCGCGGCACGTAGGATGCCCGGCGTTGGCGCGACGGCAGCGACGGTGGTTGGCACGAGCATCACGTGGCTCGGTGCTCACAGCGCTGTATAGTCTCGACGCGGGATCGGCTCACAGGCGCACCCCAGCTGCTGGCTTCAGAGCACCACGGGCGCACGTCCGGAGCGGCGGCGGCCGTGGCTGGCGCTGCGCCGACCGCGCGGCGTGACGCCAAGTGCCCAATCAAACGGCACTTTGCCAATCAAGCCATTACGAGGGCTTTTTAAGAGCTCGAAACAATGCTCGATTTATGCTGCCACCAACCACGGGTCACCACTCGAGGCCCGACGCGTCGACAACACCAGTTCGATCAACCGTGTGGATTGGACAATTAAGTAGCCTTCCCCGGGCTGCCCGGGAAAGATTGCGATGTCGCCGTCGGCAAGGCGCAAGTTGCGTGGAATTAGCCATTGGATTGTGTTGCACGGATTGGTTGGTCTTGGCCAATCCAAACGAAGCTACTGACCGACCTGCGATCCTTTCCTCAAGGGCAGCGCTTGTAGATGCTTGGGACGTCGATGGTCTCCCTCGCATCCACGCGAACGTGCTTCGTTGCTCGGTGGCGTCAAACAAGTCATCCTCGTCGCGAGCCAGTCCCGCCTCTATCCACACGACCATCGTTCTACCTATCTGGAGTCCACAAGAGGGCTGCGTGCCCTTATTACGGGCCGGATCGTTTTGGGCCCTGGTCCGCTCTATCGTGTGGTCGTTTCCTCTCTACGTCTTCTTCCCTCTGACCAGTGTTTCAGTAGCCCAGCTGGTAGTTTGTCAGTACGTCTTTGCTCAGCCCTCACGACTGGTCCTACTTGTATAAATCAATATGCCCATGTGCCCAGCAGTGGACTCGTCTTCAGGCGGTGGCGAGAGCACCTTGTCTCGAGGCACGCCACGGAGCCGTCCACCAAGTCGTCGAGCGGTTGCTCAACGATGCGTTGAGTAACGAGGCGTTGAAGGGTTAGAGGTTGCAGAAATATTTTTAGCTCCCTCTTCATGGAAGACGGAAAGAGAAGGCTCGTGCTTCGCTGCCAGTCCTCTTCAATTACCCCGTTCAAGCATTCTAGAACACCCTGCGATTACCACCGGTAATCGCAAAGGTGAAAAGGAGCGTTTCAGATACGACGAGAGGTTTCAGTTTCACGTCCAAACAAAGCGGTGGCGAGAACTTGGGATCTATTTTTTTGCTTTTCGAGGGGTACAAATACGCGTTCGTTTGGAGTAAGTACCCCGAGTCCTATGCTGGCCACCTGCTTTGTTTTGTGCTTCGCGGATCACTATTACATGGGCACCCCGGGGACGGGAAGAGTACATTAGTGTGTCGGAAGTGGTCGCTTGATCCGAAGTAGCGACGGGCCTATGGTAGTCCAGCTGACGGTAGCCTGGGAATGCTGCCATTTTCTACATCAGCTGGCTGATCGGAGGTTTCAAGCAAAGATATAATCTCGGGTTCTCTGCTGCAGGATCAATACAATAAACACGAATCGGAGGGTCGTCCAATATCGAATACCAAGTACCGGTAAATACTGAGTTTGCATTCAAATATATAGCTCTCATCTCATTCTTCTATTTGAAATCTTGCAACGGCACAGAGCCTCGTTGTCGCATCTCCCTCACACACACGTTCATAGTTCCTTTGACCTCGACGTCCTCAAACCCGTACAATACAATGGCCAATGCCATCGTGACCGTGGAAGTAAACGCTCAGAAGACGCTCCTCAAGGCGCGGCTTTTCGAAAACGAAAAAATCATTGCCGAGTTTGTCGAGAAGCCGGCCACGTGCAAGTCGTCGGGCACGATCCGCCGCGTCCAGCTCACGACCCACCGTGTCTGCTACCTACAGACCACCCTCCGCTATTGCTGCATTACGTCGCCCCCGTCGATGCGCCAAGTGTTCATCAAGGACATTTGCGACATCGCGATCGACAACTACCGCCGCGTCGACGAGAGCTGGTTCATCCAGCTCCTTCGGTTCATCGTGAAGCTGTTTCCGATCATTGGCATCGGGCTCCTCATTTACGACAAGATGCTCATCTACTCTACCGGCGGCATAAGCGTCGTTGGCGCAGTGCTGCTGATCGTGGGCATTGCCGAGATCATCTACGAGCTCTGCCGCAAGCCATCGCCGCAGATCATCATTGGCACGCGCTGCCCGCAGCTCGAAGCGTTTGCAATCACGCTGGCGAATTCCACCGACCGCGTGCAATTGGTGGACGAGCTCAGCCTTTTGCTCGCCAAGAACCAGTAGCTGGACGGACATACGAGTAGTCCCTTTGTAACCAAACAACAATTAAGCACTCTCTTACCCTCTATGGTGTCAAGAGTAGTTGATTGCTCGCGGCGGTAAAGTCCCTGATCGGGCGGGTGGCAGCATCAACATCGAAGTCTCTTCGTGGTTACCTGCCTTTACCTGCTTAATCGCGAAAACACCCTCGCGCAAGTAGGTACGTAGTGTAGAACCCTCCATCGTGCCCAACGGTGCCCGTCTCCAATCGAGCAAAAGCCGGTGTTTTTTCAAAAGCACTCGCAACGTGGTGCGTTGCTTTCTTTAGCTCTTGAGTTGGAGCGTTGTCACTGCCTCGTGCTCAAAGCTATCGCTGTAGACCCGTAACCGATGAGCCGGCAAACGTAACCGGTGTCACTAACCGGTAATCATAGCCGGTTGGCATTTACGCATCGGCATATGCCACGTTTAGTACCGCTCTCGGATTGGCTGCATCAATGCCGCTTCAATTGGTTGGCCATTGGCGCCATGTGATTGGTTGCTGCCTTTTTGTAGCATTGGCCATCAGACGCAGCGAGCATGAGCACCCGCCTCTTCGTGCAGAACCTGCCCATCTACGTGGACGATGAGAAGCTGCGGAAGCACTTTGCGGCCAACGGCGAAGTCACGGACGCGTGCGTCGTCAAGACCAAGGACGGCAAGTCGCGCCGCTTCGGCTTTGTCGGCTACAAGACCGAGGCGCAGACCGTGAAGGCGCAGGCTTTTTTCGACAAGACCTTTTTCGATACGACTCGAATCACGGTCAAGATCGCGCAGCCGCGTGAGTCGAACGAGCTGGACCGGCCGTGGAGCAAGTACTCCAAGGGCAGCTCGCGCCACGCCGAAGTGACCAAGGCGCCGGAAGAGCCGGACGACGAGACTGACGAGGCAAAGGAAACTACGACGCGGAAAAAGAAGGGCAAGAAGACGACGGGCGAAGACAGCGCGTTCGATGAGTTTGTCGAGACGATGCAGCCGCGATCGCAGACAAAGTTCTGGGCCAACGACGACGTCATGGCCGTGGGCGGTGGCGCGAGCCTCGACAAGATCGCCGAAGGCTCAGACGACGGCGGCTCGGACGACGAGTACCAAGACCTGAGCAAGATCCACGACAAGATGAACGCGGGCAACGACAGTGACGACGACGACGACAATGAAGACGATTTTGACAAGTCGATTGCACCGACCAAGAAGCCCCTCTCGGACCTGGACTTTCTCAAGTCCAAGATGGTCAAGACCATCAAGAGCGACGACGAAGAAGACGAGGATGATGAGGATGACGAGGATGGCGAGGACGACAGTGACAATGACGGCGATAGCGAAGACTTGAATGACGAAGACAAGAAGCGAAAAAGTCGTCCAAGTCGTCGCCGGCGTCCTCGCCGTCCGAGACATCGAGTGACGTCGCGCCGTCGTCGCGGCTCTTTGTGCGCAACCTTCCGTACTCGGCGGTCGAAGAGGACTTGCAAGAGCTCTTCGCGGGCTATGGCACCATCACGGAGCTGCACATGCCGCTCGACGACAGCAAGCGCACGAAAGGCTTTGGTTTTGTCATGTTTGCGTCGCAAGCCGAAGCGACGGCCGCGCGGACGGCTTTGGACGGCAAGGCGTTCCAAGGCCGCCTCCTGCACATCCTCCCTGCCAAGGGCAAGCTCGAGCCCGAGGCGCTTGTCGACACGGCCAACCTCACGTACAAGCAGAAGAAGGAGATCGAGCGCAAGCAGCTCGCGGCGTCCAAGGTCGGCTGGAACGCGTCGTTCATTCGCGGTGACGCGACCGTCGACGCGCTCGCGTCCCGTTTGAACGTCAAGAAGGGTGAGATCCTCGACAAGGACGCTGGCAACATGGCTGTGCGCCTTGCTATCGGTGAGACGATGCTGCTGCAGGAGAACCAAGCGTTCTTCGAGCAAGAAGGCGTCGACCTCCGCGTCATTGAAGGCGCGGCGGCCGCCAAGGGCAAGAAGGGGCCGTCGGTCGAGCGCAGCAATACCGTGCTGCTGGTCAAGAACTTGCCGTTCACGACCGACGAGACGGCTCTCGCGCAGCTCTTCCGCACGTACGGCGAGCTCAGCCGGTTTGTGCTGCCGCCGTCCAAGACCATGGCCCTCATCGAGGTACAGCCTTGTCTGCGTTGCAACTCGACTCAATTTTGCTTGTAGTTTGTGGAAGCGTCCGAAGCCCGCAAGGCGTTCCGATCGCTGGCGTACAAGAAGTTTCAGACCATGCCGCTCTACTTGGAGTGGGCGCCGGTGAAGGTCTTCAAGGGCCCTGCGACGATGAACTATGCCGAGAAAATCAAGGTACACGTACCTGCTGGTAGTCCAATTCCTCAAAAGTGGTGTAGGCGCAAGCGCAAGCGGCGACGCCCGCGCTGCCCGACGTCGAGGCCGACAACGTAGCCGAGCTCGACAACACGCTCTGTGTGAAGAACCTCAACTTTAGCACGACCGAGAAGAGTCTCCAGAGCCTGTTTGAAAAGGTAGTTTGCCTTTCGATTTGAGATTGCACTTGCTAACAAGTGCCATCTCGTAGATGGGCACGGTGCGCAAGGCGACGATTGCTCGCAAGAAGGACCCGAAGACGCAAAAACCGACGCTCTCGATGGGCTTTGGCTTTGTGGAGTATAGCACCGCGGCCGCGGCCAAGAAGGCGATGGCCGGGCTTCACGGCACGCTTCTTGACGGCCATGCGATCGACATCAAGCTCTCCAAGAAGCAGCTCGCGCCCGTCAAGAAGGCGGCGGGGCCAAGCAAGAAGCCGAGTACCAAGGTCATTTGCCGCAACATTGCGTTCGAAGCGACGATCAAGGACATCCGTGAGCTCTTTGGCGCCTTTGGTCAGCTCAAGACCGTGCGCATGCCCAAGAAATTTGACGGCAAGCACCGCGGTACGATTACGATGGGAATTGTGTGGGTTTGAGATTGAGCGCGTTAGGGTTTGCCTTTATTGAGTTTCTGACGGAGGCCGAGGCCAAGAGCGCGTTTGCGTCCTTGGCGTCGTCGCACTTGTATGGTCGCCACTTGGTGCTCGAGTGGGCCGACGACGCGGACGACATGGAGACGCTGCGCGCAAAGGCGAGCCGCGACCTTGCGTCGATCGAGGATGGGCAGCGGGCCGCCAAGAAGCTCAAGAGCAAGGAGGTCGAAGACGACATGGATTTTTAACTTTACTACACTACTAACCTATAACACCCCACTTTCCACCGACGAGTCTTTATGCAGTCCACCACGGATGATCGGTCGTGCGTCGTGCTAGGAGCCAGGCACGCATGTCCCAGCCGGGACCAATCGCTGCAGGTTACTATAATGCCGATAGCTCCTTCCACTTCATGCAAGGTCCACGTACTTTATGGCTGACGCCGCCACGCGCCTCGTTCACGCTACCTACGTCAGTCATCGATAGGCTCCGGGCTTCAGGCTGCGGGCCGCGTGCCATGCTTGCTACAAGATCTTGGTTTTACGCTGCGAGTTTTGATTGGCTAAAAAGCGACGCCGCCGAGCGCCCCATGTTCAAGGCTGCCTTTTTGTATGGGCGTTGTATGGGCGTTCTTTTTAATAAAACAGCTTGGCCTTTGTATGCAGATGCATAAAAATACGTTGTCCGGATAAGAAGCGTATCCCTGACTTTGACTGAGGCAAACCGCATTAGGCAGGAAGAGGCAGGCAGTAGCACGATGAGTTACTTGGTCGTCGCCGTCCCCAACGAAGGCAACCGCTCGACCGACACGACCTTCAACGAGCTCAAGGCCGAGACGGGCTCCTCGAAGAACGACCTCTCTGGTACGCGCGGCCTGGCGCGGCGAACGATCTCATTTTTTCCGCAGAATGCCACCGCTTTGATCTGCCCTCCGACTTGCTCGTGGGCACGCTCGACTCGCTCATGGTACGCCGCTGCGAACGCTATGGCGTGCCATGGCCTCATGCAATGCTAGACGCTCGGCGAAGACATGCACCGCATCGACATGTCGGTCGAGGCGGCCGTGCGCAAGATTGAGCGCCAGTTCCACGAACTCAACAAGGGCGGCGAGGCGTTGACCGTCGACGGCGGTACCTTTGGGTCATCGCCGACGTGGATGGCTGATACCATACTGTGTTCTAGTCCCGGTCGAGCGCTACTTGAGCCACTTTTCGTGGGACGAGGCCAAGCACCCGCATCGCCGTCCGTTGTCGGAGATCGTCTCGATCATCCAGTCGGTACGTCGCGGCCTTGCTAGGATGCTGCGCATTTGCTCATGTATGCGTCTAGTCGATTGCCAAGATTGAGGACGAGCTCAAGCAGCTCAGCACGCGCTACACGGAGAAGAAGCAGCAGCTCGCTTTGCACCAAAAGAAGAAGAGGTGCGCTCTCTCTTCACAACCATTTCGCTGATTGCATTCGATGCGTCTGTAGCGGCAACCTCCTCGTTGCCAACCTCACGGACGTCTTGACGCCGGACGTGGTCAAGGCCACGGACTTTGTCAACACCGAGTACCTCCAAACCCTCGTCGTCGTCGTGCCCAAGAGCCAGGAGGAAGTCTGGCTCCGCGAGTACGAAACCATTGGCAACGACATTGCCGAGTACGGCCCAAAGCAGTCGCGCGGCAGCCTCAAGGGCTCGCCCGTCGTGCCCGGCTCGTCGCGGTATCTTTTTCCAGTCGTTATAGTATCAATCTCTCAACTTGCGATGCAGGAAGCTCATTGAAGAAGGCGACTCGACCTTGTACACGGTCACGATCCTCAAGGGCCAGTACCAGAGCGGGTCGTTTGACAACGACGGCACGTTCGAGGCCGGCACGCTCCTCGATTACGTCGACAAGTTCAAGAACGCAGCCCGCGAGAAGCGGTTCCAGGCCCGCGACTTTACCTACGACCCGACGGCCCATGCGACGAACGAGACGATGATCGCCGAGCTCGAGGTCGAAGTCAACCGCCTCTACACGGGCCTCCTTCGGTGGTGCAAGGCGCATTTTGGCGAGACCTTTATCGCGTGGATGCACGTCAAGGCCGTCCGAACCTTCGTCGAAGCCGTCCTTCGCTACGGTCTGCCCGTCAACTTTACCGCCATTCTCTACCGCGTAGGCCATTCCTTCTTGTGTACAAGGTGTCATTTATATATTGTCTCGTTGTAGCTCAAGGCGGGCAAGGAGAAGAAGCTGCGAACGGTGCTCGAGAAGCGCTACGAACATTTGCAGCCGTCGCAGTTTGCGTCGGTCGAAGAGGCCGCGAACGCGCAAGAGTACTTTGCGTACGTCTCCAACTCGTTCAACCCGCTCGCGCTTGCGTAAGCGTCGTCGTGACAATATCTCCTCGCTAATCAAGACGCCGTTGTGGACTTATACGAAAAAGACATTCTGTACACATGCGACACGCCATTTTTTGAAAAAATACGACTAGAGACGGCTGGTCCACGCCGTGCCGCGCGGGAGACCGAAGACGGTCGCAAGCACATCGTTAAGGTCGCTCACATACGTGATCGCGAGCCCGAGCTTGGGCCCCCACTCGTCGCCATCGGCGCGATTGGCCGCGGGGAGGAGGACACGGGCAATGCCCGCTCGCTTGGCGGCCTGGAGCTTTTGCGGCACGCCACCGACAGGCAAGACGACACCGCGCAGCGTGATCTCGCCCGTCATGGCCATGTCCACGGGCACGAGCCGCTTCGTCACGACCTAGTGCGAGCGGATGGACATCGATCATCACAGAGGTACGACAGCATACCGAAACGAGCGCCGAGACGATCGCAATGCCGGCCGACGGACCGTCTTTGGGTGTCGCGCCATGCGGGAAATGAATGTGAAACTCGCCAATATGACTCAATAACGTCGAAGACTCCTCGAGGTAGACACGCAGCCACGTGAGTGCGAGCTGCGCCGACTCCTTCATGACGTCGCCGAGCGCCCCCGTGAGCTGCAAACCAATCGTACTGGATGACGACGATGCGGACGATGACCGAGGCAAGGCCGTGGCTTCGACAAAGAGGATCGCGCCGCCCGACGGCGTCCACGCGAGGCCGGTGGCGACCCCATGGACACCCGTGCGGAGTGCGACTTCATCGTGGACCGTGTCTGGCCCCAAGATAGTCGAGACAAAGTCGACCGAGAGACTCGATGGAAGCGGTTGTTGCTGCACGACTCGGACGGCCACGTGGCGGCAAATCGCGCCCATCTAAGCGTCATGTTCATCACGTCGAGAAGGAGGAGGAGGATGCTCTACCTTGCGCTCGAGGTCGCGGACACCAGCCTCGCGTGTGTGGCTCTGAATCACAAACGGCAGCACGTCGTCGTCCAACACTACTGACTTGTCTGCGAGTCCGTGCTGCGCGAGCTGCCGCGGCCAAATGTACGTATTGGCAATCGCCATCTTTTCCTCCAGCGTGTAGCCGTCCAGATGGAGGACTTCCATTCGGTCGAGCAGCGGCCGCGGAATCGTCTCGACCGAGTTGGCCGTCGCAACAAAGAGCACGCGACTAAGATCGAAGGGGACGTTGGCGTAGTGGTCCGTGAACGCATGGTTTTGGTGCGGGTCCAGCACCTCCAAGAGCGCGTGGCTCACACTCGAGGCCGACGCGTTCCGCGACGAGAGCTTGTCGATCTCGTCCAAGACGACGAGTGCATGGGCGCTTTGCGCCCGGCGCAGCGCCGAAAGAACGCTTCCGGGCATCGCGCCGACGTACGTTTTGCGGTGGCCGCGGACCTCGGTCTCATCGGCCACCCCACCAAGCGCGAGGCGCGCCAACGGGCGACCGGTGGCCGTGGCCATCGACTGTGCGAGCGATGTCTTCCCGACGCCCGGTGGCCCCACGAGGCAAAGGATGAGACCCTTGCCTGCGTCCTGGAGCTGGCGCACGGCCATGAACTCAACGAGTCGCGTCTTGGCTTTGGTCATGCCATAGTGGTCGGCATCCAGCGTCGCTTGGACCGTCGCCATGTCAAGCGCGGGCGGCGGCGGCGACGTCCACGGCAAGTCGAGCATGAACTCGAGGTAATTTTGGATCACGTGGTACTCGGGCTGCTGCGGACTCATGCGCTTGAGCCGTGCCAGCTCCCGCGAGAGGACCTTGGCCGTCGCGGGCGCCAAGCTGGCGTCGAGTGCGGCCAACTTCTTGGCCAAGCCTTCCATTTCGTCGCCATCGTCGTCGTTGAAACTGTTCTCTTTGTAAGATTTGGAGAGAGAGGCGGGTGTCGTGGGTTGTTTGCGGGACAGGGTGAGCGCGCGGCTGGTAGAGTTCGCGCCCTGTGCCATCGCGACGAGCAAGTCGAGCCGCGTGCCAACATCGGCTGCGTCGAGAAGCGCTTGCTTTGTTGCAGCGAGCCTTGGAGATGGGCCGAGAGCATGTCGATCCAGGCGCTGATCTTGGCTAGCGCACGGTCGTCGTCGTCGTCCGAGAGCCGAGGCAGCTGCATGCGCTTGGAGACAGCGAACGCGGCTGTGACGTGCTTGACCAGGTCACGCAGTGGCCGGGCGTCGCCGTTGGTGTCGTACGTATCGTCGACCTTGTCGAGCGACGCGAGGATGAACGGCGTCGTCTGGTGCGTCTCGGTAATGCTAACCCGCGCAAGCCCGTGGAGGAGCATCGAGTACTCGTACTCGTGCACGTTCTTGCGAAAGGTGCGCGCGCGCTGGAGCTGCACGACGCGCGCCAACGTACCCGTGACGCCCAGCGCGTCGTCGTGCTCGGTGAAGACGCCAAGGTGGACGGGCGCGATGGCCGCCGCTTCGAGCGACGCGTGGAACGACTTCCAGAGCGTCTCCTGCACGAGGCGCAGGCTGCTCTCGCGGCCCACCGACACGCGCAGGTACGCGCCCGGGAAGAGCACCGCGTCCCGAATCGCCAAGACCGGCGACGCCATGATCGTTTGGAAATGGCAGCATGGATGTAAACAAAAGCATCCGCATAAAGTGGATATCCGAACGCGCAGGATCGGCTTTCGAGAACGATCGCACCACGTCCAGCACCCTTGACGGTCGAGGGTGCTGGACGTGGTGCATGGTCGAGTCGACCATGCTCGAGCTGGTACAACAGGTCAAGAAGCCTTGGGTGCGCAGGCACCGGTCCCTTGGGTCCCAGGCGGCTCGCTGCGCTGCCGCCACGTTCTTCGCAGGGAGCACCAGAGCAGAAGAAAATGACCGAAAGGAGTCGAGTTCTCTCGCCCCAGGTCTTGAAGAACGTTTGTAGATCGGCTCATCGATCGACCGCTATCCAAGCGCGACGTGCTGAGGGGCTGTGTCGAGAGGCTGGACGCGTGGCACGCTCTCAGCTGCGAATGGATCTGACCAGCCAATCGCGGTCAAGAGCGTCCTCCAAACGTACGTGGCGATACAAGGATGCAGAGATAGCAATCAGAGTACGCAATTGCCCAATGGACAACCAGATTCCGAAAGGTTTCTTCGATAAATTTCTTACAATTTCTCGGGAATCCCTCACCTTCGAACGAAGGTGTCCACGCGCATCAGCCCATGGTCACTGCACCTCCTCCCCAGCAACACCCATCCGTGCGTCTATTTGTACATCCCCTTCCTCTGCGGTGTGTGGCTTTTTCTCAAGGGCAATCAATTCACGAAGGTAATCATATCGTCTCGACCTACGAACTCGTGACGGCCGCGTACCCGCCCGTGAGGGCCGGGTACGAGATCCACTCGAGTTGAAGCGCCTGGGCCCACATGGCGGCGTTGCCCATTGCGTAGCACGTGTTGAGGTGGGGCGGGCCGTACACATCGAGGCAATAGCCCGCGTGCCCCATGTGCTGGAGCTGGCGCGTCAGCGGGTTGTAGCGCCAGAGCTGGTTGACATTGCCCGGCGAGCACGCGTAGAGGTGCACGGCACCGCCGACCTTGGCCTCGTACGCGTCGAGGCACTGGCCGCTGCCTTGGTTCATGACCGTGTAGTCGAGGTGGTTGAAGAGCCAGAGCTGCGACGTGTCCCGCGCCGAGGGCGCTTGAAAGGTCAAGCTTGCACTGAGCACGAGCGACGCCAGGGACGCGATGCGTAGCCGAGCGACGGCGATGCCAAGGGTAAAGAACTGCGCCGTGCTCGCGCTGTCGCACGTGACGAGCCGCCGGTTGGCGACCAAGTCCGTGTTGATCGCAGCATCCACGAGCGCCAGGCAGAGTCCCTTGTTGCTAAGTTGGTGGTTGACGAGCGTCCATTTTTGGTTGGCATTAGTGCCATCGCAGCTGTAGCTGTGGATGACGTGGCGCTGGAGACCATTGTCAAAGTACGCGTCGAGGCAGTTGCCGCTTGTGAGCGACTGCAGCTGCTGCGTGCTCGGGTTGTAGCTCCAGCGCTCGGCAACCAGCGGCCCCATGGCCGCAATCCACGCAGGATCGGCGGCGAGGCTTTGCGTTTGCGTTAAAAGGCTGAGTCCGACGCCGTTCGACTGCAGAATGCTGAGCGGCGGCGATGACCCCACCGCGTTCTATTGCAACATATGAGCCATGATGCCAATGGTACACGCTTCGATACCGCGGCCGTTCGCACAATCGGGTACTGCATGCGGCGCAGGAGGTCCCGGAGCGACCACTTGTGCCCATACCCGTCGCCGTCGGCCCGCCACGTCCAGTACGCCCAGCCTTGGGCTGTGTTCATGACCGTCACCAGCTTGCGCCGGAAGGACGCCAGCGCGTTTGGGTCCGAGAACGTGTTGCTCGGTGTCACGACACTCCACTCGCCAAAGTACAGCGGGTGGCCTCGCCAGTTGGCAATGTTCTTGGCGATGCTGTCGATGCCTTGGTTGAGCAGCATCGCCTCCGAGTAGCTCTCGTAGCCCCAAATCAGGTACGGGTGCCACTCGATCCATACGTTTTGCATGCCTTTGCCAAAGTCGCCCATCGCATCGCCGTTGCCAGCATACTGGTTGTACAGCCGCGGCATCATGGTGAGGATGCAGTCCGAGATCGACCGGACGTCATTGTACGACGCCGTGTAGTAGGAGAAGAGCACGTGCGAGTTCATGTGCCCGTCCGGCTCGTTCAGAAGCCCAATCCCGAGGAACGCTTGCTCGTTCTTGTACCGCTGCACGAGGAAGAGCACGAGGTCGCGCGTCACCTTGACGTTGACCGGGTCGTTTGGCCAGTCGACTCGGCCTTTCATGACCGCGGCGCTGTGGTCGTTGCCGTTCTGCGATCCTGGCGCGCCGTGGATGCTAATGAGCACTGCCACGTTCGCCGCGCGCGCCCACTGCTGAATGAGCATGTCGAGGTACTTGAGCCCACCAGGCGCAAAGACCGAGCACTAGTCAGTCATGAGCTTTGACAGTGATACCTCATTAGTGACGGGTGGCACCTGCTGAAAGAGGGGGCCGGTGAGCATACCGCAGCCGCGAATCCAGTACCCGATCGGCACACGCACCGTGTTGAGACCCGCCGCACCGATCTGCGCGATATCGGCTTGCGTAAGGAACGACCGCCGGTGGCTCTCAAAGGCCGCGTCGCCCACGTTATGGCCAAGGACACTCATCGCGTGGTACTCGCCCTGCGACGCTCTGTCTGCTGGCACGCCGTTCCAGATGCTCGACGACGCCGTCATCCAGTGCTCGGCGACGAGCCAGCCGCCGAGGTTGACGCCGCGGCTGGGCACGCGGCCGGCGCGAATATCAGCCTGGATGTGCCCATGCGCAAGGCTGCTACCCACGAGCAGCAGGACGAGGGCGGTATGATGCATAATGTGGCAAAAGTGCAAGTGAGTCGGTTGCCATCCGAGGTTGCCACGTCAGTTCTCCGTCATAGCGTTGACACTCATCTCGGGCGAGAAGGAACGCGCAAAGAATATTCTTGATATTGGCCGTTGCTTACGCCGTCGAGACTTCGTAGAGCTGCAGCAACGCGTCGTCGCCGCCCGAGACGAGGCGGGACCCTGTCTCGTTGTACGCGACGCTCCACACTTGGTCCGTGTGGCACTCGAACGTGTAGAGGCAGCTCTTGGCCGCGAGGTCCCAGATCTTGACCTTGCGGTCGCCGCCACTAGTCACGAGTTGAGCCTGGAATCTTTTAGACACAATCCACGTACCCGGTGGCAAAGTGCTTGCCATCGGGACTGCAAGCGACGCTGAGGACCCACGAGATGTGGCCGGCGACCGACGCGACCATGCTGCTGTGGGCGCTACCGACAATGTGCGTGAGATTGAGATGTGTTGGAACGATTGGCGTACACGTCGTAAATATTGACGTGCATGTCGTCCGAAGCGGCGAGGAGGAAGCTGCCGTCAGGGCTGTATGCGATCGAGCGCACGGGCTTGGTCCGATCTACAGCAAGAGGATGCGCCAGCGCCTCTAAAATGGGAGAAAGAACCTTGATACTTTTGCAGCTGCTTGCCCGACTCGATGTCGTAGATGGCCACGAGGCCATCAAAGGTCGAGCACGCCAAGTGCTTGCCGTCGGGCGAGTACGCGACCGAGAGCACAAACTTGCCCTTGGCGTCAGACGACGACGACGCTTTCGCGGGCTTTTCTTCTTCGACGACAATCGACTGCACGACCTTTTCGTCATGGACGTTGATGATGTTGATCTTGCCCTGCTGCGAGCCCGTCGCGACGAACGCGCCGTCGGGCGAGTAGGCAACCTGCCACGTTTCGCCGGCGCCCGTGTCGATGGTCTTTTCGACGCCGCCCGTCTCGAGGTTGAGGATGCGCACTTGGCAGTCGAGCGACGACGTGGCAGCACGGCGGCCGTCCTTGGTCGCGGCGACGCCAAGCGTGCCCAGCACGTGGCCCGGGAACTGCTTGACGACCGGCAAGATCGCGTTGTCCTCGGTGCTGCTGGCGTCCCAGCTCTTGACGACCTCGTCAACGGACCCGCTCAGAATCTGGTTGCGGCTCGTCCAGACCGTGCTCCAGATGCCATCGTTGTGCGCCGAGCTGACCTTGGCGGATGCTCGGTACATGGCCGCCACAAACCGAAATTGTATACGTCGAAAATAGTGTACAGACAGGCGGCGTTGCACGCTAAATAGTGTTATGTATTTGGCGGCGATGCGATTAGACCGTGCTGATGGCATGCGCGACACGGTGCATGCACACGCGAGTGCAAACGGCTAGGATGTGATCCGCGCTTTGCATCGTGCGACGAGAGATGGACCGCGAGGTGGGTCTACACTGTACCTTATCACACTATTTCAAGACGTCGCGTGTCGTATCCGGATGATCCGGCCGGTCAGATTGCAGTTGCGACGATGCTACGGCGATGGGCGCCGGCAGCGCGGCGACACTACTACGCGTGGCACGATGTCCCCTACGCAGATGTACCCCACGCTCGGCAAACGCTCGTATGCTCTATCTGCAATACTCTACCACTTGCGCCAAGCGCCTTGTAGGATATCGTCGTCCCAAAGGCGCCACCGTTTCCGCGAGCGTTGCTGCCCGTGATCTTCTTTGTCCATGGTGGCGCGTGGCAGCGTGGCGACAAGGCCGGGCGGCTGAGCGCCGACCTCGCGCCGACATTGGCCGAGAGCGTCGGTGCGCTCGTTGTCTCGATCAACTACCGCCTCTCGCCCGAAGTGAGCTACCCCGCCCACATCGAAGACGCCGAGTTGGCGCGGCAATGGCTCGACACCCACATCGGAAAGGTACACATACAATGCTACATGTTCGTATCGCAGGATGTGCTATTAGTATGGAGGCGACGCCACCCGCGTCATCTGGGTGGGCCACAGCGCGGGCGCCCATACGATCATGAAGATGCTGCTTGCCCCGAAAACAAAGGCGGCGCTGCCAATGCCTCGCGCCGTCGTGGGTATTGCAGGCGTGTACAACATTGTTCGCATGGCCAATGCGTCTGTCTACGGCGGATTGGTTGTCACGCCCGTCTTTGGGGCCAATGCCCAAGTGTGGCGAGAAGCCTCCGTGATGCAGCCGACGCTGCAGGGTGTCGACGCCATGTGTCCGATTTTGCTCTTGAACGCAAGCGACGACTTGCACCTCGAGGACGACAGTCGCGAGCTGCAGCAGTGGTTTCGTGACTACGGCCATGTACGTCATTTTTGTGTCGCCTCGCATAGCAATACTGTCGATGGCCACTGTCTAGGAACGCGTGGCGCACCACGTGGTGCCAGAGACGAACCACCTCTCGATCTTGGGCGATGTGAGCGGCAGCTCCAAGACGACGGCGCTCATTGCCGACTTTATCAAGAGCATCGTACAGTAATCGAAGAGGGTGGATTGATGCTTAGACGCCCTTGCGGTCGGTCATGGCGCGGATGATGCAGCCGCTGCCAGCCTTGGCCGCGAGCTGGCCGTGCCACTCGAGAAAGACCGAGTTGTTCTGGGGCACCGAGAGGCCCTTGTACACGTACTTCATCAGATTGTCTTCCAAGTCGGGCGTGAGCTCCTGCACAGTGCGCGCAATGTCGGCCTTGGAGCACGCGAGAAGCGCGCTAAAGACGGTCTGCGCGTTGGCATCGCGCGTGGCCTCGTCCGGTGCGTTCACGGGCGGGTTCTCCAGCGAGGCAGCGACGGCCTCGACAAACTTCTTCTGCAGGAGCAGCTGCTGGACGCGGCTAGCGCGGGCGCGGACCTCGGCGTCGTCGCTCATGCTGGTGCTGGCAGATCGGCTTTGCCAACCTGGGGCCGGATGGCGAGACCTCGTTACAAGCACATACGGCGACAAGCACATGAACATCATTCCGTGTAACGCGCCGTGAAGATCGTAGTATACCGTCTGATTGGCTAAAAAGCTGTCGACGCGCTCGCTGATTGGCCAATGTCAGTGCGACTCGGCTAACGAGAATTCTGTCCAAAATGGGATCGGTATCAGCATTAAATCCGTTTCGACCTACATCGTTTTATTCTGCTCGATACTAACCCTTTGTGATAAAAATATGAAGGTGAATATTAATTTGGAAACATTTTATTCGGCCCAGAAATTGGACTTCGGGAATAACGAATACGGCAACATGGAGAGACCGGCCCATGACGGCGACGACCCGACCAGCGCGCCGCCGGCGCCCGCGGTCCTCCGCGTCTCCGTGGTCAACGCCATGGATGGCATGCAATACGACATCGACCTTAGCAGCAGGTACGCATGGCAGGCGATGCGAATGCGACGGCTAACACCGCCTACCAGAGCGACGGGCAACGTCCTGCGCCAGGAGCTGCTGGTCGCGACAGGCATCCCAACTGACGAGCAGATCTTGCTCTACGGCCCGCCCTATGCCCGCTTGGACCCGAAGAAGACGATCGAGTCGTACCAGTTCCACACATCCCAGGTGCGCGACCGCCATGGCAAGTGCATGGCAGACATATCCTGTTGGTAGAAGTCGGTCTTTGTATACGACCGGCGCGCGCTCTCGCAAGAGACGCTGGCCGTTGCACCGACCGTGCTGCAGCCGCAACACTACGAAGGTGCATCGTCTTCTTCTCGAACCTTCTCACGCAGGGCATATCTTGCAGTACCATCACTCTCCCCGTCGTCGGCGCCGGTCGCGCGGCCCTTGTACGATTCGTCGAGCCCGCTCTTGAAAGCCTTGTACGACTACGAGGTGCAGTTCAAGGCCGTCGCGATGATGGGCCAAACGCTCGACAGCGTCGCGCAGGTGCGCTTTTTCAAAGTGCAATCTGGGCACGAACGGCATTAGGCGCGTCTCGATGCGTGTGACTCGTGCTTGGCGCAGCAGCGGGCACAAGCCTCCGCGATTCAAGCCGCCATGGCCAACCTCGACACCTTTCACATGTATGGACCTCGATCATCATCTCGCATGCTCATCTGAGGACCTCGACTAGTGCCATGACACAGCACTTTCAACCGTTCTGGAAGGACTTTCGCAACACGAGCGAGCACCACGAAGAGCTCCTCTCGCACCTCGAGGCGTACATCAGTCGCCTCGAGACGATCCCACTCCACCCGGCGCTGCAATCGCCGCCCCACCGCACGACCCTCTACGACTGCATCCCGCTGGAGCGCGTCCGTGAGTGGCGCACGCAATGCGAGCAGTCCCACACCCACCTGCAAGCCAAAATGGAGGCGCTCGCTGCCGCGTACCACGCGCTCACCGAAAGCATTCGCGTCGGTCTCACGTCGAGCACACAGTCGGCGCGGCCGGCGTCGGATCTGCTCCGGCAACGGGACGTGCTCTACGCCAAAGTGGTCTCGTCGACCGACCACATGAACGTCAAAAGCATCGTCGCGACGCTGCAGGCCAACTACGAGACGGTCGTTCAGCGCGTCGCCGAGACCGTGCCGCAGAATGTGCTGCCCGAATCGAATACAACGAGCAGCAGCATGACGACCAGCTACATGTTTGCATCGGCCACCGTCCTCGAGGCGTTCCGCGGCCTCGACGAGATGCAGCGGGACCAAGCTGCGCTCGTATGCCCCGAATGTGGATCCACGTGTCGACTCATGCGCCTCGTTGCGCCTCGTTGTCTTAGTTGCCGCACGTGCAGCAGGTGGTCGACGACGAGCTCAAGACATTTATGCTCGCGGTCGCCGAGAGCAAGGACAGCATGAATGCAGCCGTGCACACTCAGCTGCGCTGGGTCTCCCGCGTCCAGTCGGAGATTCGGGACTTTGAACAGACGCTCAGCTTGCTCAGGGATGCGCTTGCTGTGCAGAAGCGGCAGTTTGCCGAGCTCGACCACGTGGCCAAGCTGCCAGGTACCGAGTTGGCTGTCGAGGCGATGACGCGTCACTGCGTGTGCGTAGAGGCCTATGACGCGTGCATTCAGGAGATTATTCGTCGACGCACGTACGGGCGCGAATTCACGTGGAAGATTCAGAGCATGGGCGAGAAGCTCGCGCAGATGCGCGAGGATGAAGTGCTCTTACGCGATGCGTTCCTCAAGGACTTTGGGCAGCACCTACCGCGCGACTTCGTGCCAGGTCTCGTCGAGAAGCCGTCCCACTGCGATATCCGCATGCGGCCGTTTGACACAGTGGATCTTGTGGCATGAGATGCCGTGTCTTAGTCGTATTGCGTAGGCACTGCCGGCCATTGATGCGCCGTCGCCGGCCCCGTTTGAGATGGAGCAGCGCGAATTGGATGTGCTTCGCGAACGCTGCAAGGAGCTCGAAGGGCGCGTCGACGAGCTCCAAACCGAACTCGACGACCAGAAGAAGGCGTCGTGCCATTGCAGCTCGTTCTCGAACGCATCGAGGTCCATCCCATTTTGGGGTATATATATGTAACGATGCCGTGTGTGTAGCATGAGCTGCAGCGCCGAGAAAGGTCCCAACTTTCCATTGGTACTCGCTCTCGCGGCGACGGCCGGCCATCCCGCCGGCATGGCCAACTCGTCCGAGCTCCTCGACAAGACAGCGCGCCTCGAAGGCATGCTGGACGAACGCAATGCGATGGTCGCGTCGCTCGAAGCCCGCATTGCGTCGCAGGACGAGGCGCTTTTGCGCGCCAACGACGAGTGCGAAGTCGCCAAGAACGACCTTGCGCACGCACAGTTCCTCCTCGGTTCGCAGCGCTCAGCGCTCAAGCAGATCTGGAACCTTGTGGGCATGGACGAAGCGACATTCGAGATGCAGACGGTCGACGGTCTCCAGAAGGGCCTCGACGCCTTTGAAGACATGTGGCTGGCCAAGCAGCAGCAGGCGACGACGACAATGACGATGACGGCGGCGCCGAGCGAGAAGGAGACGACCAACGATGACATAGTGTCCAAAATCGCATTCCGGTCGTTCAGTTATGACGACCTCGCGCTGTTTCTGCCGACATTTGCGCCGAGTGACGCGAGCGCGGCCAAGATCTACTTGGCGTTCCACCTTGGGTGCCCCAACCGGTTCCTCTCGGACGAGTCGATTGCGATGTTTCACCAAGCCCAAAACCGGTTTGTATCAAGATAGAAATGTGTGGCGACTTGATACTCTTTTTTGATAGATACCCCGAGTACATTTTGGGCCGCATCGTCTTTATCGACGAGCGCGAGGCGACCGAACGCGACAACCCGTACCGCCTCATCCTTGGCACGACCTTTTATGTGTTGACCGTCACGTGCTTGGTCGACTACTAACGCTCCGGTCGACGCTCGTGCGTCAGCAGCACGATTGGGCTCCTATGAAATGAGACACCTTATTGCCACGCAATGCTGTGTTGCTGCACGTGCACTGGTCCCAACACTCCGCCTGCCGATGCGTGAAAATGAACCTCGGTGGGCCGTGCGCAGCCGTCACGATCGAGGACTCGGATCGGGATAAGGAACAGGCGACGTTGGTTGTCGACATGTAGCCGAGACTACGTAGTGCGAGCAGAGACATGGTAACCAGCAGTGGTCGGCTCCGACTTGGAGCTGCTGCGTCGTAGGGACCAGAGGGTCGAGCGCAGAAGAAGAGCATTTTTGGAGCGTGGATGTGCGTGTCTAGATACTAAAAAGCAGAGGCGACCAGTCGGCTAGCCATTCTCTCAGGTGATGCAATTGTGGTTTTAGCCTCGTGAGCTGGGACCGCAGCCGAATCGAATCGAGTCCCACCCAGACCGTGTTTTCGACTCGACCGAGCGAACGCAGCACAGGACACACAGAAGAAGCGACTCAAACCGTGCTTTATCCACGCAGAAATCTCGTACGAAAACTTAGCAAACCGAGCAAGGTTTCAAGTTATTACCTACAACCCTACCCTCCCTCCCACTGCAGACGATGCGGCAGAGTCGCCAGGGATGCGCCACGTTGCGCGGCCAGCTAAAAACACACAACTTTGCATGTCTCGGACATGGTGGCATGTGGATCGTGGGATCGTGGCCGACTCTGCAAGGCAACACACATGGATTATCTCGCAGACACCGTCAGCAGACCCTGGAGCCTGCCTCATAAACGATTGGCAGAGTCCACGCAGTGACCTGGCCCAGGTCACTGCGTGGACTCTGCCAATCGTTTATGTTGGACCCAGGTCACCTGGGTCCGACGTCAACCAGCCTCCCCGTCCTGAAAACCGGAGCCAAAGGATAGTCTTCGGTAGAGCCAGTGTTGTCATCTATGCAGTGGTAGCTACATATACCGTAAATCGTGAGAACACTCTGCTCCATTGCTTGACGCACGCGCTGCCACCGTACGCGTAATCAAGGTACGTCCGGGCCAAGTTGCGTGTACCAAGTGCTCGTGTCCCAGCATCCGGAAACCAACGAGGTTTATCCGGTCCTGGTCGACAGCAGCGCAAGTAACATTTTCGAATCAACTCCGACCGCCCCACATAGCACCCTCTGCCATGGCTGCCCAGAAGCGCTCTGCTGTCGAGAAGGCCGCCGCCACGAACGCCGCTGCCGGCGACGCTGAGCGGCCCATCGACCAGTTTGACCGCGAGTTTCAGAAGTACAACAACAAGCACGTACGTCCCGCCTGCCACCCCATCGACCATGTTGCTCACGCCACCTTGTAGAATGCGCTGTCGAGCACCGCGCTCACCTTGGCGCGCACCGAGCTCTCCAAGAACCGCGCGCTCTTGTGGCAAGACGATAAGCTCCTCAAGGAGAAGAAGGAAGGGTCGCTGACCAAGGAGCGCCGAGCGTACCTCGAGAAGCGCTGCGCCGACCTCGAGACGGCGCTCGACAAGTACCACCACGCGGTCGCGTCGTCCAACTACACGCGCGCGGGCCTTTCGTTCGTGGGCCTCCTCCTCTTCCTCGTGCTCATGTACTTTCTTAACCAAAAGGTCCCGATGTTTTGATTGCAGAAACGTCAAAGGAGCCTCGATAGAAGAAGATAGGGTGACACCAATAGAGAACTGCATGCTATTTTACTCCATGGACAACTACAATCACTGCAGGGACGGGATGCCAACGCTTACGTTGTGCACGACAACGCCGTGGTCCGAGACCGACGACGGGTTTTGAATCACAACCACGTCGCGCGGCGCGGTCAGCGGCAAGATCTCGTCGCCCGAGAGCACATCGTCGATGCTGAGCCCGCGCATGAGCCGCGCATACGTGCTAAAGAGCTGGTACGCATTCCACTGCCCAAAGTCTTCGCTTTGAAACTTGGGCGTCGGGCGCAACAGCAAGCTACACCGTTCGTAGTGTGAGATCCGGTCGGCGGACTATATCTTCCAGTCAGTATACCCGAGATGCGCCGACGTGCCAAGGATCAAGCTCTCTTCCAAAATGAGAAAGACCATCGAGGAATCGTCCACGGTCGTCGCTGTCCACGCGCCAAACTGCAAATATCAAGGTATCAACTGTAGACTTGGGATGGCGGCTTCATACCACGAGGTAGGCGAGGAAGAAGAAGCCCACGATCTGGCGCACGTGGCGAAAAAGATAGTACTTGGGGAGAACGCTGTCTGTCGGGAGTCGCTCCTACCCCACAGTCGACACATCCGTATCAACGTACAGCAGAGAGAGGGTCGTACGCCGCGCATCATGTAAACGCCATGAGTAGGAAGTGGAGATTCTGCGACGTATGCTACACAGCCATTCGCATCAAGGAGCGGCGAGGATGGAAGAGCGCAATACATGCAAGAGGTAGAGCAAGACGAGCACATGCAACGTGAGTGCGAGCACAAGCACCTCGGTCGACTCGTTCACGGTGCGCCACCAGCGAAAGATGGCGAGGATGATCGCATAGACTAGTTCATATCATGCACCGGCCGTAAGAGGAGATATGAGAGATGTACCGCTGAGGCTCACGCTGTGGCGCCAGCCCAGCGACGGGGTCGTGATCCCATACCCGACCGCGATCAAGAGCACACTCAGCATGAAGCTGCCAAAGAAGACGGCGTGGAACGCATTCGCCATAGCTTGCGGAGCCTCCAGACACATCACAAGCAACTGGACGATCATATCGAGGAGAGCGGCGACGGCCGTGGCGCCAAGCGCCGTGTGCAGTCCGGTGCAATACTAATAGAGGTGGTGAGCTGGCAAAGCTCTAGTGGTAGGTCGTACCTCCTTGGCGCGGTAGCAGTAGACGACCCAGAGACTCAAGAGCGCGAGCCAGAGACTGCCGTACAGCAGCGGAAGCTCGATGGGGACGACGGGCATTTTGCAGAGTAAACGCCCGTTGGCCACCGGATACCGGCGCCCTTTCCAGCGATCTTCGATGGAACGTTGGCGCCGTATCCGGACGCAACGCTTCAACTTCAACCTTGGCGCCACGTCCGGCGTTGGTCAGACAAAAGAGACCAAATGAATGGGTAGTCCCATCCAAGAAAGCAAAATGACATACATCGGTGGATGGTGTTTCCTATGTTTTCCATGCAATCGCCTTGTTGAGCAGTTAAAATAGACTCGTACTAGTACCCTCATCGCTCGCACCGGCGTGGTGACAGCGCGTGTCTCGTCCAGACCAAAGCATCGCTCGCGTCAACTGTCTCCTGACGATGACGTGCACACGAACCATTTTGTTGAGTTATCGCACTACGGCTTGCAGTGTACACTGGCATTTGATGGCAGCCGCTGTACGCGGTTTGACAGCGCTTTCGTGTCTCTCATGAGCTGCCATTGAGAGGATCTCGGTATCTTTTTTGGATGCTTGAGTCTTGCTTGCGTTTCTTGATGCCTCTCTTGAGAGTTTCCACGTCGTTCTTGAAGATTTCGGTGTCGTCCTCGAGCTGCTCCACGCGGTCTTCCGGTTGTTATCAAGGCTTCTCCTGTGCGCCGCGCGCATGGGACTTAGTCTGCGCAGAATGTCGTACTGGACGCGATGGGGTGGAGATGCTAAGAAGCGCACCGATTGTCCCGCTACAGCCGACAGGATAGGGGTCATGACGACAGGATTAGCGCTCACCAATGTACAATTGGGTTCACATTGCTACTTGCGACTTTACGGCACTCCGGTCCGGAGTGCCATCCAGTTCACCGATCCGTCACACGGGCACGCGCCGTCGACTAGTTTCGTGGACAATATAGGCGAGAAGGATTCCCATTGCTTCATTCTCACCTGTCATCTCATTGCCTACTGATGATCGCGTGTGCCATTTCCACTGGTCATGAGCACCTTCCGCCTTCCTCTTGGCTGAGCAGGTACCCTCGCGCGATATGCAATAAGTTCAGGACGTAAAGCTTCTCCGAGTTGGAGCGCCGCCACTCGTACTGCAGGGTTTCTCGTCCCCAGCAGGAATTGCACTCCACCAACGCGCAACGCGATCACGACCAAGCTGCCCTCAGACCCGCGATCACCGCATAGCCCGAGTGGTACATACAGGATGGTACAGTAATAAGGAGGCAAAGAAGACGGGAGGTTCTTGAGCACGTTCTGGTGTGCCCGCTGGACGCTGTTGGACGCGTTCAAGTCGTGTCCGAGACTTCAGCATACATCGACATCATTGAAAGACCAACGCGATTAGGGTAATGAATGCCAAAACGAACTCATGATACCTAAGGCAACTTGATGTTGCAGCGCTTGCGCGCGTTGCCAACCTTTAACCCAGCCCACGCGTAGACGAAACCGGTTAGGATGACGACGAGGATGATGGTGCCGCCATCAGGCGCGAAGCCATGGTGCCATGTCGTGTCGAGAAATGAGGGGCGGCTATTTTGTCCAAGCGCGAACAGCTCGAGCATCGAGATAACACCCCTTTCACACCCCAAAACCCCTAGTACCCCATACAACGTTACCAGACACTCGGACCGTCCACGCCCGGACAACCCGAAACCCAGCGTTATGATCGAGGTTTTATGGATTTATGGATTCTACACATCCAGTGTCGTAGTTTCTACGCGCACCATTGAATTGAATTAATGCAAAATTCAATTTCGCGAGCAGCGACGTTCCTCGCTTGAGGCCAAGGCCATGGCTCCAATTCGCACAATCTAATGTTTTTGTTTGGAGTTATGATCGAGGTTTTATGGATTTATGGATTCTACACATCCAGTGTCGTAGTTTCTACGCGCACCATTTGAATTGAATTAATGCAAAATTCTATTTTCGCGAGCAGCGACGTTCCTCGCTTGA